CTGACGACCAACTCGCCGCTTCCCTTTCGGGTTCCACTCTAGCAATGGCTTGTCTAGTGATGTCACTTGATGGTTTCCTCAGTGTATGGCCAATCCATCTCCATTTCTTCCTGTCTATTTGTTTCACAATCAGTTCCTGGTTGGTTCGCTGATCTTTTCCGGCAATCTGAGTGCAATAGTTAGTCTCAATACCTTTTCTATGGATATCTTAATTGGTCATTAGGGTGCAATCAAGGTATCATGGGTTCTGTCCGAGGTGCTCTTGGTACAGACTTACTTCTACCAGTGAATTTCGGGATATCATTACCAGGCTAGGTGTGACCGATCATCATGATGCACTCTGAAATGATGTTAGATAGTTGAAGATGAACGGTAGGATGATATGACTTTAGGCACTTTGTATGTTGGCACTCATCTCTGCAAGGTATATATACAGTCTTGAAGGGATTTATGTCCCCTTCGGGATTCAACTCCCCGTCATCCAGTGTTGCGGTCAGCTAATTTACCACTGAGTTATTCAGGCTCTTATGCTTTATCCTTCTTATCTTATTCCTCTGCGTTCCAAGTGGAACATGGGATTTCAGGCTACCGCTTTATAGCTTCGATAGGAGTGGTGTCATTTTTTACGGGATAAGATCTCTAGTCTCACGTCCAAACTTCCTCCTTAACTAAGCGTACGTTTTGATTTGACACTAGTAACTAGTGTGATGCGTCTAGTCCTCTGATTGGTGTAGACTGAATTCTATCAGTCAGGTTATAATGTGACCACCATTCTAGCTAGCTCGCCATCACGGGTGAATAGCTCAGTGGTAACGTCTCTGATTGCAGCCGGAACTGGGTGAAGCGGGTTTGAATCTCAGAAGCAGGGACATGAGTTCCTTCAAGGGGATTGCAGATACGCCTTGCTGACTGGTGAGTGCCAACTAGCACGAAACCTAGGTCAAGCAAGGCTTCCTGTAGCCGATTGCCTCCAACCATCTAATAAGCGTATGTTTTCCATGGATCTAACTTTGGACCACGTGAGGTGTAGCTGGCAACGTATTCAGCCACTGAACCATTGCCGCACTAAGCGTTATCCAATAGACGTTGTTCAAGAATAGCGTTCCAGGAGTTTGAACACTCCAGTGACCTTGAATGCATGCTAATGATTGGAGTTCAAGAAACCTACGATTATTCTAGCGCAAAAATGAACACCGTTCATCAACTCAGGTGTAATTTTCACCCAGATCACGTATTTCAATACTGTCTGGATAATGGATTGATAGGACATAGTCGTATATGAAGTTGAGGTGCTTCAATAAGCCTGCAAGCGTATTCACAAGTCATTGATGGATATATATTCAAATGTACGGAGTGTAGGAAACGAACGAGTGTTCGTACTGATAGATGGCACTCTCAGTTAATTGTCTTCTAGGAACTTTCTTTGACAAATATACTGTTTCTTCGTCATCAATGGATTTTGAAGTCTGGAGTGAGGTCAACTACCGCTCAGACAGAAAATACGCTGACATCTACTGTGCAGTGGTTTCAGTTTTGTCGAGATTTAGCATCATAGAAAATGTACAATATGACACAAGTGTTGAAGGAAGGCGGTGTTATCGTACATACCAAAGAAACAGTGCTTATAAAGAAGAAATACAATCGCGAACATGCTAGAGTTAACAACATTTGGGTATCAGGAACTTGTGACACCTAAATTCAGAAAGGATTCATTGAACCTATTCTAGACAGGAGTGCCAACACTCTTCTGCCTATTATTCAAAGATTCATTTCGCCTGGCACTACTATACACCCTGATGAATGGGCAGGATATCACCGATTATCGGATTTAGGGATATATACACAACCAAGTTAACTATTCCGATGATTTCGTCGATCTCAGAACAGGCACTTATACTAATTCAGTAGAGGGTTTCAGGGGAAGATTAAACAATAGAATAAGACCAATAAATGGCTCTCAAAAGCAAGTTAATTTTTGTCACCTGGATGAACACATGCATAGAAATTGGTTTAATTTAAAAACTAACACTCCCCATTATAAGTGCGACATTTTGTTATCTCACCAGGCCGATAACTGCTACCTTGTCGTGGTGCTCGGGCTTGAATACCGTAATGACCCAACATCCTAAACTGTCTGGGACTCTGTCCCTGCAGGTCCTACCATGTCAGGAAGGTTTTCTGGATAGCGGTTAAACTAAAAGCAGTTACCATCGGATACACGGGCTCCAGTATCCAATCGGATCAAATGGCGTATGAACCCATATGGGCCACCGGAAACCATGGGAATGCAGCTCCTGACGCTTCTCCGCTGCCTTGAGGATTAGACTCCAAGTCAAAGGCTCGGGGGTGGTTCCTTAATAAAACCATCTGCTTCGGTATGGGCACCCAGGCAGTATCTCAGCCCTCACACAATGAATTGAATAAAGCAACAAACAATCAATGAAACTTATCGCGTGCTATTACACGTGTTACAATTTCCTTCTTTCTTCCCTTCCCGATGATAGTTAAACGAATACTGTTTCAACTTGTTAAGCATGACTGTTTTCCTTCCAGATGAAGTTCTTGATCCGTTCTCTACTTATATATATTTTTCTCTTCTTTCTTTTTTCTTACGATCTATGTTGTTTTATTACATATTGTGTGGCACATCCTTCTTGGTGCCATATTGTACCAAATTTTTATGCGTTTAAATAAATAAATAAATATTTGTTTATTGAATCAACTGCAAATATCTGTCACCGGAATTATTCAACACCTTTCCAGTCAAATATCTGGAAAATTCTACTACCCCTACGACGACAAATAGGAGAAGACAAAGAAAACTATAAAACTCAAGTTTCGAAGTTGTCTGTCTGTCTATCTATTTTCGACAGTTGTGTGATTATAAGTGATGAAATGATTATGAACCACAATAAATTGTGTTCGAAACCTTGTCGTCCAGTATGTAATCATAATGTTTCACACTGTGTGATATATCTAAGAAACAAGCTATTATGGAATTACTTACTACCACAGTGCCCAAGTTTTACACATACAGTCATATGCTGCAATTTTACTTGAACTCTGAATAATCTAGATTTTTGGATATAAACATTTTTGTCGTCTAAAAGAGAATTGTTATTTCTCTGAATTCTTAGTTTTTATATTTCTATATGAACAAATTTTCCAACTCTATCTTCGTTGGATCGGAATTATGCTTAGCTTAACGTTTTCAGGAGGCTTCTTTTAACTTTGAATGGATTCTCCTTACATATTGAGTAGACAGTGATATAAGAATAAAACTTGTGCACTGTGGTAGAGTGTAATTCCATTATGGGTAAATTTTGTTTTGATAAAGTCTCGCAGTGGTGTTATACAGTAATGTTTACTGATGACCATGTTCCGAGCACAATTTATTGCCACTCATAATCATATCAAGGTACTCACACGACTTCCTAACTTCATTTATATAGTTCCATTATTTTTCACTTGATTTCCGCTCGATCTGATTGGTGGTAGTATTTTCCATATTCCGTGTATGATTGATGTATCATTTCTATTGCATGTGTTGGGTGTAGACTGGATGAACCAGGCAGGATTCAGTAATCAACCTCTCTCTCTCTCTCCACCTATTTACATTACTTTTTAGAATTTTAACCCTCTCCCACCTACCTTATTGTGTGGTTGTGTGTTAGCGCATGCAGTGCAATTGCTGAGCTTTTTTCTAAATTACTTATCTTCCCGGGTAGGGTCAACCATTCTTACCTTAGCTAAATTCTTATGTTCCGACAATCTGACTACCCCTGACCTACTAGTTTGACCTATGTAGTTGACCTAACTCACAGTCATTGCAGGGTACTTTGTAAATAATATTATTTTGTCTAATTGGGTCAACTGGGTCCTTTAACCTACAGAGCTTGTCCTTGAGTGAGTTTGTAGGTTCAAATGCCACCCTAATTCCTGTTTTATTCAGAATCCTACGTAGTGTCTCAGATGTCCCCTCTTTATATGGTATAACAATGGATGACTTATATTTTCTCTTATTTATGTTATTATTACTAGTTTCACAATTATTTTTATTTTTCCTTTGGCCTTTTTCAATCTTTCTAATGAATTTTATAGGATAGCTATTCAACACCAACGCTTCTTCTATCTGTTTTAATTCATCATTTAGATCTTTTTTTTGTGCTAGGAAGTCGTGTGATTACCTTGATATGATTATGAGTGGCAATAAATTGTGCTCGGAACATGGTCATCAGTAAACATTACTGTATAACAACACTGTGAGACGTCATCAAAACAAAATTTACCCATAATGGAGTAGACAGTGTTGAAAATATTTATATTCAATAATATCACTCTTTATTGATCCACTGTCGCCTTTTCATAGCCAAACAGGCTAATGGTCTTCGACTTTTTTTGGATAAAACATGCATCGAACGACATATATATCTCTCTCAACATGAGCAAGTCAGTTGGTAGATATCAGAGGAAAATATCCTGTTTAATGTTCTTTTTTCATTTTTTTTTTCATGTAAATATACGTCATTTTTTGTGTGAAAATCCTTCATTTTTCTGATTAGTTGGTTGAAGGTCACGCACACTCGTACGTTCACATGCCTTGAGATGCTATTGTAGAAATTTGCCATTCAATACGCCCATAATCTACAGCTACCTAAGAACTCGAACCCGTGGTCTTCTACTTAGGAAAATGAATAATAATGTACAAAAACGACAAAAAGTAAACAAATTTTTATTAGTATTTTTTTCCTTCACGTTCCAGAGTGGAACATAGGGCTTCAAGCTAGTGGCTTGAAGTTTCTGCAGCAGTGTTTATTTTACAGGATGGGGTTGCTAGCCTGCCTCATGCCCAACCTTTCATCTTTACCAGCATTAATTCTGGCTTAACGAGGTAAAGGAGTGCCTTGTCGGCCGGGGAACGAACCCCGAACCATGGCAAGCATCCTATCCGCTATGCCACCGACGCACAAACAAATTTTAGCAGAAATAATTTTACTCACTTGAGTTTCACGGCCTTGCATATATTCGAACAAAACATTTTTTAAATACTGAAACAAAAATAGAAAAGAATATTAACGGTGTAAAATTATATATATTTAAAATTTAAAAGAAAACCAAATTACATAAGGCTTCGATACTTTATTCCTGATGTTTAAATGTTGGCTAACAAGGACTAGGTTGCTTACAGCCTTGACCACCAAAAGCTGATACAACTTAGAGGACCACCATTATGAAACCAGCAGGGAGTACTGGACAAATGTTTCGTCCCAGTTTGGGGCCCATCAACAGTACACATATCCACCATAATTTAAACCCAGGAAGGTTCCAGTTACAAGGCAAGCGTTCCTAAACCACTCAAGCATACTAGGACACTGCGATCTAATAGCGTATGAATTCCAACTTCTGCCTATTCGCGATACACAGTGCGATAACTATGCTCGTCGAAAATAGGATGACGTCAGAGCCCGATAAAAGCTTTATGAACTAAAAAGTTAATCGAGAAAGATAGACATAATGATAGCCTACCAATCTCTCTTATTTCCTGCCCTCCCTGCCTCATACACCACGCATCCTTGCCTATCATGGTTTTCAATTGAAAATATAAATATTATTCACATTGCTATCTTCGTACACGCTTATAAACGTTATTTATGAAAACATCCCGTCCCACCGGTCATTACATTTCAGTATATATATATATATATGCATGAAGGACAGTTGTGGTTTTGCATTCATTATTTTTATGTAACTGTTTAGTTTTTACGAGCTGATCACGGATTGACATCAGTTAGAGAACCATTGAAAACCAGGAGTACTGGGCAGCTGTTTCATCTGCCTCGTTTGGGAATCATCGGCAGTACGCACCCACTGGGACTCGAACCCAGGACCTTCCGGTTACAAGGCAAGCTCGTATACCATTCAGCCACTGGGACCCAATTCAATGGCTCATGAATTCTAACTTCTACCAATTCGTGATTTAGCGTGACCCCGATGATTCGCAAACTGGGATGAAACAGCAGCTGTCCAGTACTCCCTGGTTTTCAATGGTTCTCTAACTGATATCAATGCGTGATCAACTCGTAAAAACATAACAAACCCTTACAAACCAAACTAGAGAAAAGTAACTATTTAGGACAACACATCTAAGCGAAGAATATTGTTTTCAATTGGATCTCATCAGGATTAACTCTAACATATATAAGTTTACAAATAAAAATTCAAATATAAACCAATTATGGTGTTTTGTCTATAGGATAATAAGATGGTGAATATAAATTGTGCAATTAGTTATACTGCCGTGTCACAGGGCAGGAGTGATAAGTATGCTACTGAGGCACACCAAACAAAGAAAAACAAAAACAGGCCGCGTGTGACCGGCCTCAAGCAGTTGTCCCCTGGGCTCTGCGGTCACGCAACCAACTTCCACGGTGTGGGCAGCCGGGAAGTAACAATCGCCCTCACAATCCGAAATGCACACAAAACCTCTCTAATCCTCACTTATCTTTGTCTTCATCTTCATCTCTATTACCTTGCCTTCCTTCCACTGATGCAACTCCTCTACTTGATGGCTCTCCACTCCCTCTTCACTCTGTGTCCACTAAAAACGACGGAAGCCAAAAAACCACCACGATAGTCTCCTAAAGCCACGCCACCAATTTCATATAGGAGCATTTAATGTTAGGACACTTTGCCAAATAGGACAACAAGCATCACTAGCTAAGACCCTGGCATCCGAGCCATTGATGTATGTTGTGTTTCAGAAACACGCATACAAGACCCAAGTGTGGTTATTCACCTAACCCCACCTGGCCAACAGGATGAATCTTCAAAATTCACCTTGAGGGTGTCAGGAGATGCCACAGCTAGTTCACGAGGATTAGCTGGCGTAGGGATAGCTTGAGTACTAGGGCAGAAAAGACATTGCTTGACTGGATCCCGGTAGATAGCCGAATGTGTGCTGTCCGTCTGAACGGATCAGTAAGAAGGAGAAAGGACTGCACTACTCGCCGATGCCTTTTCGTAATCTCCGCCTACGCCCCCACTGACTGCAGTTCGGATGAAACGAAGGATGAGTTCTACCAAAAGCTGTCTAGTTTGGTGAGAAAGGCTAAACGCTCAGATATAGTCGTTCTAGCTGGTGACTTTAACGCTCAAGTAGGGAAATTGTGTCAATCTGAGAAGGATGTCGGTGGCACCTATGGAGTTCCGTGCCAGCGAACCGACAACGGTGACCGTCTCCTACAGTTCTGTTCAGATAATCATTTGTTTCTTGTAAGCACTAACTTTAAACACAAGGAGAGACACTGTTTAACCTGGCGACCCCCATCATCAAACCAACGCTGGACACAAATAGACCACATAGCAATAAGCTATCGTTGGCGTGGGTCGGTAGGAGATTGTCGCTCCTTCTGGAACACGTGTGTAGATACCGATCACGCACTGGTCCGGGCTCGTGTGTGCTTACGACTGAACGGACGTAGGAAACAGCTGGCGGTAAAACCATCACGTCCCCAGCTCGATCAGGAAACTAAATCCCTATTTGAGGAAGAACTAGCTAAACGCATATCTGAATTCGACAGCTGTGCTCACCCTGGAGAAGCCTGGAAGAATATTCAGTCAGCTATAGATACAGCTGTAAAAGCTGTGAATAAGGCAAATCCAAAGGTGAGTAAAAACCACTGGATTTCGACTGCCTCATCCGAACTGATAGATGCTAGAAGACTTATTCCGGCGAGCTCCGAATTCAATGAGGAGCGAAAGCTGCACAAAAGGAAACTTACTAAAAGTCTCCGCAAGGACCGTGAACAGTGGTGGGTGACAAAGGCAAAAGAGATGGAAAAAGCATCGGCGATAGGCAACACTAGGCAACTCTTTAGACTCATCAGAAACGGGTGGGAGAAGGCAATTCATAAGTGAGACTATTTCTGAGAAAAATGGCTCCTTAATTAGCTCTCAGGATAGACGCCTTGAACGCTGGAAAGAACACTTTGAGGACAATTTAACTTGCCTACAGCCACACTGAACCTCCCCGACATCCACCACACCCGAATGGGATATAGACACTGGTCCGCCGTCTGTAGGTGAGGTCACAAAAGCTATCAGTAATTTGAAACGAGGCAAAGCGGCAGGACCCGACGGAATTATTCCGGAGGTGTTTAAATATGGGGGTGACATACTAGTTTGTAGATTAACTGAGGTACTAGGCAAAGTCTGGGAATCAGAGACAGTACCATCAGACTGGGGTAAGTCACTTATTATACCGATATTCAAGAAGGGAAACAAGTCCTCGTGTGATAATCATAGGGGGATCAGCCTAACGAACATAGTCTCTAAAATCCTAGGCTCAGTAATCATGCATAGACTAAGCAGAACTCGGGAGGAACAGACAAGGGAAAATCAAGCAGGCTTTAGACCAGGTAGAGGGTGCATAGATCATATCTTCACTCTTCGACAGATTCTAGAACATAGACACACTTTTCGGCGTCCAACAATTGTCATATTTCTTGACTTGAAGGCGGCCTTCGACTCCGTGGATCGAAAGGTACTATGGCAATGTCTGACTGTGAAGGGAGTGCCAAGAAAGTACATTGCACTAATCAAGGCACTCTATTCAAACTCACGTAGTCGTGTAAGGGCTTATGGGGAATTGTCATCTGAATTGGTAACAACCAGTGGTGTCCGACAGGGATGTCCACTTTCCCCATTTCTGTTTAACTTCATCATAGATATGCTGATGGAAGTATCCTTAACTGAACGTAATGACTTAGGAATCGACTTGTTACCAGGGAATAATCTTATGGACTTAGAATATGCAGATGACATAGTCCTGTTAGGGGAGGATGCTGACAAAATGCAGAGTCTTCTGAACACCTTGAGCAGCAATCTTCGTATGTTTGGCATGCGATTCGCCCCTACAAAATGTAAGATGCTGCTACAGGACTGGACCACGTCAACCCTAACTTAGTGATAGGGAGTGAAGTGATAGAACATGTTGACCACTTCACCTATTTGGGAAGTTGTATTAGCACCAACGGACTGATTGGCGATGAAATCTCAGCACGGATCCGAAAAGCTCGAGCTGCTTTCGCTGACTTACACCATCTCTGGCGTAGGCGTGACATCCGGTTATCAACCAAGGGACGTGTGTACTGCTCATCAGTTCGCTCCGTCCTTCTCTATGGCTCTGAAACATGGCCAATACGCGTTGAAGACATGAAAAGGTTGACTGCTTTCGATCATAGATGTCTGCGATCTCTGTCTCACGTTAGGTGGTTTCACAAGGTAAGTAATGTTGACGTTAGGCGTAGAGTGTTGGGCAAAGAGGGAAAATCAATCGACGAGGCTATAAAGTTACATAGACTAAGATGGCTAGGTCACGTGGTGCGCATGCCTAACCACCGCCTCCCCCGACGGGCATTGCTAGCTGATATAGGTTCAGGTTGGAAAAGAGCCAGTGGTGGCCAAACAAAAACATGGCTCATCAATCCATGAAATCCTTGACAGTTAAACTGAGTCAGGTAGGGAGATGCAGACTCCCGGGTTGGGGCCCTCGGGACTCTAGGAATCAATGGCTGGAGACAATAGGTGACATGGCTCAAAATCGTTGTCAATGGCCAGCGAAGATGTATTCAGTCTCTGTAATCTTTCATATTCCTTTCTACCATTACCCATTCTGTTTCACTCTTATACTTGTCAAACTCTATTGATTCTCTTCACTCATCTTCTTGTCTACCTCTGTGTGCTATTTGGAACGTGGCAACTCGAACTGCTGCACTTCGGTGCCAAGTTCTATGTTGAATCCAGACAGACAGACTAGTAGTAATGATAATAATACCAATAATGGTTTTATAAATAATAAGGATGAAAAAGTGAGGCAATCTGTGATAGCACGAATGACGGAAAACAGCATGATTAAACAAAGTTGTTCAGGTGGAAGTAGTCGATAAAGGCCAGTAAAAACAAATGAACCGATTACGAAATGTTAGATTGTAAGGGAAGTGAATGAAACACGTTTTTGATGAAGATGTGACAAGATTAAGGGATGATTAGAAAGGAGTTGGAAATATAAACAAGGGGTGGTGTAGAAGTCTTTAGTTGGTTATGTCTTAATGGGCCAACAAGGGAGGGATAATGGCTGTACGAACTTCTTTTGAATGCATAGTTTAGGTTTAATAGTTGTTCGAATGCCTATCACCTCCGCTGTGTGCAGTAGACGAATATGTAACTGTTCCAATCGCAGAATGCACATGAGTAAACTACGGAATACATGGGGAAATGTTTTTTCTACGAAATACCTGTCCACTTATTTTTCCCACATCAACTATCTCCATTGCCATAAAAACCTCACTTAGCCTAACTTTTTAAACGGTAGACTGCTCACTCTCTGATCCAATTTATCCATATTTATTTATTTAAGTGACCTATGTTTCAGCTACAGTAGAGCTCAAAGATTGAGTTGCCAGTATTGTTGCTAGTGCGAACGAAGATAGGCAAATAAAATACCAATCAACATAAGAAATAGTTAAGCCCTAACTGTAGGTGAATTTATTCAGAACCTATACAACACATCATAGTTGACATTTTCAACTATTTATAATGTATCATCTTTCCGTTGGGTTCCGAGGATAACAGAGGACTACAACAAACGGCGATTACCATCTGACTGTGATCTCTTTAGTCATTTTATCACAGTCCACAATCTATCATAACAAATATAGTTTCATTGGAAATTATAAGTCACACGGAGTGGATGCATCTGCGCAAGCCATTGAAAACGAGAATTTTGAGCCATACCACTGATTGTCGCCAGCCGTCATTGGTGTTTACCATCCCAAGGACCCCAACCAGGAAGTCAGACAATCCACACCTTCCTACGTTATTTTGAACTAACTGTTGTGGATTTCATTGACTGGTGCCATGTTTTAGTTTGATCGCCACTAACTAGGTCTTTTCCAGCCTAACCCTTTGTTAGCTAACATTGAACGTCGAGAAAGGCGATGACTAGGGATGAAAACGAAACACATGTCCTAACCATCTCAGTCGATGTAATTTCACAGCCTCATCGATACATATATACAAAATACAAACAGCCCCACAACTTACTTCATATTCAACCAACTCGTGTAGACGATTCTCACTTGGGCTAAATACAGTATTACTGTATTGATGATAATCACTCAGCATAGTATTTAGCGAAAGATTTGATTGAGGCGATTGCCCTGTCTTATTATCATTTCCTGTATGAATATGTAATGGTTCAGATGTGAATTTGGAATGTTGATTCGACTCCTTGACACCACCACCACCTCCACATGCAGCTGTACATCTTGAGCGTAATTCTTCAAAATCTGCCGACAGTTGTTGCAATTGATTCTGTAAGTGTGATATTTTGAAGAGAGAGGCAATGACAATTAGGTTAAACCAATAATGAAAAAAAAAATCGAAACTACAAAATAAAAAACTGTTGACAATAGATGGTTGGAAGCCTTGATCGACGTAGGTTTCATGCTATTTGGAGACTCATCAGTCAGCAAGGTGTATCTGCAACATTGAAGATAATCATGTCTCTTCTGAGATTCTTAACCGTACCACTCAGTGCCGCAGTGAGAGATGTTACCAATGAGTTATTCGGGTTGGCTTGCAATTGACCTCCTGTAGGACCGTGTTGGATGCTTTGCATTGGACACTATTTAGTAACTGGTGTAGTGTATGTTGTAACCTAGATCGAAGGCATTCTGCCCATCCCTCCAACCATCTATTAAACCAACAAGTCAAAGTGCTATATGGTGGCGAGCCACAGAGAATGGCGACTGGATTGCAAACGTGACCGATAGAATTCAGTCTGCAGCAAAAAAAGAACTTGACACGGCAAAGTTAAACTTTCGACACTACTAGCAACCAATCAGCAAACGACCTTGAACGGACCAATCACATTAAATAGGCATATATGATGAATGGAAACGCGTATTTATAGAAAAAAGCGTAAAGAAGGATAAAACGGTTACAAGGAGTATCTTTCTCGAATATGTGAGAGAAACATCCCCCAGTTTAGCATGGGACTGTCAATGGCAAAGTCACAGCACATCCAGTACTTATATTCATCTGAACGGCTGTAAATGAGATCCTTTTCAGATCCATTTATAGCCCTTATCTTGTTTTTCAAGCGGCCCCAAAAACCTTCAGTGGAATTCGTATGAGTCCTCGTAACGGGATCCACACAGCAAACAAGTGATTGTCTCTATTTTACACGAAGCAATATCTCTGCAATGCTGGTACCACTAAAGTGTTGAGACAAGACTATTCTCAGTCTCGGCAGCTGCTGCTCTCACCGGCTGTTTCAACACCCAGTAATTGCAGATATACAAAATCTGGGTTAGGGAAAGATGTGATCTAGCGGAAAAATTTCCCACGAAATATTAAAATTATCAGCTTACCCTCTCTAATATTAGCATGCTTCAAACATATAGCACAACGATGAACAAACCCACCAGTTGATCTGCTATAGCTTTTTAAAGTCATGATACCAACACAAGAACAAGTTCGCTCCTTCCGGAGCAATTTAAATCCAGGCAATACTGGAAAACACTAACATCCTCAAATTGCAGCCGTAACCTTGTAAAGTCACGCATTAGAAACGAATCAAGCGCTCTACAACATTGAACTACGTTCGTGAATCTCATTGGATAATTCGACATCGTTCGTAAATCTCATTGGATAATTCGCTGATAGGTAGTTAGTGGTTTCGAAAGTTTAACTTCGCCCTTGACACATTATATTACTTACTAATTAGTGACGAATCAAACTACAACAAAATATGAGTCGTGTTCCGGTGCGATGGTGACATAGAGGAGATCGTGTGCGGAAGAGATGAGAGAGTTTTTGGGCGATTGTGTGGCTAGCCAGTTGAAGAGGACAACAGAAAATAGAATAGAGTGAAGATGTGTTTTTGAAGCCTTATGTTCCACTAGGAACCCAAAGAAACAACAACAATAATAATAATAATAATTAGCAAGAGTTTTGAAACACATTACCGATTGCCTTCAGGTCATTGGTTTTTCAGCATCCTAAGGACGCTAACCAATCAAGTAGTCTACAGCTTCCTATGTGGTTGGCTGACTCAAACTAACAACTGTTATAGATTTTATAGAGTGATTCTTAGTTTCTATTTGACCATCACTAGAATTTCTATCCCAACCTGATCTTATATCAGTCAGCTAACGTTGCTCGTCAAGTAAGATGATGGTAAAGCGATGTACATGTAAAACGAAATTCTAGCCACCTCAACGGATTTAATTTCACAACTTCATACAACCTTTGCTAAGAGGCGGTTAACCTTTCTCGTATCATCCACTTTCACTGGTCATATCTCACAGCAATTAAAGGAGAGGATGGAGAGAAGTGTGCTGTGCAGTTCACGTAAACATAAATCCTCTCTGATTCACAGGTATTAGAATTCAAAGTGATAAAGAGAACAATGCATTTCTATTATAAAACAATAATGATAATAGTAGTACGATAATATATCAGCTTACTTGAAGATCTGTATTATGCAATTGAAGAGCTTCATAATCACGTATAGAAACAGAAGTAGGATAACGAGTTTGACGTAATGCTGGATGTCTAAAATAATAAATTGAATTAAATTCAGTAATCTTTATTGTTATACTTAAAACAATACTATATTTCCTTTTACCAGTTTGACCATGGATAAAGCAGTATTGAAAACAAGCCACAGGGAGTACTACACAGCAGGCTGTTTCATCAGCCTGGTTTAGGAATCATCGATAGTAGTATGCTCTCACCCATCACAGGCGGGTTCGAACTCAGAACCTTCCGGTTACAATGGAAGCTCGTGTAGAATTTATAGGTCATTGAATCAAGTCCCAGTGGCTGAATGGTATACGAGCCAGCTGACCTTGTGACCGGAAGGTTTTAAGTTCGACCCCTGACAGTGAAAGTGTACTACTGAAAAGTGCCAAACTAGAGTTGACGAAACAATCGACTGTCGTCTAGTACTCACTGCCTGATCGTTTTCCAATAATTCTCGCTAACCGATGTCAGCACCTCATGATGATGAAATCCTCTAACCAAATACTTAGGTCATTAACTGGTTGCATTCCTACTTTTCAAACAGAATGCAGTATACTGTATACAAAAGGCAAATCCTCCTCTGCTGTGCTCACTGAGGCTGGTGTCACCCAAGGTGTTGTGCTCTCCCCACTTCTCTTCTGTTTTCTTTCTTTCTACATGACCTACCATCTTCTTATGACATTAATTTTGTCAAATATGCTGATGACCTAACTGTATCTTTGCCTGTCAAATGTCAAAGTGACTGCACTAAACTAAACGGCTTTTTATCAGAAGTCAGCCGATGGTCCAAGGAAAACGGTCTCACCTTAAACCCCTCCAAATGCCAAAGAGTCAATTTCACCTTTAGGCATAAATCTGACCTAAACAAACTGCTTAGCACTCACGAGGTCTGCAACATAGATGGCACTGAAATAGAAACCAAGTCAGAAATCAGATACCTAGGCGTCATTCTATCTTCTGATCTTTCCTGGTCGTCTCATATCTTGATTATTTCTTAGAAAATATTCCGTCTTACCTTCTACATCAAGAAGTTAAAGCATTCTGGTATAAACCAATCCTTTCTCATACAATTCGTTAACTCTCGCATTCTGCCTATTATTCTATATTGTTCCCACCCTCTTAGTTTTTCCAGGGCTACTGAGGAAAGACTACACCTTATTACTCAGGATGTTAAAGGTTGTCAGAAGGGTGAGCTACGTGCCACTTAACCAGCTTGTTAATATTCCGGTCAACATGGACTCATGTGAAAAATGGGCGAAATTCATTCTATCTTTCTAACTCACACCACTCACACTCTTTATTCACAACTCTCCCCTTGTATCTTATCAGGAAAACCCAGAAGCATATATAGAAAACTATACGCTTGCACTAGTAAGTTCAAAAACTCAACCATATCCTACTTAACTCGTGTTCTGTGCGATAAAGAAAACATTAGGCGTGAAACCTTTAACTTATTAAATAGTAAGTAGAACAACACCGGGATCTCGTCTTTCCAACTCATATCAATTATGGGTACAACGTTTTTCTTTCTTTCTTTCTTTCTTCTGCTTACGCCAGTAAATATGCCAGAACCTACGTTTCTAGCACCTTCAAACACTCTGTTTAATTTTGACTTTACTACCGATATGCTAATATGTTGTTGTCAAAACTAACTGAGTTTACCCTTAATCTATGTAGAATTTTATTTTATTGTTAATTTACTAATTGGATGCAATACTGTCTGTAGTAAAATGCTGAGAATTCCATTCTGTATCACAAGTACTGTTTTGGAATAAAGGAAATTATTATTATTATTATTATTACACTTAAATAACTTACAATGAGTCAATAGAATCTGAATGAAGAATTTCTTGACGTAATTTTTCAATCCAATCATCATAAGCTGCGTCGCTTGAAGAATAACGAGAAGTATTCAATTCACTTGACGATCGTGACTGATTAACACCATTCTGTGCCTGTAGGGGTGGGACGGGGAAGAGGGGAAGCAATATTACCGATAGTAATAATAATAACTTTATTGCAAATAATACTTTTGATACAAATATGAAGCTTTCAGCATGTAGGGCAACATTGTATCTGGTTATGAAGAATCCTCCTCTATTATTATCCATCGAGTAACATATTAATTGTCAAGGGCATTTAGGCATCAAATACTCCAAACAGTGTAGAGGCTAATACGATTTGCTATAAACAACCGATGCTTTGTGTGTGCGGGGTGTGTGTGTGTGTGTGTAGAAGAAAAAGGACCCGCTAGCCACTATCAATGCCCTGGTCTTCTACAGAGCCTACAAATTCACGAATCCAGTATTATTATTATTATTGTAATCCCTTTTCCTAATTTGTCTGATATTCAGTGGGTAGTGTTAGATGTTGGTGCATAGTATCACACTTACAGATGCTAATGAACTGGAATCTATTCATACTATTGATTGATTTGATGTTATTTAATGCTGTTAATAACCCTTCTTTCTTTAATTATATATATATATATATATATATAATTGTTTTCTTTAGTTCCTAGAGGGACACAGGACTTCAGGCGCACATCTCCATTGCATTTGGTTGTCTCCCAACGTTCTTACCTGGTTCCACGTCTGCCCAATTGCTTGCATCTCCTCTTCGCACCGCCTCCTCGTCCATGTCATCCTAGCACTGATATACTACTCGCCGCTTCTCATTCAGGTCCCACTCGAGTGATGCCCCTCATTGCGGGTAATGCCACTTGATGGTGGTTTGTTTTCTCAGAGTACGACCAATCCACCTCCATTTCTTTCTGCATATTTCCTACTGGGTAGGTTGGCATCCAGAGATCGCTCAGTGTAACCAACGTTTTCTGGCCATCTCATCTTGAGCGAAGTAATGAGCAAAGACAGCTGTTGATGAAGGTCTGTAGCTTTTTCAAAGTGCTCTTCGCGACACGGTCCTGCGCCAATTCTCTGATCCGTTAAAGTGAGTAGCACTGACTTTACATCGGGGTTGAAAAAAAAACGGATCTAATTTTCCATGCTCAAAGCTACTGACCTCCAAACAGACTTGAAAGTAATGAAAGCTTGCCTTGTTTCCCGAAGATCCTCATCAGTTTCGCCTGGGGTGAATAATAACTGTGGAAACTGATGAAGAGCAGATTATCGAAAAGATTCACATTTCTTTTCTGTTCAGTAATCAATCTTTTGAAATTTCTAATGGGCATTTTTGACCATTGATAACAATAATAAAGTCATTATTGCAAACAGCCTCGTTTGATACATATAGAGCACTTCTCAGCATGTAATACATACAATTCAGTTGCATCTAATTTTCTTATTACATAATCCACAGGTAATAATGGAATTATATGTACCAAGTTAAAAAGTTGTGTGTGAGTAGTGCCTTGATATGATTATGAGCAGGAATGAATTGTGCTCGGAAACTGGTCATCAGTAAACATTACCGTATAACACTGGGAGACTTTATCAAACCAAATTTCACCCTTAATGAAATTATAATCTAACACAGTGCACAAGTTTTATTCTTCTAACCATCTCAGTCGATATAGCTTCACAGCCTCGTCGATTATGTAATGAAACACAAACATAAAGACCTGAATAACATTGATATAAGAATAAAACGTGTGCATTGTGGTAGAGTATAATTCCATTATGGGTAAATTTATTTTGATAAAGTCTCACAGTGTTATACACCAATGTTTACTGAAGATGTTTCGAGCACAATTTATTGCTCATAATCATATCATATCACGACTTGTCAACTTCATTTATATCGTTCCATTATTTTTCACTTCATTTTCAGCCATTGAAAAAATTATTTTAAGGATTCAATTATGTCTCAAATCTACTATCTTTAAATTCCAAGGTAAAATATATAGACAAACAGAAGGTGTAGCAATGGGATCACTAATATCCCCTATTGTAGCAGACATATTTACGGACAGCTGGAAAAATAGTGCCCTCAATATATTTAACCCTACTCCAAAAATATGGTGGAGATATGTGGATGACACTTTCACAGTGTTAAAAACAGAACCTATCTCTAGCATCTTGACACACATAAACTCACTAGTGGAGGGAATAAAATTCACATTTGAATCGGAAAATGAACAAGGAGAATTAGTCATTATGTTAGATTGTAAAATAAAACGAATACAAGAAGGTAAACTGAACACTAGTGTTTATAAAAAAGCCAACACATTCTGCTAATAGATATTTAGAACTATTTAATTCATCTCATCCGTTCGTTGTCTGTAAAGGCAGGCTTAGTTAAGTGTCTAACAAACCGAGCCATAGCACTAAGTAGCACAAGAAAAGACCTAAATGACGAAATAAAACAGACAGAAGAATTGCTGGTTGGTGTTAAGTAACTATCCTATAAAATTCATTAGGAATATCAGTAAAGGCCAAAAACAAAATAAAAATAATAGTGAAACTAATTTTTTTTCTTTCATTCACGTTCTCCAGTGGAACATAGGGAGGGCTTCAAGCTAGTGGCTTGAAGTTTCTGCAGCAGTGTTTATTTTACAGGATGGGGTTGCCAGCCTGTCTCATGCACAACCTTTCCTCTTTACCAGCATTATTTCTGGCTTACCGAGGTAAAGGAGTGCGGCGTCGGCCGGGAATCGAACCCCGGACCATGTGCATGGTCGGCGAGTGTCCTAACCGCTATGCCACCGACGTACAGTGAAACTAATAATGATAACATAAATAAGAGAGAATATAAGTCATCCTTTGTTATACGATATAAGGAGGGGACATCTGAAACCCTACGTAGAATTCTTAATAAAGCAGGAGTTAGGGTGGCATTTAAACCTAGAAACTCACTCAGGTAGGACAAGCTCTGTAGGTTAAACGACCCTATCGGTTGACCCAATTAGACAAAATAATATAATTTACAAAATACCCTGCAACGACTGTGAGTTAGGTCAACTACATAGGTCAAACTAGTACATCGAGGGTAGTCAGAATGTCGGAACATAAGAATTTAGCTAAGGTAAGAATGGTTGACCTTAAAAGGATAAGTAATTTAGAAAAAAAGCCCAGCAATTGCACTGTATGCACTAACACACAACCACACAATAAGGTAGGTGGGAGAGGGTTGAAATTCTAAAAAGTGATCTAAATAGGCGGAGAGAGAGAGGTTGATTACTGAATCCTTGTTCATCGAGTCTACACCCAATACATGCAATAGAAATGATTCATCAATCATACACGGAATATGGAAAATACTACCACCAATCAGATCGAGAGGAAATCAAGTGAAAAATAATGGAACTATATAAATGAAGTTAGGAAGTCGTGTGAGTACCTTGATATGATTATGAGTGGCAATAAATTGTGCTCGGAACATGGCCATCAGTAAACATTACTGTATAACACACACTGTGAGACTTTATCAAAACAAAAATTTACCCATAATGGAATTATAAAGACCTGAAGTTTTATGTTTTATTCACGACGCAAGGGAATAATAATAATAACAATCATCATGAAGACTTACATTATTCAGTAGGTGTGAATCAGTTTCATTAATATTGAAGCTATTGTCTAATTGTAGATTACACTGTACATCAACATCATGATAAGAAACAGACGATCGACTTGATAATACTGATGCATTGACTTTACTCTGACATTTAGCTTCGACAACGCCGACTTCTTTCATACGCTTTTTTTGTATTAAAAAAAAACGTTTGTTTTATTTATTGAAAAAATAATCAATAAAATTAGTTACATATACTAAGTAAAACATGCTTTTAAAAAAGAATATGGCAAATTCAACAATAACTAGCTTCCCGGGAGTGCGAACTTCAGTTGACCAATCATAAAAATCAGGAATGTTTACTCCAAAAAAACGATTTATATTGACAAGAAAACGCTTGAAAAAGCATTGAACAGGGTATATTTCTTTGACATGCAGAGTATCAGTTGCTAAGTTAGACTAGTTTCTGTACATGCATTCACCGAGGTGACTAAAGACGAGGTGTTTTTGTGAATTGTTCATCTCTCTCATCCTGCTTGCAGTCTTCCAAAAACAACCCTCAGTTGAATTGGCATGGTTTCCAAGTGGATAATGAAACAAACTTAAATAAATGATATCAATTATAAATCTATCTCCTTTATCCTAACCCTAAGCATAACCCTTATCATCCAAACCGTAATTCTAACCTTAATGCTAATTATAACCTTGATCCCAACCCTAACCCAACCAATACCTACCACCTACCTTAGCCCTAATCCTAACCCTAACGAGCTATTAACACATTGTCCAAACAGTACTTAAAAACGTGATCTGGGTAAAGTTTGCTGCTTAGCTGGTGAATGAATAGCTCTGATATTTCAGCTTTGTTAATATACAGGTGCCGTTACCCAATGATTAGCATGCGTTCAAGGTTATTGGAGGGTTAACACTCCTGGGAAGTTATTGTTGAACTTCGCCAGAAATATTACTTGATAAAATTAAGCATAAAACTATGAATAGTAATAATAACAATAGGTGATACTAAAACTTGCGACCGTCATCGAGTCAGTCTAGGCACTTTAGTAGTAGTGTGATGAGAGCTGGCTGCTAGCCAAAAATTGGTAGACAGTAATTTACGTCAATGTGTACGTCGCCAATATTGGTATGAGAAAATAAAAAAAGAACAAAGACTGACTCAGCAACTAATCACAACAGACTTTGTTTGCGTAGGCGGATAAGATTTGCAGGTAGAGATAATCTGAACTTCAAGAAACAACCACAAAGAGGTGACAGAATAACCTTCAGCAGGAAAACAACCAATCAGAAGACTGTGTTTGTCTGCGAACAATAATGTATAGTAATGCACATGAAAATCTATAAATGTATTGATTTCCTTAATAAACGATCTGTTGCCTGCCCCTTGTCTTCTGCTGTTACAGTAATAGTAGTAGTAGTGAAATGCTCACCAGCCATAAAGAACATTCAGATTCGACTCACAACTGATGTTTGATGATCAATCAACAGGAAATACAAACTCATTTATATAAATAACAATTGATACTCAATGCAAAAGACGTGACCCCCCATGATCCAGTGCCTTAAGAGATAACGCTTTGGCATGAGTCTTGAGTTCAGGAAGAATAACCACCAGTATCTGCTGTTGCAGATACATCCAGTTGACTAGCCCTAAATACAACGAAATGCACATTTTCGATTCCACTGTTAGTCACCATTCACCAGAAGTGCGCATCGGTGGTTGTCCGGTGGTAGGAAGCTTACCAACCACGTCTCACACAGTCCAGCGTTCAAATCCAAGCCGAGGTACGCCTAAACCTCGCTAAGCCAGGAATGTGACGACAGAAGACAAAGAAACCAAGAGATATTTATATATTTTCCTTTACATTATTATTCGTAATTATTCGCAGAGAAACAGAGTCTTTTGATTGGTTGTTTTCTCTCTGAAAGTTATTCTGTCAAATCTTTGTGACCATTTCTCTGAAGGTCAGAGTATATATCTGCGAATCGTATCCGCCCACACAAAGTCTGTTGTGATTGGTTGTTGACTTAGTTTTTGTTCTTGTTTTTTTCTTCATGGCCAAGATATGGGACGTAAACTGCTGTCTAGCAAATTTTGGCTAGCAGACAGCTCTCACCATAGTAGTAGTAAGCCCAGTTAAAAAGAAGAACTTTGAGTCTGAGGCTTACAAATCCACCCTGTAAAAATAAACGTCACTGCTATTCAAACTTCAAAGCAGAAGCTTCAAGCCCTATGCTCCTTTGGGAACTGGAAGCAATAATAAAAAAAACAGCTGAAGAGCTAATAAAAGTCCAGTAACAGTCTATTGCTAAAGTTAGTTTCTTTGTTTTGATGTGGTTGTGTTCTCTGAGCTGGATAGTCAATTTGCGAAGCTTTCATCGCCCTACTAGGTGACATCTTCAGCGCATACTTCAATTTGAAGTGAACTTTTAGATTTCTCCACGAGTTTATTAATCATCTCTCCTTGTGACCTTGGACATGATTGGTTGTTTTGTGTGTTTTCACACCTTCTAGTCTACTTGTATTGGTACTGATTGTTTCTTTGACTAGAAAACAAAGGGTCAAAGTTCACGTCAAATGACGTCTAAATGCTGGGAGTGCCGCTATACATGACTTCCACATTATTTAAATTCCAAGGGAAAATATGCAAACAAACTGAGGGAGTTCCCATGGGGTCACCAATATCCCTGATTGTGGCAGATATATTCATGGATAGGTGGGAGAAGTTAGCGATTGAAACGTTCAGCCACACCTCAGAAGTATGGTGGAAGTATGTAGATGACACATTCACTGTAATTAGAATAAAGGATTTGCATAGATTTTTCGAAAACATCATTAGTAGTAATTCCATACAAGGAAGGAACCTCGGAAACCCTACGCAGAATTCTTAACAAGGCGGGCAGGAATAAAAGCGGCTGGAATTCAAACCACCCACAAACTCAATTGGAAACAAGCTTTGTCGGTGAAAGGATCGATCCTGTGGAGGCTTTAAAACAAAACAATTTAGATTATCTAATACCCTGCCTTCAATGATTGTCGGGTCAAATACATAGGTCAGACTAGTAGAACAGGGGCAGCCAGTCGGACTAGCCGAGGATAAAAACCTGGCAGTACAGTTGGCTTCCTCGTTTTCTAAGGGAAATACGCCCTACTGCTGCTACATGGCTATTCTCCAGCAGTACGATTTCGACTACAGAACCTCAATCCAGTAGAAACAATTGACACAATGACGGTATCTGCTTTTAATCTCATCAATATGCAATTTTATTTTATTTAAACGCAGAAAAACCTTTTATTTTTTTATTAGAGCTTGATTCCACACTGTATTTTTGGTGCAAGTATGGAATTTTCAGCATGGATATCGGTAGCCCAAATTTTGCAGGCCGACCACAGATATTAGGTGTGCGTCGGCAGGGAATCGAACCTCCGACCATGTGCATGGTCAGCGAGAATCCTAACCACTGTGCACCCAAGAAGATGCGCTACACCTGTGTGTGGGCTGAGATAATACCCGGGAGCCCAGACCGAAGCAGGTGGTTTTCTTTAGGTAATATCCCCCCGAGGCCTTAACTTGGAGTCTAATCCGCAAGGCGGCGGAGTAGCGTCAGGAGCTACGTTTCCATGGTTACAGGTGACCAATATAGGTTCATACACCATCTGATCCAATTGGATTCTGGAGCCCATATACCCCATGGTAACTGCTTTTAGTCTAACCACTATCCAAACAACCTTCCTAACATGGTAGGACCTGCAGGAACATGAGTCCCAGCCAGTTTGGCTTGTTGACGGTCACCGTGATATTCAAGCCCGACCACCACGACAAGGTAGCCGTTTTCGGCCGGGCATCACTATGCAAACGACCTGCATGATATGGTAGGACCTTCAGGAACATTCACTCTAGCCAGTATAGCTCGCAACTCAAATCCGACAACCACCACATCAAGGTAGCAGCTATCCATCGGGATAACTTTGTAGGACAGTACTATCAACCGTCTCACACAACGTGTGTAACTCATCACAGCCTGGTGTACATGATACATCTGTTTAAGGTAACTGAATTCGAACTCATAAGATCATGTCATCTTCATGCTCCCCCCCCACGAAAATTTTAAAATTGTCATAACTTACCTTCAATTCGGATTGTAATTCATTGACACAATTTTTTAATTTAATATTTTGACGCTCTTGCTCCGAAATAGTCTCTTCTAATTGTGACAACTTTTCAGTATGATTTTCTTCCATCTGCTTTAATTTTGTTGATGTCTCATCTATGCAAACGACAATACAAAAAGAAAGATAATCCCAAATAGAAGTATAGAAAATGAAACCACCCCCGCAAAAAAAACTATATTCAGAGTTTATTATTCTGACGGGATGATTAACAATCATGTTGGAGTTTCTGGTTCGATTTCGAGTTTCATGCACTTCAAAACTAAGCATCATTCAGTAGACGGTAGTGAGCCCAGAAAAAGGTGTAAGGTTAGTCGGAACTCCATTATATAGATAAGATTTTATTTTGATAAATCACACAGTGTAGTGTTATACAGAAATATTAACTGATGACCACCTTTCGAGCACAAATTACTGCCGCTCGTAATCATATTAAGTCACTACTCACACAACCTTTTTCCTTCATTTACATACATGTGGATAATTGACTAGATATTTGAATAAAATCAATATGGGATAACATACATTCAGAAGTAATAATATGAGTGTTATTGATTAAATACAATCAGACGAGTGTTTTTTAGTCATAATAAGTAACTTGTTAGAATGTTATGATGTACGTGAATTGAATTAGAATTTTAAGATTATTCATTATCCTCCTCTGATTTGACTGACTGGTGGTAATAATATCTTCTATATTTCTGGTATTTGCATTGAGTCATTTCTGTTACATGTGTTGGGTGTAGATTCAATGAACCAGACAGGATTCAGTAGTCAATCTCTCTCTACACCTACCCAGATTACTTCTTAGAATCTTAACCCTCTTCCTTGTTATTGTGTGATTGTGTGTTAATGCATCTAGTGCTTTTTCGAAATTACTCATCTTTACAGGGTCAACCATTCTTACCTTAGCTGAGTTCTTATGTGCGTCGGCGGCACAGTGGTTAGAACTCTCGCCGACCATGCATACGGTCCGAGGTTCGAGCCCCCGCCGACGCACACCTGATATCTATGGTCGACCTGCCAAATTTGGGCTACCGATATCCACGCTGAAAATCCCAAACTTGTACCAAAAATACAATGTGGAATCAAGCTGTAATCAAAAATAAAAAATTTTAAAAAAATCTGACTACCCCGACCTACTAGTTTGACCTACGTAGTTGACTTAACTCACGGTCATTGCAGGGTATTTTGTAAATTATATTATTTTGTCTAATTGGGTCAACCGATAGGGTCGTTTAACCTACAGAGCTTGTCCTACCTGAGTGAGTTTCTAGGTTTAAATGCCACCCTAACTCCTGCTTTATTAAGAATTCTACGTAGGGTTTCAGATGTGCCCTCCTTATATCGTATAACAATGGGTGACTTATATTCTCTCTTATTTATGTTATCATTATTAGTTTCACTGTACGTCGGTGGCATAGCGGTTAGGACACTCGCCGACCATGCACATGGTCCGGGGTTCGATCCCCGGCCGACGCCGCACTCCTTTACCTCGGTAAGCCAGAAATAATGCTGGTAAAGAGGAAAGGTTGTGCATGAGACAGGCTACCAACCCCATCCTGTAAAATAAACACTGCTGCAGAAACTTCAAGCCACTAGCTTGAAGCCCTCCCTATGTTCCACTGGGGAACGTGAATGAAAGAGAAAAAAATAGATTCACTATTATTTTTATTTTGTTTTTGGCCTTTACTGATATTCCGAATGAATTTTATAGGATAGTTACTTAACACCAACCAGCGATTCTTCTGTCTGTTTTATTTCGTCATTTAGGTCTTTTCTTGTGCTACTCAGTGCTATGGCTCGGTTTGTTAGACACTTAACTAAGCCTGCCTTTACAGCCAACGAACGGATGAGATGAATTAAATAGTTCTAAATATCTATTAGCAGAATGCGTTGGCTTTTTTATAAACACTAGTGTTCAGTTTACCTTCTTCTATTCGTTTTATTTTACAATCTAACATAATGACTAATTCTCCTTGTTCATTTTGCGATTGCAAAAACGGAAAGTCAGCAAATTCGTCCCGTGAAAATAACTCCACCCACCACTTAAACATAAACAACTTGAAAACGACAGGTGATCGTGAGGTCAGCTAAAGACGAGGGCGTATAACGGACAAAACGGAGATGTGACGTTGAAGTCCTATGTTTCATTCGGAACCCAAAAGAATACACAGTCTTCTCCATGTCACTCTTGCATCCAAGCCGAACACACTCATTATTTCTCATTCGGGGTTCCATTCGAATAATGGCCTGGAGAGCAATGTCGCCAAGCGGTCTCCTGACAGTGTGCCCAAGCCATCTCCACTCCCTTAGGATTATTTGCTGAGCACGTAATAGATGCTCTGGTTGGATAGTCTCTTGTGACATACTTCTAACCACCCATCCAAATATGCAGTATCCATAAAGAGAATCCAGATGTTGATAAGCGTCTTCACTGGGCTGTTTTTATAAGGAATTTCGTGATGCGCCTCACAAATTACTGACGGATATAGAAAGACTGACTGATTTCACATTTGTGTTGAAAATTGGAATCTTGTTCTTCATGTTGAGTGCAGTGCAGAATACTTCCGAACTGATTTCAGAGCGAAGGCCTGTCTTGCCATTCGGATTCCTCATCCATTCCTTCTATATTTGAAACGATGCTTCCTAGACAGGTGAAGGAAGAGGCCTCTTTGTTGTTGTTGTTGTTGGTCAGTTATCTTCATTACCTCTGTCTCCACATTATCTATGTTCACCCGGAGTCCTGGCAAAGTTAAACTTTAAGCACCACTAACTACCAATCAGCAAATGGCCTTGCAAATACCAATCACACATACATATATCTATGAAAAAAATTGCATAAAAACTGTATAAAAGTGTTACAGAGGACACCTTCCCTTCAAATGTGATAAAAAATAGCTCTCCGTCTTAGGTTGGTGTATCAACAGAGTATAATTCCATTGTGGGTAAAATTTATTTTGATAAAGTTATCATAAGTTTTATACAGCAATATTTACTGAGCAATAGATTGTGCTCGAAACGTGGTCGTCATCAGTAAATATTACTACTGTATAACACTGTGAGACTTTATCAGAATAAATTTTAACCTCAATGGAATTAAACTATACTACATTGCACAAGTTCTATTCTTATGTGAAGATAGAGTAATTTAGCCACATTCTAGGCATGCAATTATTTGGGTCTTCTAACCCTAATCTTTCTTGAACCTAATCCTAACGTGAAAATATCCCTAAACTAACTGTGTAATCTAACTCGAACCGACTCTAATATCACCTTTGTTAGATTAATCTAACCCAAACTTGTCCTTGGCTTAAAAAGTAACTTAATCTTTCGTAAACCTAAGCTGAAACTTGCCAGATATCCTATTTAATAACATAATACTTCGATGGGCATATTTTATTGATGATGGCATTATTATTTGCCGGATTCCACTAACTTGCTTAGTGAGCTTTTCAAGGTCACTGGTACGGTCGCACTCCCCTGGTAGTTAGTGGTGCACTGCCTGCTTCAGCCAATTCGTTGGTTTCCTCTTACAAGTCTAAGTGTATTATTATTATTATCGTTTCTTTTAATTCCTAGAGGAACATAGGGCTTTAGCCAAACGTCTCCATTGCGTTCAGTTCTCCACCAACATTTTCATTACCTGGCTCCACATCTGCCCACATGCTTTCATCTCCTCTTCACATCACCTTTTCATCCATGTCACCCTAGCATCAACGACCAACTCGTCCCTTCCCATTCGGGTTCCACTCGAGTGATGACCTGCATTGAGGGTGATGTCACTTGATGGCGGTTTGTTTTCTCAGAGTATGGCCAGCCCAATCCACCTCCATTTCTTCCTGCATATTTGTTGCACGACAGCTTCCTGCTGGGTCGGTTCGCTCACTGCCAGAGATCACTCACTATTTCTGATATTTTCTGGCCAGCCATCTCATCTTGAGTAATATTGAACGAAGAGAGCTAGTTGTTGATGAAGGTGTGTAGTTTGGTTGAAGTGCTCTTCGTGACGCGCTGGCCAAAATCACATGACAACTAACTAATGTCAGCTCATGATGAAATCACATGACAACTGTTGGATGCCAACGGTATGTATGCCTATGTTCTAGAATCTGACGTAGAATGAAGAATTGAGCACAATACCCCCTTTACCTGATCGAAAGCCTATCTGGCTGCTAAACTACTGCGAGATATTCGACTATCGACCAAAGGGCGGGTGTATTGCTCATCAGTCCTCTCCGTCCTCCTTTATGATCAGCTGTGAGACCTGGCCACTGAGAGTGGACATGAAAAGATTAGCTGTCTTTAATCATAGATGCTTGCGTTCTATCTCCCGTGTGAAGTAGCATAATAAGGTGAGCAATATTGAGGTTAGGCGTCGAGTTCTAGGTAAACAGGGGAAATCAATCGACGAAGTCGTGAAGTTACAACGACTGAGATGGTTAGGACATGTGTTACGTATGCCTAGTCATCGCCTTCCTCGACAGTGGGCAATGTTAGCGGATATAGGGTCAGGCTGGAAAAAAGCTAGCAGAGGTCAAACCAAAACATGCCTTCACCAGTCAATGAAATCTACAACAGTTAGTCTAAGCCAAGTAGGAAGGTGTAGACTGGTCTCCTGGTTGGGGTCCTCGGGACGGTAAAAACCAATGGTTGGAAACAATTGGTGACATGGCTCAAAACCGTTCTCAGTGGCGCAGATGCATCCACTCCCTGTGACTTATGATCTCCAATGAAACTGTTTTGTTCTTCGTTATTACTCTTCCTTTGTCTCACACCTCTGTTTACTGTCTCTATTATGCTTTTCTTGTATTCTTCTCTTGCTTTTTGTGGTACATGGAGGGAGTGTGGCAACTTGAACTGCCGCACATATGTGCAGAGTTCTAAGTCGAAAACAGACAGACAGACAGACTACCATTGTGCCTCACTTTCACTCAAGAATACTATTCAATGAAGTAGTAAAATTCAAATATTCTGTTGTAAAAAAAACAAAACATGAAAACTAAAAGAGTCATTATTAACACAGAAGTCAATTATAAACAGCAGAGAGTGAGAGAGAGAGAGAGGGGATTGGATAACAATAACAATAAAAATGAACCAACCTATTTCAGCTTTATGCTGAATATCAAGTTCCCGTTGACTAGTGAATAATTTTCTTTCAAAATCTTTTGTCATCTCTTGAATATGACTGGCATGTTCAGCTTTCATCAACTCGATTTGCATTTGATAATTTTCATGGATTTCTGAGAGTGATTCACTAAAAATTGTCAGAGAAGATCAAGACAAAAAAAGAGAGTTTAGAACAAAGACAAATATTTGATGGTATTAAATGGTTGGAGGCTATCGGCGGCCACAGGAAGCCTTGCTTGACCTAGGTTTCGTGGTATAGTTGGCACTCACCAGTCAGCAAGGCGTATCTGCAATCCCCTTGAAGGAAGTCATGTCCCTGCTTCTGAGATTCAAACCCGCGTCACCCAGTTCCCGCTGCAGTCAGAGACGTTACCATTGAGCTATTCGGGCTGGCTCGCGATTGACCTCCCATAGGACTGTAGTGGATAATTTGATTTGACACTAGTAACTAGTGTGATGTGTCTAGTCCTCTGATTGGTGTAGACTAAATTCTGAAGGACAACTATTCATGAAAAGAATGCAATCAATATGTTCTAGTGTTGGGGTTTTGTAGGAATTTTGTGTTTGATTGCATGCAGGATTTCATTATTATGAGCTGACATCAGTTAGAGAACCATTGGAAAACCAGTGGCTGTTGAATAGTCCTACGAGCTCGCTAGCCTTGTAACCAGAAGGCGCTGGGTTCAAACCCCCTTGGTGAATGGGTGCGTACTGATGAAGAGTCGCAAACTTGGCTGACAAAACAGCCCCCAGGTTTACAAGTGGTTCCCTAACTGATGTCAGTTCATGATGATTGAAATCCTCCATGCAATCAAAATGCTTAAATAATATTGATAATGAATTTCAAAGATAATGACTAGAAACCATGGAGAAAAAGGGAAATTTTAAGAACACCATATTCAGCGAAGAGACTCTTTTCAACAACGAATTTATTATCAAGCTGTACAATCGTATATACATATGGTTTTATAAAGCAATTATATCCGGTGAGGGAATTAAGGTCAAAGATGTGAATACATGAAATAATAATAGTAGAATGAAATGCAATTAAAATATTTGTGATTATAATCATGGTTTAATGTCAAGTTGCAAAATAATTACAGTTGGGTGCCTATTTCCAGGAAAAGGAATCTTAGTCACTCGTTCTGCTTTAGGATGAGGAAAATTTGTAGTTCTGATTGCATTGACTCAAAACTTGACTTCTTAAAAGCCACACTCACAGAAAATGGTTACCCTAACCGATTTATTAACAGCAACATGAAAGTTAAGCAGTCTAAACTGGTCACCGACTCACTATCAAAGAAAACCTTATTCATGAACTTGGAATTCAAAGGTGATCAAGCTTCAGATATGCTCGAAAATAGCCTCTCTAAATCAGTCAGTAAGACGTTCTTGGCAGCAAAATTACACATGACATTCACGAGCCGCAAATTGTTCTCTACCTCTGTAAAAGATAAACTCCCCCGTCTGACCGCCTCCATGTGCATCTACCAGTTCACCTGCTCTTGTGGAGCAAGGTACATTGACCGCAGTCAGAGGACGCTTTCCACAGATGGATATGAGAACATATTCCAGATTGGTTTTACAAGGGAGAAAAGAAGTGCGTGCGAAGCTCTATTCTGGAACACCTGACCGACTTCTGCCACTCGGTCAACCCTGACCATGATTTCAAGATCATCAACCGAATCCATGCTAACTGATCCCACATATTTTGGTATTTACTGTTAATCTTGTATATATGGTATATTATCATTCTCACACATTTTGGTATTAACTGTTAATCTTGTATATATGGTATATTATCATTCTCACACATTTTGGTAGTGACTGTTAATCTTGCATATATGGTATATTATCATTCCCACACATTTTGTTATTGACTGTCAATCTCGCACATATGGTATATTATCATCTCTCACGCACTTTGTTATTGGCTATTAAGATCAATTATTTCAAATGCTGTCCATATTGTTGTAAAATGTATAAATACCATGGCTTTCTTTGTCGTTGTTGCACTTCAATACACAGTCACAGTCCAGCCTTTGTCTTTTGATATTTGCGTGCTTTACTAAGTCGGAAGGTACGACAAGCAGATAGGCAGATTAGTTCAGGCGCAGACACAGCAAGGTGACAACGTCTTCATTTAATTCCCTACAGTTATAACACTAACTTCCAGCGTTTTCTCCGTTACAGAATTCTAAAGACAGCTGAGGCCTTGGCAATTCATGACTTTAAGCCAGACCTTTGTGTACAAAAGAAGTATGTACAATCCCTACTTCTGCCTTGGCTGTAGAGCGATAGACATTTATTTATTTATTTTATTTATTTAGTTATTCTATGTACTTTTCCCTTATTACTTAGATTATTATTATTATTATTATTACTGTTCTCAATCTGAATCTTTTCCACTTGACACATCTGACATTTTAAACCCAAAATCATTCATCTGTATATTTTTATTTTTACAATATTGAATTCTATCTTATCAAATTTCACACAATGTTATGTAACATTTTATATTCGCCTATTAATCCTATAATTATGCACCCCTTTCCATCAATAGCTATACACCTTATGTATTATTCTATAAATGACATTAATCACTTGGCCACTTGACATTAAACCATGATTATAATCACAAATATTTTAATTGCATTTCATACTACTATTATTATTTCATGTATTCACATCTTTGACCTTAATTCCCTCACCGGATATAATTGCTTTATAAAACCATATGTATATACGATTGTACAGCTTGATAATAAATTCGTTGTTGAAAAGAGTCTCTTCGCTGAATATGATGTTCTTAATATCTAGAATTGTACAGAGTGGGTGACCAACTTTGTATAACTTTGGTAAACCATATAGCCTTGGTATTATTGAATTGAAAAGAATCTCTCCGCTGACTGTTGTGTTCTTAAAAGGAAAACCGTTTGTTATTTTGCCCCTCAGTTTTGGAATATGCGATTCGCTCCCGTCAAATGTAAGATGATGAATGCTACAGGACTGGATTACATCAACTCACTCCTCCGCTAAAGATAAGCAGAAGTGAAGTGGTGGCTGGTGGAGCTTGCTGACCACTTCAGCTATTAGGGAAGTTGCATCAGTCGGCCTTAAACGGGTTGATCGCTACCAAAAATCCCAACACGGATACAAGAGGCTCGTTTAGTATATGCCAACTGACGCTATCTGTCGCCAAGTAGATGTGTTATCCGGTCTTCTATCGACCAAAGGGCGTGTATACTGCTCAGCAACACTTCACTCCGTCTACCTTTATGGCTGTGAGTGAGACATTGTCATTGGAAGTGAAAGACATAAAAACCGTGACTGGCTAACTGTCTTTGATAATGGCTGTCTGCATTCTATCTCTTGTGTTAGATGGTCGGTGTCATAGGGTGATTAATATTGAGGTGAGCCTTCCGGCGACTGCTCGGTAAGGAGGGGAAACCAATCAATGAGGTTGTAAAGCAGCTGCATTGATTGAGTGAGATAGTTAGGACCATCGATCGCCTTCCTCGATGGGTAATGTTAGTCGACTGACATGGGATGGATGGATCAGGTTGGTGGCCAAACTAGAAACATGGCTCCATCAGTCAATGAAAATCACGACATTTAGTTTAAGTCAGCCACCCAAGTAGGGAGGTGTAGATTGCCTCACTGACTGATTACGGTCCTCGGAGTGTTAAAAACCAATAGGGACTGGAGGCAATTGGTGATAAGGTTCGAAATCCTCTTTCTGAATATCTGGCGCAGATTTATCTACTCTTTGTGATTTATCATAAGCAAAAAAACTGTTATGCTTCCCTATTACTATTCATTTTGCCTCACATTATTACTATTCCTTTTATTATTATTTTTCCCTTGAGTTCTGATTGGAACATAGGTCTTCAACAACCTATCTCCATTTTGTTCTGTTTTCTGCTGTCCTTTTCAGCTAGCTCGCCAAACAATTGAACAAACCCTCTTCCTCACACGATCTCCTCCATGTCAAAATAGTAACGACGACCGATTCATCGCTTTCCAACAGGAGTAAACTCGAGTAATGGTTTGCAATCAGCACGATGTCATTCGACGGCCTCCTCAATGTATGCACGATCCATCCATCTCCACTTTCTCCTACATATTTGTTGAGTGATCAACTCTCGCCTATTGGTTTGTTCTCATAGTTTCTAATTGCTTACTCTTTCTGCCTGGCCATTTGATCTTCAAGTATGGAGCCAGACAGTGAGAGCGGTAACTGTTGATCAAAGTCTGCAACAGACTGTTGGAAATCCTTTTCGTGACACACACACACTACCACTTTCTGACCCGTATAGAAGAACTGACCAAAATGACATTGATGTTGAACCTTGTGCGAATCTTGTTCCATTATGCTGAGCGAGGAAGATTTCTAGACTGGTTTCAGGTTGATGAAGGTGTATCTTGCCTTGTCTTTCCGATTTCGGCTGGCCGGCTGGCTTTGACATCTTCATTCGTGTCATGTGACTGTAGTTGAAATGATGTTTTCTAATCGGATTAGTGAAGGAGGTAGCTTCTGTTTAATCTCTCCTGTTGATGGTTATTGGTGTTGGTTTTGTGTTGTTGGTTGGTTATCTTCATCATCGCCGTCTCCACATTATCTATGTTCACCTGGAGTCCTGTATTCGCTGCTGGCCTTTTCAGCCAGTTTGTCAGTTTTTGCCTGCTTGTAAGCCTTCGAGTTTGTATGACATTAGACATATATCATCCATGCGAGAAATCCAGACCTTCTAGCGTCTTCTTATTGGTTGTCCAGCGTATTTCTGACTCCTCATCCCCAACAGTCTGACGCATAATCCAGTCTACCACGATTAAGAATATCATCGGTAAGTACAGGCAACCAACCTTACCTTACTCCTGTATTCACTTCGAACGTCTCGCTGAGTTTTCAGCTGTGGATCACACGACACGTGGCATTGTCATATAGCTGTTGAATGAGGCTGACAAAGACTTGGGGTACACAGTAGTGTTAAAGTAGTTTTCGAATCACTTCCCCATCTATCCTGTCGAAGGCCTTTCCAAAGTCGATGAAGTTGAGGTAGAGGTTTGACTGCCATTCTATTCTTTGCTTTGTTCGATGACGATGCGTGGAGTTAAAATTTGATCAGCAGATGATTTGCCTTTCCTGAGTCTAGCTTGTTCTGTATCCAGTGCATTTTTATTCTCTCCAGGATAATGCGACTTACTATTTTAATTGGCGTGGACAAGAGAATATTTGTATGCCAGCTTTTGTAGAGTGAGGCGTAAGTCACCCTTCTTTGGCAGCTTGACCAGGTAGGTAGCCTTTCTTCCAATTGGTAGGTACCTTTCCTTCTACCCTAACCTTCTGTAATAATGGCGTGAGCACACCTACTGCAGTCTCTGGATCCGTTTTCAGTGCCTCAGGGGGAATTCCATCTGGTCCTGCTGCCTCCCAAGAATTCAGTAGCTTTATCGCATTCAAGATTTCTTCTTTCGTTGGAGGAGTGGTGTCCACCGGCAGGCAGTTATGTGTGTGCTGTTGGTGTTGTTAGTATTTCTGGGAGAGTTACAGCTGAGGTTGGTTGACCCCAGAGTCCTTTAAAGTGATCAACCCATTGTTTTATTTATTTATTTATTTATCTCCTGGGTAATCAGGTTCCCATGAACATTTTTAATTGGTTTCATCATCTGTGTTGATCTCTTTCCGCATAGATACCTGATTATTTGAAATAATGTCCTGAAATATCTTTTGCCTGCAGTCCGTCCTGCTTCAGTTGCCAGTGTGTCATAGAATTGTCTAACATAATAAGCATGGCTAAAAGCCAGGCACCAGGTGACTAACTAATTAGTATGCGTTTGGAAGTGCGTAGGCGATTGTTACTTCCCGGCTGCCTTCACTGTGGAAGTCGATTGATTCCTGAAACAGAAAGACGGTATTTAATGTTGCTTGAGATGTAGCAACTCGAAACGTTGCACATCTGTACAAAGTTCTACGTTGAAACGAGACAGTCAGACTAACTAACTAATTAAATTATTACGTGAATAACATTAAATCACAGTGCTCTAATCAATTGTATTCAGAATTATCATTATTTTTAATAATAATAATAATTTTTTGCTTTATTCCAAAAACAGTACTAATGATACAGCAAGGAATTTTCAGAATTCACTACAATATTGCATCTAATTTACTCAAAAACGACAAAAAAAAATTAAAAATACACATTACATAATAGTAATAAAACGATTGTTATAGCAGCTACATAGCAAAATACTGTATGCCATACGGTGAAAAATATGCATAAAGTATAAAATTGTAGTTATAATAGTAATACCAACTAAAATAAAATAGCAGAGTAACAATTAAACGATAGAAAGTGTGACACCATATAATACAGAAAGATGAACGATGAAAGGGTCGATTCACTGTGCTAATTACATAGTAACTTGTAAGTTTCACGTCTAACAGAGTCTTCGTTACATAAAGTACGGGCTAAATAGGGTATTGTAGAATTTCTATACTTAGTGGTACGAGCATATAACTTTTTATATTGACTTCTCGTCCTACCTGATGAGATGCAAGGGGATAGGTGTGAATAAAGCGGGTGCAGAGGGTCAGACAGTACAGCCTTTACCCATTTTGTACAGGAATTTATATGCCTCTCGACTATAGTATTAGCGAGCTCACGCAGTGGCAGACCACAAGCCCTACTCACAGCATTTAATACTCTTCGTAATATATAATCTTTTTTGAGAAACCCAGGAAAGATTAATGGGGAGCAATAGAGTACAATAGGTAAAATACAGGAGTTTAAAAATTGCAAACCAAAGGTTGGTTGATACTTGATTGTCTTAACTTTTTAATGTAAGACGAAACATTTTCTAAAAGATAGATAAGATGTGTGATGACCATGAAAGGTCAGAGGAAAGAACTAATCCAAGGTATTTAATGCTTGACTTGGTTTCAATTTCCGTGCCATCTATGCTACAGGGATCATGCGAGCTAACTAGTTCATGTAAGTCACGTCGATGCTTGAAAGTGCGTCGGTGGCACAATGGTTAGGACTCTCGACGACCATGCACATGGTCCGGGGTTCGAGCCCACACCAGATATCTATGGTCGGCCTGCGAAATTTGGGCTACCGATATCCACGCTGAAAATTCCATACTTGTACCAAAAATACAGTGTGGAATCAAGCTGTTACCAAAAATTAAAAAAAAATAAAATAAGTAAAGTCAAGTGCCTGACATTTGGAAGGATTAAATATAAGACCATTTGACTTGGACCAGTTGTTGATGTCCAACAGAAAGCTATTAAGTTTGGAGCTGTCAGACTCGGAAGTGATAGGCAGTGATACAGTCAGATCATCTGCATATTTGACAAAGTTAGTTTCGTTTGAATGAGGTAGGTCATGTAGGAAGAAAGAAAAAAGAAAAGGAGAGAGGACAGCACCTTGTGGAACACCGGATTTTGTAAGCGAGGTAGAAGAAGATTTGCCGTTATATACAGTATACTGCATTCTATCAGAAAAATAGGAATGCAACCAACTCTTAGCCCAGGATCCTGTTTGTGTCAACGATAGCTTATTTAATAAAAGGCCCCTAGGTACAGAGTCAAAAGCAGATGTGTAGTCTAAGAAAGCACTACGAACATATTTAGCACCTTTGTCTAAACAAGAGACAACATTGTGATATAAGACAACCGCAGCATCCAAGGTACTTCTACCATGTTTGTATGCAAATTGTTTAGGATCATTAAAAGGTTTCAAAGAAGGTTCAAGACGAAGTAAAAGTAATTTTTCCATCAATTTTAAAAAGGGGGAAGTAATTGCAATAGGCCGAAATTTAATATCAGAACCAGAAGATGGTTTTGGTATAGGGATAATTTTAATGTTTTTCCATGCAAAAGGTAGAACGTTACCGGAAAAAGAAGCATTAAAAATGTTAGTAAGAGGATAACACAAAATATCAGCACAATTCCTGAGGACAATGGCAGGTATGCCGTCAGGACCAAGGCTTTGAGAAGGCTTAAGAGACCGGAGACATTTAAGCACATCAAGGGTATTAAAACCACTAAAGTTATTGTCAATATGATTTGTATCATTTGGAAGGGTATCAACAGAAGAGCGTATGAAAGATTTATTAAGAGTGTCAACATTAAGAGATGGAACAGAAATACATCGCTTACCGTTAGTAATTTCTTTGAAAAGTTTCCATAAATTAGAAGGGGTTTTACATGACAAAAATCTTTGATTATATAAAACATTAGTCTTTTCATTTCCAGTTTTATCAGAATGTTTAACTTTTTTACACCAGGCTTATCATTTGTTTTGAACAACAGTTCTTTATTTCTACGTAGCTTTTTGAGATATGGCGAAGATAAGCGATCAAATCGAATGAATAATGTTTCTTTAGGACAACATATTTCGAAACAGAATTTAAGATAATCGTAGTGTTTGTGATTGTTTCATCTAATGTTTGTTCTGTAAATAAGTCCCAGTTAGTGTCTTTCAACATGCATCTGAGCTTGTCTGCTTGACTGCTTTCGATCATAGATGTCTGCGATCTCTGTCTCACGTTAGGTGGTTTAATAAGGTAAGTAATGTTGACGTTAGGCGTAGAGTGTTGGGCAAAGAGGGAAAATCAATCAACCCGGCTATAAAGTTACATAGACTAAGATGGCTAGGTCACGTGGTGCGCATGCCTAACCATCGCCTCCCCACCGTCGACGGGCATTACTAGCTGATATAGGTGCAGGTTGGAAAAGAGCCAGTGGTGGCCAAACAAAAACATGGCCTCATCAATCCATGAAATCTTTGACAGTTAAACTGAGTTGGTCAGGTAGGGAGATGCAGACTTCCGGGTTGAAGCCCTCGGGACTGATTCTAGGAATCAATGGCTGGAGACGATAGGTGACATGGCTCAAAATCGTTGTCAATGGCCAGCGAAGATGTATTCAGTCTCTGTAATCTTTCATATTTCTTTCTAACATTATCCATTCTGTTTCACTCTTATACTTGTCAGACTGTATTGATTCTCTTCACTCATCTTCTTGTCTACTTCTGTGTGGTATTTGGAACGTGGCAACTGGAACTGCTGCACTTCGGTGCCAAGTTCTATGTTGAATCCAGACAGACAGACATCTGAGCTTGTCTAGGTTGTCTTGTGAGTAGCATTATTATTAAGGCGCATTTCGTCCTATTTGGGACTCCTCATCTGGATGTACCTGCATTCCCCAGTGAGTGATGACGTTCCCACCAAGGTTTGCACCGAGTGGTCATAGTTTCAAACTTCAAAGCGTTATCCACTAGACCACTTGGGCCACGAGACCCACCTCTTGTGCAACGGGTCATGATTGAATTTTTGATTCTCCCGTCGATTGATTGGGCCGAAGTGCTCAGTCTCAGGTTGACATGTCGGCTTCTTGCGCAGATGCTTCGACGGTGTCTGGCCATTCAATTACTAATTAGCCGACACGTCAACTTGAGACCGAGCACTTCGGTTCAATCATCGACGGAAAAATCTAAAATTCAGTTAAATAATTAATATGACCTGTTGCACAAGAGGTGGCTGTCTCATGGCCCAAGTGGTCTAGTGGATAACGCTTTGGAGTTTGAAACTATGGCCACTCGGTGCAAGCCTCGGTGGGAACATCATCACTCACTGGGAAATGCAGGTACATCCAGATGACGAGTCCCAAATAGGACGAAATGCGCCTTATCCTGGATTCCACTGATAGTCATCATCCATCAATTAAATGATCATTATTATTATTATCATGCATAATGTTGTACACAGACAGAAATGAAGAAATTACTTACTTTAATAGATTTTTATTTTCCATTGCATTTTTATTATGATTCGTTGTTAAGTCTGAATTTGCTTGTTCTAACTCGTTTACTTTCGATTGTAATTCTTCGACTAGTTCACATTGGTTTTTATATTCTGTCTGTAGACGATTCAACTTCTCTTCTGCATCATTCAATGATCCTTGTAGGTCAAGTTCACGACGTGATTGACTATTTGATGACTTTTTACTTATTTCTAATTCTTGTAAAACTTGTTTCAAACGATTTTTCAACTCCTAGGCGACAACAGTAATAATAATAATTATAATAATGGTAACAACAATATATGAGTTATGTAAAACATTCAAATGAACTGTTGTCAAATTTGACTGAATAGTTCTGAAATATTTGGGCACCGAATGAGAAGAACTATTCCGTCAAATTTTGACGACAGTTCGTTTGATTTATTTTACAATCGAATTAAATTAACAAAGAAACTATATGTAATTGGCACAATCATCGTGTTTTCACTCTCCGTTGTCTGCAACAGAATGCATATTCTAAATCCGTAGCTGTCAAGTCACCTGACAACTCCAGTAGATCGAATAAAGCAGCTCAATCTTCAGAAAGAAGACAAAGCAATAAATCCGACAGGGTTATTATTAGTATTGCCCCCTTGGGTTCCTAGTGGAACAAAGGGCTTCAATTGCACGTCTCCACTTGCCACTTCTGTCTTCCTTCTGCTGAACTTTTCACCTGCATCCATGTTAGTTAGTCCATACTCTTTCAACTCCTCTTCACACGATATCCTCCATGTCACCCTCGCACTGACGTCCCACTTGCCGCTTCCCTTTCTGGTTCTACACGGGCAATGGCCTGACGCATGCGCGATGTCACCCAGTGGTCTCCTCAGCGAGCGAGTGTCCAATCCATCTCCACTTTCTCCTGCATATTTGTTGGTTGGCGATTGGTTCTTGTTTTTTCCTTTCCATAGTTCCTTGTTGGTGATTCATTCCGGCCCGGCCATCTGATCTTCGGTATAGAGCGAAGACAGTTAGTTGTTGATAAAGGTCTTCAACAGGCTGTTGGAAATATTCTTTGTGACCCGCCCACCCTCCAAGTTTTTGATCCGTATAGAAGAACTGACTGACTTGACGTTTGTATTGAAAATCCGACCGAATTTTGTTGTTGATGCTGGCTGAGTGACGAAGATTTCCAGATTGGTTGTTTTAGGTTGATGAAAGTGTTTGTCGCCTTCTCGATTGATGGTGGCGATTGGCGCTGGATGTTGCTGCTACTGTTGTTGCTGTTGGTTGGTTGTTTTCATAACCTCCGTCTTGTCTATGTTCACTTGGAGTCCTATCTTCACCGGCTGCTTCTTCGACCAGTTTGTCGGTTTTCGCTTGTAAGTCTTCAACAGGGTGCTTCAACTAAACTCTAATCCTAAACACCATAATTTTGAAATTACGTCTAATCATAAAACTCTAGATACTAACAGTTTGAACAGATGTGAAGGTGTGTGATGTTAGCTGACGCATAGGAAATCCTGATTAATAAATAAGAATGGATATGTATCACTAACGAATAATACTTGGTCAAAGTTCCCGACTGTCTATATCTATTTATGGAGACGTTAAGAAATTGTTTTACAACTGTTTACCCGCACACACATACACACTGTGTTTAAAGTGTTTAACAAAGATATAGACCAATATTTGTAAGTCCGATGTCAAATTTTGATCACAGCTAATACAATTTTGTTTATTATACATGTTGATACCTGTTTCATGACTCATATGATTGAGGACAAAGTTTTTAAAAACAAGAGATGTCCCCATTTTTAAATATGAACCTCTGTTATATTAACTTCGATTAATTTCCCTGAAGAAGTTCGGACCAGATTGCCGAACGAAACGTTGGAATTACTCATTTCAATCTCGCTGAGATTTTATAAATATAATTTTTTTCTTACATATATAAAACACTGCCTATATATAAAAACAGTTTTATATAGATATTCATAAAAAGATAAGGGTGTAGTGCGATCAGAAGACGAATGTTGCTGAAAAGAATAATCGCTTTATACCAGTTGGGTTATGCAATAGTCAACTGTTTTTTTAATACAGACTTACCTACCTGTTTCTTTATCAATACACACACACACACACACACACACACACACACACACACACACTAGAGCTATGGATCATAGACTAAGACGCTCGACTTCCAACCGCTAGGTCACGGTCTGAAACCTAATCCATGTGTGGAAGTTAGGAGAGACAAGATTCTTCAAAACATACACACACGTATAGGAGGTGCTCATATAGGAAACAGCTAAAACTAGTTTAAACAAGGCAACACCAGCCTCCATTATTATTGTTTCTTATAATTCCTGGGAGAACAAAGGGCTTCACCTGCACGTCTCCATTACCTTCGGTTCTCCACCAACCTTTTCATAACATAGTTCCACATCTGCCGACATAATTTCATCTACTATTCACATTACCGCCCCCTCCATATCACTCTTGCAATAACAAATAACTCGTCTCTTCCCATTTGGGTTCTACTTGAGCAATGGCCTCCATTGAAGATGATGTCACTCACTTGATGGTTTGTTTTCTCAGAGTATGGCCAGCCAAACCACCTTCATTTCTTTATGCATATTTGTTGTACAGTTGGTTCCTGATGGGTTGGTTCGCTCATTGCCAGAGATCCCTCACTATTGCTGACCTTTTCTGGCCCATAACCTGATCGTGAGTAATGAACGAAGAGAGCTGGCTGTTGATGATAGTGTGTAGTTTGTTCGAATTGCTCGCTGTGACGCGGCGCCAAGTCTCTGATCCGTAAAGTAACACTGATTTCACATTGCAGTTGAAAATTCAAATCTTATTTACCTTGCTGAGTGCTGTTGATCTCCACACAGATTTGAGAATAATGAGAGCTTGCCTTGCTTTCCGAATCCTCACTTTAATGGTATCCTCATCAGTTACGTCCGGCTGTAGTTGAAACGATGACACTTAGAAGGTAGGTGGGTAGAGGTGAAGGAGGTTGCTTCTTTCAGATTCCTCCTATTTAGACTGTTGCTGTTGGCCAGGAATCTTCATCAGATCTGTCTTCTCTATGTTCATCTGAAGTGAAATCCTGTCTTCTCTGGATGCTTCTTCTCCCGAATTTTCGCTTTCAACTTGCATATCTTCCAGTTTGTGAGAAATCAGACATATATCATCGGCCTACTTTACTAGCCAAAAGGTCAAGGAGAGAAGGGTAAGGTTGAGTGTCTACCTAATTAAAAAACACCATCACGGCTACTTAAACGTTAAGATCACTGACTAGTTTCTGATAAAAACCTGTTCAGTTTAGGAAAGTACAAGTGTTGCTTTGTAGGGATTTGATTCGTTACAGGATTTCATCATGAGCTGACATTGGTTTGAGAACCATTGAAAACCTGGGAGTACTGGACAGCTGTTTCGTCCTAAGTTGGGAATCTTCATCAGTACGTACCCACCGAGGGGTTCGAACCCAGAACCTTCTGGTAACAAGGCAGGCGAGCTCGTAGACCATCAAGCCATTGGGACCCAATCGAATGGCCAGCCCATGAATTCTAACCTCTGCCAATTCATGACATACCACAACGGCTAGGCAATGTCTTCGGCGGCGAGTATTTGTCCTCACTCTCGACTTGCTGCACCCTACTGGTCCGACTTCCCACTAGAACCCCACGTAACTAACCACCTACTTACCTGAATAGGGTCAGTCACCAGTGAGCATCTCATTGATATTCAAGTATTGGTTTTTGTAAGGATTTGATTGATTGGTTACAGGATTTCATCATGAGCTGATAGTGATCGTGAATTGGCAGATGTTACAATTCATGCGTTGGCCATTGGATCGGGTCAGGTCCCAGTGACTTAATGGTCTACGAGCTCGCTAGCCTTGTAACCAGAAGGTTCTGCGTTCAAACCCCGTTGGTGAGTGGGTGCGTACTGCTGAAGGGTCCCAAACAGGCTGATGAAACAGCTGTCCACTACTCCCAGGTTTTCCAATGGTTCTCTAACCATTAGGAAAATCTGACTGAAATGTGACCAGTATGAAGACAGTGAAATATCAACGTACGATAGTCCATTATTCATTGAGAATCTTATCCAGAAAGGTAGAAAAGCTAACATACTGTGAATCCCCAGAATTGTGAAAGCATGTTAATATATGCGTAGAACTTTGGAGAGTATATAAATCGCTGAAAAGAGTAATTCTTCTTTGAACATCTTTTCTTTTATATGACTCAATGGAGATTTTTAAGTAGCTTAAACATTGCAGGGACTCGATGTGATAACCAGGAGCTGGACAGTTGCCTGCGTTATTCCATTAAGAAATGGTGATGAACCGATCATACCTTGAGAAGACAGTTGAGTGACACATCACACCTCAGATAGGAATCCGACCAGGAAACAACTAGCTGAACCTTAGTCCATGGATGATATGGAAGAGAATATGTGAAAAGGAAGTGGAGATTTACAGTCGATTGTGAAGTAACTAAAACGTCTGAAGAGAAGAAGCTGTATGTTCCTCTCAGACTAAGATGCCAAGGGAATAATAATGATGATATTAACATAATAACCATTTATGCGTCAGAGTGCTGAGGGTGAAGAGTCAGGAATACGCTAAACGACCGATAAGAAGACTCTAGAAGATCTGGATTTTGCGCGTGCATGATTTATGTCTAATGTCATACAAACTCGATGACTAACAGGCAGGCGAAAACCAACAAACTGTCTTCAGAAGCAAGCGGTGAATACTGGACTCCAGGTGAACATAGATAATGTGGAAACAGAGATGATGAAGATAACCAACCAACCAACCAACAGCAACAATAACAACCAGCACTAATCATCATCATCATCAACGGGAGAGATTTAACAAAGGTTACCTCCTTCACTTATCTGGCCAGGAAGCATCGTTTCAAAACTACAAGCGGATGGCATGGACGAAGATGTCAAAGGTGGCTAGAATCAGAAAGGCAAAACAAGATACACCTTCATCAACCTGAATTCAATTTGGAAATCTTCAACAACGCACTAACGCATCATAAAGAACAAGATTCGGATTTTCAACATCATTACCAAGTCGGTCAGTTCTTCTATACGGGTCAGAAAGTGGTGGTAGTATGTATCACGAAAAGGATTTCTAACAGCTTGTTGTTGAATTTCATCAACATCTGCCAAATTTAGCTGGCTGGCTCCATACTGAAGATCAAATGGCCAGACAGAAAGAATTACCAACAAGAAACTCTGGCTAGGGAACAAACCAACAGACGAGAGTCAATAGCTCAACAAATACGTAGGAGAAAGTGGAGATGGATGGATCGAGCATACATGAAGGAGGCGATCGAATGACATCACGCTCATTCCAGGCCATCGTTCGGGTGGAATCCGAATGGGAAGCGACGACGTGTGAGTCGTCGGTGTAAGTGTGACATGGAGGAGAGATCGTGTGCCAAGGGAGAGATGAGAGAGTTTGATCAATCGTGGACCCAGTTGAAAAAGACGGCAGAAAACAGAACAAAGTAGAGATGAGTTGTTGCAGCCCTATGTTCCACGAGGAATTCAAGGGAATAACAGTAGCCAAAGTATATTCTCAGCCAGACGACTCACCATCAGTTCAGTTCAGTTTGTAACTTATCGCTTAGCTAATAGTACTCATTACATGCTTTCCGAGTGGAATATAAGCCGGTTAGAAGTACATCTTGCTATGCTAATTAGTTGGTTTAAACCCCAGAAATAAGAGAAGGTTAGTTTTTAACATTAGTAACACAACCATAACACCACATACAACAGGACTCGAACTCATGACCCATACAGGTTATATATATATATAAAAAAAACGACTGAAAATAAAAGCGGGCACACTTACTAGGCTTTGTTGTTTCAATTGTTTCTCTTTAGCACTAACAGCAGACTCGACAGCTTTGTTTAAAGCGGTTTGATGTTCTTTTTTCAATTCAGTAATACACTGTGATTTTTTTGCCTCCGTTGTTTCTTTCAATTTGTGCAATTCTTCTTCATAATGCGTTTTCATCTCATCTAAACTATTTGTATGCTTTAATTGTAATTGATCGATAATATTTTGTAAGTTGTTGCATTGAATCTGAAGTGAAGCGATTGTTTTCTCCGATTCCTCGAGAGTACTGTTAATCTAAGACAAAAAGGTCAAAAGAGGAGTTAGCTATATTACCAATCTCTTGCTGCAGCACTATCAAATGTAGTCAGTTGTCTTGAAAAAAAAGTTTTGATCAAATCGATTCGTAATGAAAAATTCAGCGAAGCTTTTGTTTATAATAAAGTGAATACAAGAGAGTAAGACAGAATGCACTGAATACCACTACTGTAACAACAGAAGACAAGGGCCAGGAAACAGAACCTTTATTTACGAAATCAACATATATTTATAGATTTTCACTAAAATTATTAAAGATTATTGTAAGCGAACACACACAGTCTTCTGATTGTTTGTTTCTCACTGACAGTTAATCTTTCATCTCTTTATCGTGGCTGTTTCTTGAATGTCAGATCACCTATATGCTAACTGCTGTGGTTGGTTGCTGAATCAGACTTTGTTCATATTTTCTCATAACCGATATTGGGGACGTGAACATTGACGTAAATTACTGTCTACCAATTTGGCTAGCAGCCAGCTCTCACCTCACTACTATCGCCTGCAATAATATTCCTCGACGGGCAATGTTAACCACTGACTTAGAGTCAGGCTGGAAAAGAGCTAGCGGCAGGCAAAACAAAACATCGCCTCATAAGTCAATGAAATCCACAACAGTTAGTTTAAGACAGTCACATAGCGAGGTGTAGACTGGCTTCCAGGTTCGGGTCTTCGGGACGGTAAAAACCAGTGACACCTGGAGACAATTGGTGCTATGGCTGAAAATTCTTGTTCACGATGGCTGGCGCGAATGCATTCATTCCTTGTAACTTATAATACCCATTAAAACTATACTGTCCTTTGATATTACTATTCTTTTTGCCTCATATCTCTATTTACTGTCTTTATTTTGCAGTTCTTGTTATTTTCTTCTCTTGCTTTTTGTGCTACAAGGAGGAAGTGTGGCGACTTGAACTGGTGCACACCTGTGTAAAGTAGCTCTATGTTGAAACCAGTCAGTCAGTCAGTCAATCAACCTATTCAGGACATTCAATTTTCAGTATGAACCTGAAGCTACACTGTTAGTTGATGAAATTCTTCAACAGCCTGTTAGAAATACTCCTGGTGAAAAAGTATGCCTAGAGTCTGTGAATCATTGAGTAGAAGCAAGCAACTGACTTAACATGAATGTGGAAAATGCTAAGCCTTGTTACTAGTTATATGCTAACTGCCAATGGATTTCTAGGCTGATATCAGAGTAGTGATCGTCTGCCTCTTGCTTTTTTGATCATGACTAGCTTTGTTGTTCTCATACAAGCTAGCTGCAATTGAAACATTACTGTAGGAGTAAGTGATATAGGTGACTTCTTCTCTTGTATTTCTCCACTCCTAAGGCTGGATAAAGACAGACGGTTGGGTTGCGGGTGTGTGTGTGTGTGTGTGTAGGTCTAATGACCCCACAAGGTTTTCTAATAGTTCTCTAACCGATATCAGCTCATCATGATAAATTCCTGTAAGCAATCAAATCAAATCAAATGAAATCCCTGGAAAGCAACACTTGAAAAATTATTGTTATTAACAAGATTTATGATTTGCTTAACTAACACTGAATCAACCAATCAATCAATCAGGGTTCATAAAAATTACAGTTCAAAGGCGTCTGTAGGTGATGATAGACATCCGTATATAACTCTAAACTGAATGTATCAGATAAATTAAAAAAGAATGGATACTGAACAAAGAATACACTTTTCGATAACGCCTTCATCATCAGGCTCTACAGTTATATATACATAATATTAGTGAATGAAGCAATAAATTAGTGGCATGAACAACATTAATGATGTTTAAATAACATTGAATCTTATAAGAAAATCAGATGGTACCATTCAAAGAAACTTGCATAGAAAAAGTGCATGAACAGGACAATATACACACTATCACAGCTTCGTTCCTATCAAGTACAAAAGAAATTTAGTGAAGACCCTTAGCTACAGGGTTACATCTATGTATTCAGAAGAAGTAATTGAAGATGAATTAAGCATTGTTTATGATACTGTGATCGAAAATAGCTATCCTGACAAATTTATCAAGAAACGCATGACAGAGAAAGTGGAAAAGGACTACTCACTATCTGTGAACAAGAAGCCACTTTATATATGAGTACACTTCAAGGGCGATATACACAGCGAAATAATTACTGAGAGGTACAAAGAACTTTTAATGCTGGCGATCGATGGTGATGCTTGGACTGATATATGATGTACCTAGACTAGCCGCTTATAATTGTATCTACCAATTCAACAAATTACAATAAATGACATCAACTCTAAATCTATTCCTAGTCGTACCCTAACCGTAAACTTATTATTATTGCTTTATTATTGCCCCCTTGGGTTCCTAGTGGAACATAGGGCTTCAATTGCACGTCTCCACTTGCCACTTCTGTCTTCCTTCTGCTGAACTTTTCACCTGCATCCATGTTAGTTAGTCCATACTCTTTCAACTCCTCTTCACACGATATCCTCCATGTCACCCTCGCACTGACGTCCCACTTGCCGCTTCCTTTTCTGGTTCTACACGGGCAATGGCCTGACGCACGCGCGATGTCACCCAGTGGCCTCCTCAGCGAGCGAGTGTCCAATCCATCTCCACTTTCTCCTGCATATTTGTTGGTTGGCGATTGGTTCTTGCTTTGTTTGTTTCTTGGTGATTCTTTCAGGCCTGGCCATCTGATCTTTGGTATAGAGCGAAGACAGTTAGTTGTTGATAAAGGTCTGCAATAGCCAGCCTGTTGGAAATATTGTTTGTAACCCGTCCGTCAAGTTTCTGATCTGCATATAAGAACTGACTGACTTGACCTTTGTATTGAAAATCCGAATTTTGTTGTTGACACTGAGTGACGAAGATTTCCAGATTGGTTTCAAGTTGATGAATGTGTTTCTCGCCTTCCCGATTCTCGATTTGACATCCTGTAGTTGAGACAATGCTCCCTAGAATAGTGAATGAATGAAGTAACCTCTTTCAAATCCCTCCCGTTGATGGTGATTGGCGCTGGATGTTCCTGTTGCTGTTGTTGTTTTTGGTTGGTTATTTTCATAAGCTCCGTCTTGTCTATGTTCACTTGGAGTCCTGCCTTCACTGGCTGCTTCTTCGACCAGTTTGTCGGTTTTCGCTTGCCTCTAAGTCTTCAATTATGTGTGACATCAAACATAAATCATCCACGCGTGAAATCCAGCTCTTCTAGGCTCTTCACGTTGGTCCAGGATATCCCTGTCTTCTCGTTTCCCACTCACTGTCTGACGCATAATCCAGTCAGTCCACCACAATTAGGAATATCATTGGTGGGTGATAATAAGCACTCTTGTGTGACTCCTGTGTTTACTCCAAACGCCTCGCTGAGTTTTCCGTTGTGGATCACTTGACATGTTGCGTTGTCGTACAGCTGTTGAATAAGGTTGATGAATATTTGGGGTACGCCGTAGTACTCCAGTAATTTCCAAATTACTTCATGATCAACGCTGTCGAAGGCCTTCTCAAAGTCTATAAAGTTGAGGTAGAGGTTTGACTACCATTTCATGCTTTGTTCTGTGATGATGATGCGTAGAGTTGCAATTTGGTCAGAACATGATTTGCCTTTCCTGAATGCAGCTTGTTCTGGTCGGAGTTCTGTCTCCAGTGCATCCTTAATTGTCTCTAGGATGATGCGACTCACGATTTTACTTGGCGTCTACAGGAGCATGATTCCTCGCCAGTTCTTGCAGAGTGGGGCCTAAGTCGCCTTCTTTGGTACTTTCACGAGGTAACCTTTCCTCCAGTCAGTAGGCACCTTTCCCTCCTTCCAGACCTTTTGCAATAATGGAGTCAGCATGTCTGCTGTAGTCTCTGGGTCCGCTTTTAGTGCTTCAGGGGGTATTCCATCTGGTCCATCTGCTTTTCCAGCTTTCAGAAGCTTGATTGCATTCAAGACTTCAGCTCTCGTTGGAGGATTGGTGTCACCGTAAACTTAACCCTAACCCTAATTACAGCCATTATCATAATTATGGCCCTGATCCTAACCCAAACGCCAATACTTACCTTAACCCTAATCCTAACCCTAACGAGCTATTAACACATTGTCGAAACAGTACTTAAAAATGTGATCTGAGTGAAATTTTCTGCTTAGTTAGTGAACAGTGTTGATGACAAGTGCCATCAGCCAACGACTAGCATGCATTCAAGGTCATTGGAGCGTTCGCACTCCTGGGACGCTATTGTTGAACTTCGCCGCCAATACCAATAGCACAAGTAGCCTAGAGGATGTGAAAACACACAAAAACGACCGACCAATCACGTTTAACGTCGCCACCCTACAAGGAAAGATGACTAATAAACTTGTGAAGAAATCTAAGAAGCTCACTTCAATTCAAATTGAAGTATGCATGCTGAAGATATTGTCTAATAGGGCAATGAAAACTTTGCAACACCATAGAATCATCCATGGCAGTCACCTCTCTATCTCAACTTCATCGACTTTGAAAAAGCCTTCGACAGCGTCGATCGGAAGGTGATTTTGCAAATACTTCGCTACTACGGGGTCCCATCGACAATTATACATCTCATTCAACAGTTTTACGACAATGCTGCATGCCAAGTAATCCACAACGGGAAACTCCCAGAATCCTTCGAGGTAAAGACTGGAGTAAGACAAGGCTGCCTACTATCGCCAGTGATTTGCTTGATTGCAGTAGATTGGATAATGCGACAGACAGCGGGATTGGCAATGAGGAGACATGCATAAAATGGTCCCATACAAAAAAGAACTTGGGGGATCTGGACTTCGTCGATGATATATGTCTGATTTCTCACAAACTGTAAAATATGCAAGTGAGAAGCAACAAGTCGGAAGAAGCATCCAAAAAAGATAGGACTTCATTTCAGGTGAACATAGAGAAAACAGAGGTGATGAAGATTCCTGTGGCCAACAGCAACAGTAACTACAATAACAGGCATTAATCATCCAGCATAAATGGGGGAAATATGTAGGAAGGAACCTCCTTTACTTACCTACCTGGGAAGCATCGTGTTAACTACAGGCAGACGGAACGGGTTAGGATATCATAACAACCGGAATCGTGAATGAAAGGCAAGCTTTCATTACTCTCAAGTCTGTGTGGAGATCAACAGTACTCTGTATGAAAAATAAGATGGTGATTTTCAACTCCAATGTGAAGTCAGTGGTACTCACTATACGGATCAGAGAACTGGCGCCGCACCGCGTCACGATGAACACTCCGAACAAACTACAGATTTTCAACGCCATTGTCTTCACTCAATCCTCAAGATCAGATGGCCAGCCAGAAAAGATCAGCACCAGGGATCTCTGGGAGAGAACCACCTCAACAGGAACCAGTTGTGCCTCAAATCTGAGAAAACAAACCATCAAGTGGCATCCATCACACGCCAGGTTCTTGAGTGGAACCCGAAAGGAAAGCGGCGAGTTGGTTGTCAGTGCCAGGGTGACTTGGAGGTCATGTGAAGAGGAGATGAAAGCATGTGGGCAGACCTGGAGCCAGGTGAAAACTTTAGTAGAGAACCGAATGCAATGGAGACGTACAGCTAGGAATTAAGTGAAATAATGATAATAATAAGAAGAATCCAGTTGAAAGGATACACAACAACAACAACAACTACTACTACTACTACTACTACTTACTAAAGACTCTTTCTCCAATAATTCATTCGAAAGTTGATTTGATTTCCCTTTCACTAACTTTAATTGATCTTCTAACTGGTTAATTGTTTGTTGACTTTCTTCATATAACTTAACTTGATTAGTATATTTATCCATTAAAACTGTCTCATTCTGTTTTAATGAATCAATAGATTGATTAGCTTCGCTTAAAGCTGTTTCAATCCTTGAAATATTTGTACTTTCCACCTGAACAGTTTTCTTGAATGTTTCATACTCCAGACGGGATTTAGCCAATTGGTCAGTAAGACGTTGACAGTCTGTCTTTAATACATTTATTTCACCTTTCAATTCATCTATTGTAGATTGATACACACCAATTGAATGTTTTATAATATCATGATGATAAATTTGTTGTAATTCTCTTAACGATTTACTGTTCAGTATGCTGAACTCATTGATAGATTGTTCTAGATGTGAAGTGAATGTATTGAAGACATCTGAATTGATTAGTAGTATTAAGGTGGAAAATATTCTCAAATTGTCAGGTGTTTCAGTAAGAGTAACAGTATCATTTTGATTGAATTGAGTTAAATCTTTGTCTAATTTATTAAATGATTCTTTCAATTGTTCAATGGATAATTTCACTTGACTACAAGTATAAGAGACTTGTTCATAATTATTATGAGTAGTATTATCAGTAGTAGTATTATTAGTAGTATTGATAAAGTTTGCGTATTCATTAATCTCGTCTAGCATAGTAGTAATTCTTGACTGACATAAATTAATCAGTGTACCATAGAGTAGGAAATGTTTGTTACGTAAAAATGATTCAACTGTTCCGTGGAATGATTTGTACTCATTTAATTCTTTATGCAGTTGACTTATCTATTGTAAATAAAAAAAAGGAAAAAAATATGGCAGCAATATTAATAAATAAATAAATAAGTAAAATATAAAGCCATTAGCGACACAGTAAGAGAATGTTCAACAACTATGCTACCAACTATGTGGCTTAAGGTTCGATTTCCGGTCGACGCAACCCTAGAAACCACGTCTCTTGACCGATAGCTGCTGCCACACCTTGACGTGGTGGTCGGGCTTGCACATCTCAATGACCCAACAAGCTACACTAGTTGGGACTACTGTTCCGGCAGGTCCTGCCATGCCAGGAATGTTGTTAGGATAGCGATTAGACTAAAATCAGTTACCGGGATAGTGTTCGAATTTTTCTTACACTATGCTTGGGGGTCTTGTGGGGGAAGTCGTACTGCTGGAGAACAGGGGTGTAACAGTAGTGTGGTGTTTCCTTCAGATGACCAGAATACCAGTCAGCTATGCTGTTTCTACACTCTGGAGAGAGGGGGTTAGAAAAGATCGACCTCAAAAATTGTGCATCCCGACTCACCTCACCTACGGTGGTCTGTAACCGGCGGTGAGTTTACTAATAGGGAACCAAACCAAGAAACCAGTTCATGCAGGCCGTGTGTGACTGGCCAGCATCAAGAAGTTGTCCCCTGGGCTCAGCAGTCACGCAATACTCATTCTCTTTCTTTTTCAGGTACCCGAAGAATCAATCAACTTCCACGGTGTAGGCAGTCGGGAATTAACAATCGCCTACACACTTCCGAAAACACACGCAGCCCTCCTGATCATTCTCCTTATTTATTCGTGTCACCTCCATCGTCTTGTTTCCCTACTAAAGTTAGTACTATTCTTCAGGTTAGTGAGGCACCTCCACCTCACCCTCTAACCACAAATGACGATGAGAGCCATAGAAACACCTCAGATAGCCTTTTAAAGCTACGTCGCCAACTTCACATAGGAGACAAACCACGCCTATTTTATCATTATTATGACTGTCTCCTTTAGTCCACAGAGGGACATAGGCCTTGAGCCAAACGTCAACATTACGCATAGTTCTCCTCTTCACATGACCTACACCTCCATATCATTCTTGCACTGACAACCAACTCGCCGTTTCCCATTCGGGTTCTACTCGAGCAATGGCCTGCATTGAGGGTGATGTCAGTCACTTGATGGTTTGTTTTCTCAGAGTATAGCCAACCCACCTCCACTGCTTCCTGCATAATTATTGCACAATCAGTTCCTGGTTGGTTGGTTCGCTCATTGCCAGAGATTATTCACCATTGCTGACCTTTTCTGGCCTGCAACCTGATCGTGAGTATTGAACGAAGAGAGCTGGCTGTTGATGAAAATGTGTAGTTTGTTTGAAGTGTTCTTAGTGACGCGGCGCGGCGCGGCGCCAGTTCTCTGATCCGTATAGTGAGTACCACTGACTTCACATTGGAGTTGAAAATCACCATCTTATTTTTCATACAGAGTACTGTTGATCTCCACACAGACTTGAGAGTAATGAAAGCTTGCCTTTCATTCACGATTCCGGTTGTTATGATATCCTAACCCGTTCCGTCTGCCTGTAGTTAACACGATGCTTCCCAGGTAGGTAAGTAAAGGAGGTTCCTTCCTACATATTTCCCCCATTTATGCTGGATGATTAATGCCTGTTATTGTAGTTACTGTTGCTGTTGGCCACAGGAATCTTCATCACCTCTGTCTTCTCTGGGTAAGTAAGTTGGTTGAGTGTCTACCTAATTAAAAAACACCACTAAGCCTACTTAAACTCTAAGATCACTGACTAGTTTGTGACGAAAACCTGTTGAGTTTAGGAAAGCCTTCAAGTGTTAGTTTGTAGGGATTTGATCGGTTACAGGATTTCATCATGAGCTGATAGTGATCGTGAATTGGCAGATGTTACAATCCATGCGTTGGCTATTGGATCGGGTCAGGTCCCAGTGACTTAATGGTCTACGAGCTCGCTAGCCTTGTAACCAGGTTCTGGGTTCGAACCCCGTTGGGGAATGGGTGAGTGCGTACTGTGAAGAGTCCCAAACTGGGACGAAACAGTTGTCCACTACTCCCAGGTTTTCCAATGGTTCTCTAACCATTAGGAAAATCTGACTGAAATGTGACCAGCATGGAGACAGTGAGATCACCAACGTACGATCATCCATTATTCATTGAGAATCTTATCCAGAAAGGTAGAAAAGCTAAGATACTGTGAAGGCCCAGAATTATGAAAGCATGTTAGGAGAGTATATAAATCGCTGAAAAGAGTAATTCTTCTTTGAACATCTTTTCTTTTATATGACTCAATGGAGATTTTTAAGTAGCTTAAACATTGCAGGGACTCGATGTGATAACGAGGGAGCTGGACAGTTTCCTGCGCTACTCTATCTGTCTGTTTTCAACAATAAACTTTTACCGATGTGCAGCAGTTCAAGCTAATCCACCTGTGATTATCGTAGGAAGACTTGTCTCCCTCTCAGTGACTTACACCAACCTGATGGGACTTCTTCTGATTCCCAGACGCTGCCTAGTACCTCAGTTAATGCAGACAGTAAACTGTATCCATCGTACTTAAATACCTCTGGAGTCATTCCATCAGGTCCCGCTGCTTTGCCTAGTTTCAGATTGGTGACAGCTTTAGTAACCTCAGTTAGGGATGGAGGACTTGTGTCTATGTCCCATTCAGAGAGGTGTTGGATGTTCGGAAGGTTGAGCGTGGCTGTGGGCAAATTAAACTGCTCCTCATAGTGCTCTTTCCAGCGTTCCAGTCGGCTGTCCTGGGAGCTACTTACGGTGCCATTTTTCAAGCATTGGTTTCGTAGAGATTTTGTTTGATTGTATGGAGGATTTCACTATGGGAAGCCGTGACCAGTAGGGTACAGCAGGTCGAAGATGAGGCAGTAACTCATCGAAGAAGACATTGCGAAGTGGTCGCGCTATGTCATGAACTCGCAGAAGTTAGAATTCAGGAACCATTGGTTCATGTCCCAGTGGCTCATTGGTCAACGAGCTCGCCTTGTAACCAGAAGATCCTGGGTTCGAACCCCGGTGGGTGCGTACTGATGAAGAGTTCCAAACTAGGACGAAACAGATGTCCAGTACTCCCAGGTTTTCCAGTGGTTCTCTAACTGGTGCTATTTTTCTCACAGACTGTCTTCACTTATCGTTTGCCTTTTACCACATGTTTCCCTGATAAGCCTAAACAGTTGTCTGGTGTTACCAATCACCGATGCCTTTTTCATCTCTTTCGCTTTTGTCGCCCACCACTGTTCATGGTCGTCGCGAAGACTTCTTGTTAGTTTTCGTTTCAGTAGCTTTCGCTCCTCATCATAATCGGAGCTCGCCGGAATCAGTCTTCTTGCGTCAATCAGTTCGGATGAGGCAGTAGAGATCCAATGGCTCTTACTAACTTTTGGTTTTAGCTTATTAATAGCTTTTACAGCTGTGTCTACAGCTAATTGTATGTTGTGCCAGGCTACCTCAGGGAAAATCCTGCTGTCGACCTCAGACACTCGTCTCGCTATCTCTTCCTTAAACAGGGACTCAGTGTCTCTATCTAGTTAGAGACGTAACTGTTTCACTGCTGTCGATTTCTTATGTCCGTTTAGTCGTAAGCATAAAAGTGCGCGAACCAGAGAGTGATCAGAGTCTACGCACGTGTTCCAGAAGGAGCGACAGTCTTCTACTGACCCTCGCCAACGATACCCTATGGCTATGTGGTCTATCTAAGTCCAGCGTTGATGTGGTAACGGAGGTCGCCAGGTTACACAATGTCTCTCTTTGTGCCTAAAGTTAGTGCTGACTAGGAACAGATGATTATCTGAGCAAAACTGTAGAAAACGATCACCGTTGTTGGTTCGTCGGCAGGGAACTCCATACGTACCACCTACATACTTCTCAGTCTGGCACAACTTCCCTACTGAAACAACTATGTCTGAGCCTTTTGCTTTTTGCAGCAAATAAGACAGTTTCAGGTAGAAGTCATCCTTTAGTTCATCCGAACTGCAATCTGATGGGGCGTAAGTGGAGACTACGGAAAGGCAACAACGGGTATTACCGTCTTTCCCTCTTTTAACGGACCCATTCAGACAGACCATATATATACGACTATCTACTGGAATCCAGTCAAGAAGTGACTTTTCCGCCCTAACACTCAGTGCTATCCCTACACCTGCGAGTCTTCGCGAGCTAGGTGAGGGGTCTCCTGACACCCTTAAAGTGAATTTCGCAGATTCACCTTGTTGACCTGGTGAGGTTAAATGAATGACAACACTCGGGTCTTGTATGCGTGTCTCTGAAATACAACATACATCTATGGCTCGAGATGCCAGAGTTATTGCTAGTGATGCCTGTTGTCCGATTTGGCAGAGGGTCCTGCCGTTAAATGCTCCTATGTGAAGTTGGCGACGGTGGCTTCTATGGCTCTCACCATTGTTTGTGATCACAGAGTGAAGTGAAAGTCCCTCACTAGCCTGAAGAATAGTACTAACTGTAGTAGAGAAGCAAGATGAGGAAGGTGATGTGAGTAAAAGAGAATGATGCTCAGGAAGGCTTCGCGTGCTGTTGGAAGTGTGTGGGAGGTTGTCACTTCCCGACTGCCCACACCGTGGAAGTTAATTGATTCTTCGGGTACCTGAAACAGAGAGGGGGTTAGTGTTGCGTGACCGCACAGCCCAGGGGACAACTTCTTGATTCTGGCCGGTCACACACAGCCTGTTTGAAATGGCTTTTAGCTTTGGTTCAGTATTAGTAACATACCACCTCATCAGCTACAAACCATGTGGGGTGATTCGGGATATACAGTTTTTGGAGTTGACCTTTACTAACCCCCTCTCTCCACAGTGGAGAGACAGCTTAGCTGGCTGGCATTCTGGTCATCTGAGGGAAACACCTCACTGCTGTTAAATCTCTGTTCTCCAGCTGTACAACTACGCCCACTGACCCCAATATTGTGTAAGGAAACTCCTAACACTATTCCGGTAACTGCTATTAGTCTAATCGCCATCTTAACAACCTTCCTGGCATAGTAGGACCTTCAAGAACATTGGTTCCAGCCAATGCAGCTTGTTGGGTCATCGCGATGTCCAAGCCCGACCATCATGTCAAGGTAGCAGTTATCTGTCGGGAAGAAAATTTACTATATATATATACATGTATATATTGTTGATATTAGATGAAGGCAGTCAGTGCGAAGCCTTGGACCTAGGTTTTGTGCTAGTTGACGTATCTGCAACCTCGAAGGAATTCATGTCCCTTGTGAGATTCGAACCCGTGTCACCCAGTGCCTCCTGCAATCAGAGACGCTTACACTAGGCGATTAGGACTCGCGATTGACCCCTGTAGGACTATGTTGGATATTTTTGATTGGACACTAGTCAGTAACTAGTGTAATGTGTCTAGGCCTATCTTCGGTGCTGACTGAATTCTATCAGTCAGCGGGTTCGAATTTCAGAAGGGACATGAGTTCGTTCGAGTTTACAGATATGCCTTGCTGACTGACGAGTGCCAACTAGAGCGAAACCTAGGTCCAAGGCTTCCTGCAACCGATTGCCTCCAAACATCTAATACCAACATCTCACAGTGCACCGTAATGGCGAGCCACCTAGGATGGTGGACACATTGCAAGCTTGATTGGTAGAATTCAGTCAGCAGCGAAGATAGGACTAGACATATTACACTAGTTACTGACTAGTGTTTAATCAAATATATATATATGGACAGGCTAATCAAAATTATATTATACGGTCGATAATGAGTAACGGTGATATATGATGCGCGTTTCATGCAATATGGGACTCAGCAATTGGGTGTACATGCTGTAACCAGTAAGTGATGGTGTTTCTCGCACCTCTAAAACTCCATTCAAGTACCCACAGCTTTAAATGCCAAAGCGTTATCTATTGAGCCAGTGAAAATTATTATTTTTTCAACCTACTTTCAAGTTGATCGCATATAGCAACAAATACTGAGAACTATTCTCACGTATACAACACATACAGACAAGCGATTTCATGAAAAATCAACTGACCTCATCTTGTTTTTCCGTAACATCTACTCGCAATTTTTTTGTATCATTATCTCGTGCAATTAATTCATTTTTAGCATTCAATAATTCTTGTTTTAACTCATCAATTGTACTACAGTAGTCGTGGTTACGTTTGTTTATTGATTTCAATGTTGGATCAACACTTGTAATGATACCATCTAAACGTTGATTGGACGTTTCAAGGACATTCCAAATAGAATTAACTCTATTGGTCAATTGATCTGATTGGTTGAAAAGTAATTCACATGCATTATTTGATAAATTAATTAACTCGAGGATATTTTCTTCATTTTCTTTAGAAAGTATTGTTTCATTCTTATGGAGATTATCTAACAGATCAGTAAGATATTTATTTTCTTGCATTGATTTTTCTAACTGATCTTGATACACTTTAATGTCGTTATTGGCTTTTGAGAGTTGTAAACGTAAGCTTTGTTCTTCTATATCATGCTTTTTCATGTCTTCACTAGTTTTTTCTGATTCATTCATATATTGAAGCTTTAAGCTATCCAATTGGTTTTGAGTACTACTTAGAGTTTCTTGAAGTGACTGAATCTAAAATCAAGAGAGGGAAAAAAAATAAAAAATAACAATTAATTATTGTATAACACAATAGCAAAATGTAATTTCAGCGTGGAGCACTGGAGAAGCAACCATATAAACGACTTGGTACAGTCGAGGGTGGATACATGGTGAGAGCTATCTATGAAAGACAAAACTGTTAGCGACAATTAACCTCAACGGGACTCTTCAGAAGCAAACACCCACCACAAGCGTTCGAATCAAGGACCTTCTGGTTACAAGGCGAGTCAGCTCGTAGACCATTGGGCCATTGTGACCCGATCCAATACCCCAAGAACGAGCTCGCTTTGTAGCCAGAAGGTCCTGGCTTCGAACCCCACCGGTAGGTGCGTACTGAGGAAGAGTCCCAAAATAGGCTGACAAAACAGCTGTCCAGTACTCCCAGGCTTTCCAGTGGTTCTCTAATGAATGTCAGCTCGTGATGAAATCCTCCATCCGATCAAACAAAATCCCTACAAAACCAATATTTGAATATTAACCTCAACGCTTACGTCCTAAATCGGGGTCACGACAAAAAATAAGGACAAAGGCTAACTTTGAGGAACTCAACAACCAATCATAGCACACTTAGCGTGTGCAAATACAATTCGCAGATATATAGATAGCTTTGTAAGCAACGGTCACAAGCAGTACAGAATAACCTTCAGCAAGAAAACAGCCAGTCAAAAGACGCTGCTTCTCTGCTAACAATAACGAATAATAATGTGCATTTAAATCTATAAATCTCTCAATAAACGATATGGTGGCAGATCCTTGCCTTCTGTCGTTACAGATAGACTTCGATCTTCCACTCGAATGGCTCTCATGTGGCCACACGTTCATAATTTCTGCCTGATAAACCTTATTCACCGGCCCTCACGTGAAGGTTTTTCTCATAAAAGTAGAAGAATGAATGTAAACGCCTGAGGCTTACAACCAAAGTGATAGGTGGACATCCACGTCTACCAAGAGCAGTTGGAAATCCCTGATTCCAAACCTATGGTATACAAACATGGGCAGGTAGAGAATCAGAAAGGATCATATGGCGTATGCAGGTGTTTCAGTCACTGGCAACTATGAGAACGTAGTTCCTGACGCTACTGCACTGCCGCCCTGTGGGGATCAAGGCTTCATGTCAAAGGTTCAAAGCGTGGTCGCTTAAGACAACCACTTGTTTCGGTCTGGGTGTCTGGACAGAGTCTCAGCCCTCACACAAACTGTGAGACAATTTCACAAGAACTGTATTCTCTTGAATTTAATAACCGAATACCTGAAGGAGGCACTAGACAGCTCTCTCTATCGTTTCATGGTTCTCAATGATTCTCCATTTGATGTTAAAACGCTAAGAAAAGCTACAACTAAAATTAATTTAAATTCCTGGAAAAACTTCATGTCGAACATTAGTCTTTTTCTATCTACATATAGATAGTTTTCATGGGTTACAAAGTAAAGGATGAAGCATTTCATAAACTAATAAAATGATGGCAGCAGTAAAGAAGAGATACCGACGTCGAATGACCATGATTATTATTATTATTATTGCTGCCTTGGGATCCTAGTGAAACATAGGGCTTCAACTGCACGTCTCCATTTGCCACTTCTGTCTTCCTTCTGCTGTACTTTTCACCTGCATCCATGTTAGTTAGTCCATACTCTTTCAACTCCTCTTCACACGATCTCCTCCATGTCACCCTTGCACCGACGTCCCACACGCCGCTTCCCTTTCGGGTTCCACTCGAGGGCTTGGCGCGCGATGTCACCCAGCGGCCTCCTCAGCGAGCGAGTGTCCAATCCATCTCAACTTTCTCCTGCATATTTGTTGGGCGATTGGTTCTTGCATTGTTTGTTCCCATAATTCCTTGTTGGTGATTCTTCCCGGCCATCTGATCTTCAGTATTGAGCGAAGACAGTTGTTAATAAAGGTCTGCAGCCTTTTGGAAATATTCTTTGTGACCCACCCGCCAAGTTTCTGATCCGTATAGAAGAACTGACTTTACGTTTGTATTGAAAATCCGAATTTTGTTGGTGATGCTGAGTGACGAAGATTTCCAGATTGATTTCAGGCTGATGAATGTGTTTCTCGCTCGCCTTCCCGATTCTCGCTCGATTTGACATCCTCGTCCGCTCCTCCTGTAGTTGAGACAATGCTCCCTAGATAAGTGAATGCATTAAGTAACCTCTTTCAAATCCCTCCCGTTGATGGTGATTGACGTTGGATGTTGTTGGTTGGTTATTTTCATAACCTCCGTCTTGTCTATGTTTACCTGGAGTCCTGTCTTCACTGCCTGCTTCTTCGACCAGTTTGTCGGTTTTCGCTTGTAAGTCTTCGATTGTGTGTGACATCAAACATAAGTCATCCACGCGTGAAATCCAGCTCTTCTAGGCTCTTCACGTCGGTCCAGGATATCCCTGTCTTCTCGTTTCCCACTCACTGTCTGACGCATAATCCAGTCAGTCCACCACAATTAGGAATATCATTGGTGATAGTAAGCACCCTTGTCTGACTCCTGTGTTTACTCCAAACGCCTCACTGAGTCTTCCATTGCGGCAGGTGCCGTTGTAGTACAGCTGTTGAATAAGGTTGATGAATATTTGGGGTACTGTACGCCATAGTACTCGAGTAGTTTCCAAATTACTTCGTGGTCAACGCTGTCGAAGGCCTTCTCAAAGTCTATAAAGTTGAGGTAGAGGTTTGATTGCCATTCCATGCTTTGTTAGATGATGATGCGTAGAGTTGCAATTTGGTCAGAACATGATTTGCCTGACTTTCCTGAATCCAGCTTGTTCTCGAATGACCATGAACCGGCACCAATCAGATCGCACAGCATTACAAACGGATGCTGCTCACATAATTTTCATTGCAAGTTTCACCCAGATATGGTTTTTGACATCTCTGTGTGAAAGATGGGTTGATAGGGAGGACTAAAACAAGTATATGTGGAGGAATAATGACTCTCCAGAAGTACTGCCGCGCTCTTGATGATGGTTATGCATTCAGATGCAGTCACTATTATGTCAGGAAGTTTGTAAGTTGGTAGGTTGTACATTATGATGATATTTTAGATACATTCTCGAATTCCATAATTCTGCCTTGGTAAAATATTGCGTATAAGCCACAACAGACTACTGAAACGACCACAATGTGCTACTTACGCATGCCTAGCCATCGTCTTCCTCGATGGGCAGTGTTAACTGACATAGAGTCAGTTTGGATAAAAGCCAGTGGCAGCCAAACAAAAACATGGCCTCATCAGTCAATGAAATCCACAACAGTTAGTGTTTAAGACAGCCACGCACGTAGGGAAGTGTAGACTTCCTAGTTGGGGTCCTCGGAACAGTAAAAACCAATGACGCCTGGAGACAATTGGTGATATGACTCAAAATTCTCGTTCTGAATGGCTGTGGCAGATGTATCCTACTCCTTGTGACTTATAATATCCAATGAAACTATATTGTTCTTCGTTATTACTATTCTTTTTGCCTCATATCTCTGTTTACTGTCTCTGTTTTGCTTTTCCTTTTACTTTCTTCTCTGGTTTTGTGTGCTACAAGGAGGCAGTGTGGTGACTCGAACTGCTGCACATCGGTGCAGAGTAGTTCTATGTTGAAACCAGTCAGTCAGCTAGATAATTTGCTACAATTGAGGAAACAGAGAATACGAAGATGTAAACAGTACAGTGGTATCAGCACTGTCGAGATATTGCCTCACAAAAGACTAATAGAACTACTTCTGCACTTAGAGGAGTTGGTGTCGTTGTTCACATTGACGAAACAGTTACTTAATGAAAGAAAAGTGAATCGCGGTAAGAGAAGAGCGAACCATGTTTGAGGACTGTACGATACAAATCTTCGAAAATGGTTTGTAGAACGCATCCCAAACCGAAATACCCACGTCCTCTTAGACACAACCATTCACACAGACGAGTGGAGAGGTTATTGCCAACTATCACTATTCATCAGAAAGTCAATCTTTCTCCTGAATTAGTGGATCTTATGCTTGGAACTCATACAAATTCTACTAAAGGATCCAGAGTGAATCTAAAAAAGCGTATTCGGATGGTAAATGGTTACCGAGATGATATGATACACAGCCAATTATAGATGAATTTTTTTATCAATATTGGTTCGATATGTCTATAACCCGTTCTATGAGAAATTGGGATAGGCTTTTGCGGCATATTAGGGATATATATATGTACATACCCTGCACAATTCATTTTTATAACACACATATGTTATAAATAGACATTTTTATACAATAAATGCTACTTCTCACCTACAAGAGTCTGATTGGTTGATTCAAAGTCACTTAACCTTGGTGTTTATTCTTTACTGTTGCCAAGATGCTTTATAAATCTCAACTACGAAGGATTTAAGGCTTTTATTATTATTCGACAACCAGTAGGCGCGCACTAGCATTCGATTGTCGGAAATGTCCTACAACGATTGTGTGTGTAGGCGGATGAAACACTTCGAGTTTGATTAAGACTTGGAGACCTGCTTAAGGCTTGTGCTACTAAAAAATCCTCTATCATTATATTGTGTCTAATTTACTGTGTTCACTTTGCTTTAACCTATTTACCTAATAAAGTATGATCTCTCACGAATATTTAAAATGCTTAAAACCTGTAGATTCGCAAATTTCCACTTAACCCAAGAAAAAGCATCATCCGCAATGGTAATGTGCTTTAAAACGTATGCGAATATATCTGATAACTGTTCTGGAGATTATGAGTACGAACTGCCGCTCCCTATCAAATGAAATCGATTTCCTGTAATGTCCTTCAATGTGTACCACAATACAGGGATTATAAGCCTCCAAGAAACCTAGCTCCACGATGATAATTTAGTCTGTCTGAATGTTTCAGATAATCAAGACAAGATCGGTGTAGCTCTAAGATAAAGAACTTCGGAGATGGCGTCGGAACCTTCATCAATCAATCTTTATTGGTGTACTTAAAATAATCTTTGCCTTAGATTCTCAAGTGACAAAATCGACTCCATAACTGTTAGATGTTGACCAAAACACCAGTGGAAGTAGAACTACATCTACATTTCGAACATTTACAGTGCATCTGGATGTGTAGTCTGTCAGAGTTATCCTTATTTACTGATGAATTCACTTCCTCCATTACTTTCACCACCTTCCTTGTCAACCCTTTGTCTATTATTACTGGAGACTTTAATTTCTTCAATTAGATCAATAGGTCATGTAAAATATTGTCAACTTTTCAAGACAACTAGAAAATACTCTTGAGTTAACGTTCACGAATGACTTCGACATGTATGCGGCTTGGCACAAAAGCCCCACTACTTGATTCATCTCATTGTATCTTACTTTACTTTACTTCGGCTATCTCCTACGGGAGGATGAGCCGGCTTCATGAACGAGTTCATGAAGTTTCTTGGGAATTTGGTACGAGTGATGTCCCCAGCATCTCATTGTATCATATGAATATCACTCAAAATTTATGGAGGGCTGCAGAAACGGGCCTTCTTGGACCTTGGCAAGAAAACACAATACAGATGTTACTCTCACGACAATATACAGAATTGAACAAGCATGTATAAAAAAATTCTACAATATCGTATTTGGCAACCGGGACACACATTTTATGTGACGAGTAAAGTGTATTTGGGCATAAGACTACTGAATTACTGAGAAACACTGTGTAAATGACCTTTCTTATTCCTTCTTTCTTCATTCATTATTACAGTGTTGTTGCTGCTGTTAATATTTTCACTTAAATTTTAATTTTACGTCGAACAATACTATCCTTGTGATTGTCCAGTTTTAATTATTACCCGTGGATTATGTAATGAGAAAATTAGATACAATTGCATTGCATTTCATGCGGCGAAATTCTGTATTCGTATCAAAAGAGACTGTTTGGAATAAAGTTATTATTATAAGGTCTTCGTAGATGCCGGGGATCTTGCAATTCACCACTGATTTTTTTTTATTAGATATCACACACATACACACGGTGAAACGGTATGACTGTCTACTGGATGACAAGGTTTCGAACACAATCTATTATTGTGGTTCATAATCATTTCATCAATTATAATCATACGACTTCGATACTTGACTTTTATAGTTGTTTTCTTTGTTCCCTCCTACTTGTCGTCGTTGAGACAGTAGAACTTTCCAGATGTCCAACTGGACACGTGTTGAATCATTCCTATGACACGTATATTTTCATTTACTTGATTCAATAAACTTCCGATAAGCTTTCGTTATCAATCGCTCCCTCCACCCAGCTGTTACATTAAATTTTAAAACTGTCAGCTTATCTCATCCATCCTATTGTATGGTTGTGTGTGTGTGTGTGTGTAATTGCATGTAGTGAGTGCTATCTACGGCTGAACTATTCTCCACATCTCTTATTATCTTATTCGGATCAACTAATCTAGATGTTGCTGCTAGGCTTTTATGTTCGTCTAGTCTGACTGACTGCCCCTGTTCTACTAGTCTGACCTATGTATTTGACCCGACAATCATTGAAGGCAGGGTATTAGATAATCTAAATTGTTTTGTTTTAAAGCCTCCACAGGATCGATCCTTTCACCGACAAAGCTTGTTTCTAATTGAGTTTGTGGGTGGTTTGAATGCCAGCCGCTTTTATTCCTGCCCGCCTTGTTAAAAAGATTCTGCATAGGGTTTCCAACGTTCCTTCCTTGTATGGAATTACTACTGATGATTTAGATTCCTTATTGTTGGTGTTGTCATTATCCTGAGCATGTTTGACATACATGTCGTCATTAATATTATTATTATTATCACTATCCCTACTATCATTACTTATTTTATTTTTACATTTTCCTACATACTTCCTGATGAATTTATCAGAGTAATTATTAAGTTTTAAAGCTTCTCTTACATGCCTCACTTTCTATCTACCTTAGTTTCTCTTTAGAGAATATTTTGAACCAATGATCTCGAATTGATTAACTCACTGAGTCTTTACACAGAACTATGCACAGAATGGCAACAGTTTCATGTGTGTGGAGGGGAGGGGTGCGTGGGGAGGATGGGGAAGACAGAATAGTAAGGTTTTAAAAAACTACTCGATTAAATCGCTATTGGTTACAGGATTTCATCATGGGCTGACATTGGTTAGAGAACCATTGGAAAGCCAACAGGGAGTACTGGACAGCTCTTTCGTCCTAGTTTGGGACTCTCAAGCAGTACGCACTCAGTGAGGTTCAAACCCAGGACCTTCTGGTTACAAGGCTTAATGGTATACGAGCTCGCTAGTCTTGTAACCGGAAGGTCCTGGGTTCGAACCCCGGTGGGCGCGTACCATTGAAGAGTCATAAACTAGGACGAAACAGATGTCCAGTACTCCCTGTTGGTTTTCCAATGGTTCTCTAACCGATGTCAGCTCATTATGAAATCGTGTAACCAATCAACCAAATCCTTACAAACCAATACTTAAACCGTTATTCCTCGCCCCGATAAAATTGTATAGAATCATGCCTAAATCAAATGTCTTCTATTGTGCTAAAAAAATTTCATTTTTTTACCTACTTGATCACATAAAACTTTATTTTCATTTGTTAAACATTCAATTTTTGAATTTAACGTATCATTCGAGTGCTTCTTCATACTTTCTATCTCATTTTTAAGTGAATCTATCTCCATATGATATTTGACAGATTGATCACTCAATTGTCTATCCAATTCAAATTGATGATCATTTTTTAAATTTAGAATCATTTCTTGTAAAGTTTTCAACTCTTCACTAACTGTTAACAATTCATTTGATTTGTGCGCTAATTTATCTTGTTCAATTTTCAATTGTCCTTCATTCTCTTTAAATTGTTTCAATAAACTTTCATGCTTATTTAATAATTGTGCATATTGTTCATTAGATATTTGTAAATCTTGTTTTAATTGTAACACTTGATTATCATCATCTGCATACAATTGCTTAAAATGGGTTAAATCTTTTTCAAGGTCACTTTGTATATTCATTTGTTGTGATAATTTATGCTCCAAGTCATCTTTTAATTTATTTACTAATTTTAATTCATTTTGTATATTATTATATTCTGTTTCCATTTCAGTATATTTTAATTTTATATCTGTATACTTTTTTATTTCATTTTGTAAATTATTTTCTATATTTGATAATTGATTTACATAATCAGTTTGAATATCTTTCATTTTTATAGTAAGTTCATTAATTTGTTCATTTTGTTCTTGTTCTTTCGATTTATATCCATCTAATTCACATTGAACAGTCGATAATATTGACTGATTTTTATTTAACTGATGTGTTAATTCATTTAATTGACTTTCTAAATGTATCACTTTTTCATTAGATGTTGTTTGCATCTCCCCAATGACCTTGACAAGGCTATCAAGTAGATTGGAAATACCTCGACATCTTGTACAACAAATTCAATATTCAATAAATTTAAACAATCATTATTCAAATAACTGGATAAATCAGATTTAATTTGTTTAATATGATTGAATAAATTTTGATAATTTAAATTTTCATTTTGTTGTTTAATACTTTCATATGTATTAATTTCTGCTTTTAATTGATCAATTTGTTGCAAGTGTTCAATACGCATTGATTCAAGGTGTTCAATATTGACTTGTGCTTCATTCAATTGTTGAGTTAATTGTGATTTTTCAGTGTTCAAATTACTTAGATTATTTTGTAAATTGACTAATTCAGAATTCAATATCTCTTCTTTTTCTTCTTGTTCTTTTTTAGTAGATGTTATTGTTGTATTCATTTGTGATTGAGTCAGTGTTAAGACTTCTTTTAAATTATCGATTTCTTTTTCTAAATGTTTTTTAGCATCTCAGATTCATTTAATTTCATTTGTAATTCTTTTAATTGATCAGATAAAAGTTGAATTTCTTTGGAGGATTCATCAATCCCCTGTTGCTGATTCTGTTGGTCTACATGAATTGAACTTGACTGTGTAGTAACATGTGACTGATTGACTTTTACGTGTGAATCCCCGCCATCATCATCAGCAGTAGTAGTAGCACCGGTAGTATCATCAACATCATGATTGCCACTTTTCAATAATTGATTTTTTTCTAATAATAGTTCAGAATTTTTATACGTCAAACTAAAGAATTTCGCTTTTAAACACTGAACTTGTTCTTCCAGTGCTATTTGAGACAGTTTACTGTCTGCCAATTCAGAGCGTAATTTATTGATATTCTGTTGATCACACTGTTACAAAAAAAATCAATTTGGAGAAGAGAAACCAAATTTTTAACATAACACGTTAGAAATTTGCATTAGAAAAAAAGTACTTGGACAGGACAGATTCTTTCCTGTATCAAGTACAAAAGAAATTTAGAAAAGAGAAAGATTGAGCGAAGAAATATTTACTTTTCAATTAGATCCTCATCTCTGGGGCTCTACTCTAATATATATATATATATATATATATATATATATATAGCATCATCATCGTATTTCCGAACATCATCCAGCATGGTTAAGCAAGGGACAAACAAGATCTATTCGTAGCTAGCTATCTATTAGCACACCTTGTAGATAACACTGAGCATAAGGTTAACGTCAGTTAATACTGTATTTAAAATTATTTTTCGCATTCCTACAAATCTTAATTTTGCTTTACAAGTTCGTCTTCTACATACCTACAGCTGAAGCAATAGGAATCCACCTGTGGAGGAAGCCAAACTTGTGTGTTCAGAAGAAATTTGTACAGCTACTTTCCTTACCTTGGCCATCCATCGTTACATGATTGTATAAACCAGGCTACTTCATCCCCTCCCCCTAAGATGTTTTTTCTTTTTAAAAAACTATAAAAACTACAATTATCCAAATTATTTTATTTATTTTTCTGACTGCTTCATCTTTAATTACGTGTTATCTTTGTAAAAATTATTTTATACTCATGACCACTTCAACTTTATTTACAAATTATCATTGTCCAAATTGTTTTATTTTGTTTAACAATCTGTTACGTAATCAACCTGTGCACATGCTTATTCCTTAATTGCTCTTCATTTTTCCAAAATTATGCATTATGCAATCCACGTGTTGTAACCATTTCCACCTTTTAATTGTGCATATTAATTTTCTTCGTTAATTATCACCCCATTGACATTTTGACACCGACTAATTATTGTTAACAAACATATCGCCACTTGATTGGTGAATTGTTGTGTATTGTAATAAAAAGTGCTATAGGTGTATATTAGAGTAGAGCCAGAGATGAGGATCTAATTGAAAGGTAAATATTTCTTCGCTCAATCTTTCTCTTTTATATATGTCTAAATGGGGATATTTTCTATATTGAAAAGAAATTTAGTAAGGAAGGACCCTCAGCCATAGAGTTAGAGCTGTATGTTCAGAAGAAGTAATTGAAGATGAATTAAGCATTGTTTATGATACTCTGATCGAAAATAGTTATCCAGACAAATTTATCCATGAAATACATGACAAAGAAAGCGGAAAAGGACTACTCACTATCTGTAAACAAGACACCTCTTTATATACGACTACAATTCAAGGGCGATACACCAGGCGAAATAATTACGAAGAAATTAAGAAAATCAGTTCAAAGGACTTTTAATGCTGGTGAAATACACCTCTTATTCTCTACACAACCGATGGTGCTACCTCAACCGAAAGATGACGTACCTAGACTAGCCACTTCAAACTGTATCTACCAATTCAACTGCGCTTGTGGAGCGAGTTATATTAACCATTGCTCTAGGAACTTGATTTTATGCCGTCGTTCGGGAACATCTACCAGTATGGCTAAATAAAATGTAGTAAAAGCCATAATCAACAGTTCGATATTGGGCCATCTCGTCTAAACTGACCACAAGGCTAGTCAGCATTGAAGAATCCTTCTCTATCACCTACCGGATACCAAATAAATTGCAAAAGAATCGAAGGTACCGCATGCTCCAAACAACAGAGACTATTGCGATTCGCCACAAACAACTAGTGCTCCGTGTTCAAAAGAAGCAAGTCCAGCTAGCCACTACTATCGCCCTGGCCTTCAAACAGAGACTATAAATTCATGAATTTGTAATACTATCCTTCCTAATTTTTCTGGCATTCATTTGATTGTTATGTGAAAGCTATTGAACTGTAATTTATCAATATTATTGATTCACTGTTATTTAAACATTAATGTCGTTCATAACACGAGGGAGATTGAAACTCCACGTGCATTGATTAGAGTCTTTCTTATGGATTCTAAAAATCAATGGCTAGAGACTATTGCAGATATGCAGCCTCGAAATCGTTCTAAATGTCATAAATGCATTCACTTTTATTGATTTGATAGAATCGTATTGTCTTCCCGTGTTACTATTCTTTCTCCTTCACATTTCTCTACTTATTGTCTTAACATTATCTTTCTTTGTGTGTTACATGGAGTATGGCAGATTGAACTACTAATGCACTTCTGTGCAAAGTTCCATGTTGAAACCAGTCAGTCAGTCAGTCAATCAATCAACTACAACTGTGTTAAAAACTGATGTCTCGTGTTATCATCTCTGTTCATTTTTCATGTCTTCCATGTCTCGGAAAAGACTAGTTGTCTTTGATCATAGGCGTCTCCATTCTATATCCCCTGTTAGGTGGCATTGTGGTGACAGCTGGCTGCTGGCCAAAATTGGTAGATAGTATTTTACGTCAATATTTATGTCCCCAATATTGGTCGTGAGAAAAATGAGAACAAGGGCTTTGCGTAGGCGGATACAGTTAGCATATAGATGATCTGACGTTCAAGAGACAGCCACAATAAAGAGATGAAAGATTAACGTTCAGCGAGAAACCACCAATCAGAGGACTGTGTTTGTTTCCTTACAATAATCTATAATAATGTACATGAAAATCTATAAATATTTCTTGACTTCATAAATAAACGATCTGTTGCCCGGCCCTTGTCTTCTGTTGTTTCAGTAGAATAGGATGAGTGATATTCAAGTTAGGCCTTAGTCGAGTGTTAGGTGAGGAGGGCGTATCAATAGATAAAGGTCACTAAGCGAAATCGATTGAGATGCCTAGGATATGTGCTGCGCATGCAATCCAAATGGGACACTTCTACGGCATTCAATTAGTTTTCTGTCACTACTTAAAATTGGCAATACAACTGCTCAAAAACCTACACATCTCCTCGTCCTATAATCTTTCCCTAGGTCACCCTTGGTTCCAACACCCGACTCATCGGTTCGGTTCCCGTTAGGTTTCTACATAAGGGTGTGGTGAGAGCTGTCTGTTAGCCAAAAATTGGCAGAAAGTAATTTAGGTCAATGTTCATATGCCAAATATTGGTCGTGAGAAAAATAAGAACAAAAACAGACTCACAACAACCAATCACAGCAGACTTTGCGTAGGCAGATACAATTAGCAGATAGATAATCTGACAATCAAGAAACATCCACAAAGAGATGAAAGATTAACTTTCAATAAGAAACAACCAATCAGAAGACAATGTTTGTCAGCTAACAATAATCTATAATAATGTAAATGAAAATCTATAAATATGTGTTGATTTGCTTAATAAACGATTTGTTGCCTGGCCCTTGTCCTCTGTTGCTACAAGGGTATAAAGTGTGATGTTACTTGAAGACCTCTGACATATACAAACACATGTATGATTAAAAAAAAGTTCCGATAAAGAAAGGAAGACGAAATTTGCAGTATAAAATGATATCATATAATATCACCGATATTTTGATGACCCGATTGTTGTTTGCAACGATATGGATTACGTTTCGGCATTATATGATCGCCTCAATGAGAACCATTCATATATCAAATTCACCATGGAATATGAGCATAATAATGACTTCAATTTCCTGGATCTAAATGCAGAAAGACAAACGAAGGTACGATCTAAAAGTCCATCTATAGAAAAGAAACCTGGACTGGGCAATATCTTCTCTATAACAGCTTTTATCCCATAAGCTATAAACGTCGATTAGTGAGGACTTTGTATGACAGAGCCAGGAAGCTATGTTCACCAAACAAGGTCGAAGAAGAATTAGATTTAGTCGAGAAATGCCTAAGGGAAAATGGATACCTTAAGGGATTTATACAGAAGTATAGAAGAGAAAAAATGAGAAGGCAAAACACCCAACTGTAAAAAAGAAGAAAGTGTTTATTTGTCTCCCATTCAAAGGAGATGGAGTGTCACAAAAGATTGACAAAAGACTGAAAGGTGCAATAAAAAGAATCTTCCTGAAGCTTAACTCATAGCAGTATACAGCACCACTCCTTGTATAAGCCACTCAAAACTGGATCAATACCCTACGGATGTCACCTCCAACTTCGTTTATGAATTCACGTGCACTTGCGGCAGCAAGTACATTGGAAGGACGGAAAAACAAGGGCTTCTATTCCAAGAAACCTGTGCCTAAAAGAAAGCAGATATTCTCAGAGTGCGGTTATGAGGCATATTGTTGTTACCGGACATCTCGCGGAGATTACTAAGTCCTTCAAAATATTAAATAGACAAAAGATAGCAAATTTACTACGATTTGCCGAAGCGATCGCAATCAAACGATTTAAACCAACCAGACTTATGTATACAGAAAGGGACCGCGATCAATTTCTCACTTCCTTGGTAACAGATTTCACTGATCTCAACTCAGTGAACAAATCTCAATCTTATAAACTGTAACCGCTTGTGTTTTTGAAGCTGCTATGCGAACCTGCAAGCTTACACTATTAGTTGATTCTTTCTGTTTTAACCTTCCCCCTCTTTTCTACTTTTAAAGCGTATAAAGTGATGACGAAAAATTAAATAACTGAAAATTGTAATGCTTACATTTTTGAATGCGTTAATTTTATAGTATTTCTGTCTTCTCTACTATCACTTAAACATTAAAGTATGTTATTATCATCATCTATATAAACATTGTAATTTTAGGTAGTGGTGTGCAGCAGTTGATGAGAACCTGTGAAATAGAATGATGACGACGATATCATACTTTATACTGCAAATCTGGTCTTCCTTTCTTTATCGAAAGCGTATGACAGAAAAAAAAAACAGTGTTCATGCAAACAACACCTACCTGCATTCGTAATGACTTTATAATTTCTTCTTTTTCAGCTAACAGTTGACGAAAATCTCTTTCCAACTCATCTTTATATTGTTTATCTAATTCAAGCTTTTTCTGGACTTCTTCAACAGACTTTGATGTCTTGGCTTGATGTGATGCTAACAGCTGTTGTAGATTATTTCTTTCAGATTCCATAACTTTAAATGCTTCAGAAAGCTGAGGTTAGGGGAATGAGAGGAAGAAATATACACAAGATAAGAATAAAACGTGATCAATACCATTGAATATGATATTTTACACATATAATTTACGGAATATACGCATTGGGTCATAGGAGTAATGAAGAAGACAATTGCAGCGAAGAAAATTTTCTTTTCGACGAAGTCATCATCTACGTGCATATACCATACCAGTTTACTTGCTCTTGTGGAGCTGAGTACATTGGCAGTACCAACGCGCTCGTGAACATTACCCAGCCTGGTTAGTGAAAGGACACCAAAAGCGTGTATACAGTTCAGTAACAGAACATCTGGTCAATTCAGGACATTCAGCGTCATTCGAAAAATCCTTCAAAGTAATATACAAGATTCAATCAAACCTATCAAAGGGAGTGAAATCAAGACATCTAGGCATAGCCGGGGCGCTAGCTATACAAAAGCTCAAACCCACGCATTGTATCCAAAAGAAATACGTCCAACCCCTGCCACTGCCATGGCCATTATAAACAGGTAATTTTTTAGTAATGGCCATCACATCGCCTTTCTTATCTAAACTTCCTGTTTATTCATGTTATTTTTTTAAAGTTTTTCTCAATCCCTGTTTACACTACCATATTTTCATACCCGAACTTCGTGTTTATTTTGTCATTTTACTATTTCTACATATTTAATCCCTGATTGCATAAACAATTATTCATCACATTAGTTATGATCCCATTAGATTTTTTATCCAAACATCCTGTCTATTTTGTTATTTCTACATTTCTAACCCCTAATTGCACAATATCAATCTTCTTAGTAATTATGATGCTACTTTGTTTGTTTTATCCATCCCCCTATTTATTATAGCATTCTAATTCCTAATTTTAATTTTTATTAATTTGACCCTTAACAGGAAATTATTCCGGAACTTTTCCATCGATTTGATATAAATACACGAATGTACAGCCTAGATGATGACTTCATCGAAAAGAAAATTTTCTTCGCTGCAATTGTCTTCTTAATTACATATAATTTACGACATCTTGACTGATACCTGTTACCTTGCTGTAGTGATTAGGCGTGTGTGTGAATACCACAATAAGCCAAAAGGCTACACTGGCTGGAACTAATGTTCCTACAAGTTCTACAATGCCAGAAACGTTGTTTGCATAGCAGTTAGGCTAAAAGACAGTGTCAGTTATTTATACGACATCAGGAGGTCTGTCGGTAAAGTCTTATTACTGGTAAGTAGCCATGAGGTGTGTCACCTCAGATGGCCAACATACCACCTATGTTGTCTCCCTGATTTGCAGAGGGGGGGGGACCGAGACTTATATAATATAACATTATTATTATTCCCTTGGATAACGAGTGGAACATACCGTTTCGACTATTGAAGACTTCCTCCTAGACTATGCGATCACATAATATACTAATGTTCCTTCTGTTTGAAGTAGCTAAAAAAGTAATCTAATTCTATGGCATGGCTAACTGGGAAGTAATAACCATCCAAACACGTCTATAACTACTTCTAAACCTTCACACCAACTTCAGCGTAGACGTGAAATCCATGTATATTGGTTAGTAGCACTTCGCTCTCTTTTCTTGTTTATGGCTGTGAGTGTGATAGCGTCATTGATGAAAGTGGAAGACATGAAAAGGCTGGCTAGCTGTTTTGATCATAAGTACGTGCGTTCTATTTCCCGTCTTAGATAGTCGGTGTAATAAGGTAAGCAATATTGAAGTTAGGCTTCGATCGAGTGCTAGGTAAGGAGGGGGTAAATCAATCGGCGAGGTTGTGAAGCAGTTGCATCGATTGAGTGAAATGGTTAGGACATGTGTTACGTATGCATGCCTAGCTATCGATCGCCTTCCTAGATGGGAAATATTATCTGACTCAAATGTGACGGATGGATCAGGTTAGGAAAGAGCCAGGTAGTGGTGGTCAAACCAAAACATGGCCTCATTAGTCAGTGAAATCCACAACAGTTAGTTTAGGTCAGACAGTCACCTACGTAAGGAGGTGTAGATTGCCTCACTTACTGATTAGAGTCATCTGAATGGTGAAAACCAATGGAGGCTGAAGACAATTGGTGATATGGTTCAAAATCCACGTTCTTAATGGCTGGCCCAGATGTAGTCATGCTTCGTGATTTATAATACCCAATGACAACTTTATTGCTCTTCTTGTTCTCTCACACTTCTGCTTATTATCTCTCTTTTGGGCTTCCTTTTACTCTCTTCTCTTGCTTTCTTAACTACATGGAGGTGTGGCAACTTGAACTGGTGCACATCTGTACAGAGTAATTGTTCGTTGAAGTCAGTCCATAAATCAGGCAGTCAGTCAGTCAGTCAATATGCAGTTCTACCAACAATAGCAACACAAATAATGCTACGAAGACACCTAAAATTAAGAAACCGAATTGGTAATACAATTCACCCGTTTCATCTCCAACGGTCACTTCTCATGACAATAGAGTAGTGAAAAGTACACAAGTGTAAGGTATATTAACTCAGCATGGATATCGGTAGCCCAAATTTCGCAGGCCAACCATAGATATCAGGTGTGAGTCGGCAAGGGATCGCACCTCAGACTATGTGTATGGTCGGCGAGAGTCCTAACCACTGTGCCACCGACGCATTGACTGATGAAGCCATTTTTTGGTTTGACCACCACTAGCTGGCTCTTTTCCAACCTGACACTAAGTCAGTGGCTAACGTTGTCCGACGAGGAAGGTGATAGCTAGGCATACATGCGTAACACATTTCCAAACCATCTAAAATCAATGTAACTTCCCATCCTCGTCTATTGATTTCCCAAGAAGCTTAAGTTCTTAAAACTTCTGTCCCTTGGATATTAACATCAGTGATATCATTTCAACAAAAACATGCCTAGCCATTAGCTTTAATACAGGAAGTTATCTGAAGTTCTTTCTAGTGAGCAGTCAAAACAACAGAGGTTCACTAAGTCTGGTAAGAAATCAGTTACTGTGGCTGGAGGATGCACTTTAGATACATATATCACGAACAGGCAGTAGCCAGATGAAAAAGTTATCGAAAAAAATGTATTCTTTACTCAATTTTTTTGAAAAATTCTTTTTTGGGCATTTTAGAAAAATATCTCCTAAAAACATAACTAACCCTTACAAACCAATTATTATTATTATATCCTTTATATCCTGGAGGAACATAGGGCTTCAGCCAAGCGTCTCCATTGCGTTCGCTTTTCTGCCAACGTTTTCACCCCGCTCCAAGTCTGTCTACACGCTTTCATCTCCTCTTCACATAACCTCCTCCAAGTCACCCTCGCACTGAAGACCAACTCGCCGCTTCCATTTCGGGTTCCACTCGAGCAATGGCCTGTCTAGTGATGTCACTTGATGGTTTCCTCAGATTATGGCCAATCCATCTCCCTTTCTTCCTGCATATTTGTTTCACAATCAGTTCCTGCTTGGTTGCTTCGCTTATTCCCAGAGATCCCTGTTGCTGATCTTTTCTGGCCGGCCATCTGATCTTGAGTATTGAGCGAAGACAACTATTAATGAAGGTCTGAAGTTTGTTTGAGATGCTCTTTATGACGTGCTAGCCAAGTCTCTGATCCGTATAGTGAGTAGCACTGACTTCACATTGGAGCTGAAGATCCGGATCTTATTTTTCATACTGAGGAGTGCTGTTGACCTCCACACAGACTTGAGAGTAATGAAAGCTTGTCTTGCTTTTCCGATTCTTGCTTTGACATCCTCGTCAGTTCCGTTGACCTGTAGTTGAAACGATGCTTCCCGGTTAGGGTAGGTGAAGGAGGTTGTTTCTTTCAGGTTCCTCCCATTCATGCTGGTTGATTGTTATCTGTTGTTGTTGTTGCCGTTGCTGTTCTCCAGGAATCTTCATCGCCTCTGTTTTATCTATGTTCACTTGAAGTCCTATCTTTGATGCTTCTTCTGCCAGCTTGTTGTTTTTCACTTGCATATCTTCCAGTTTGTGGGGGAAATCAGACATATATCATCGGCGAAGTCCAGATCCTCCAAGTTCCCTTTTTGTGTGAGTCCACTTTATGCGTGTTTTCTCGCTGACCGCTGTTTGTCACATTATCCAATCTACTGCAATCAGGAAAATCATTGGTGATAGTAGACAGCTTTGCCTCACTCCCGTCCTCACTTCGAAGGATTCCGTAGGTTTCCCGTTGTGGAATACTTGGCATGCAGCATTGTCGTATAACTGTTGGATGAGATGTATAATTGTCGATGGGACTCCGTAGTAGCGAACCAAACCAAACTATAGAAAATTAATCTGATACTCGCTAGTGACTTGCTACAGGATGGAGTTTCCTGGAGTGAGTTCTAGTGAGAAGTCATGACCAGTGAGGTGCAATTAGATGTCACGTGTGTCGATGGATGTCTCACCAACGACATTGGTCGGGGTCGCGCTAAAATCACGAATTGGTAGAAGTTAGAATTCATACACTGGCCATTGAATCCGGTCCCAGTGGCTGAATGGTATACGAGCCAGCCTGCCTTGTAACCGGAAGGTCCTAGATTCGAATCCCATTAATGGGTGCGTATTCTCAAACTAGGCTGTCGGCTGGTTTTCAATGGTTCTCTAACTGATATCAATCCATGATCAACTCGTAAAAACATAACTAACCCCTAGATACCAAACTATAGAAAATATCTAAATAGAAAAATTGCAAACACACATATACATACAACAAACCTGTTGATATTTAATCTTATATTCTCTTGCTAAATGATAAACACGTTGATAACGTGATTGAATATCTGACGAATCTGTAGTAGATGATAATCGAAAAGTTGATGATATAACTGAACCACAATCAGAATCCTCCGCAGCACCACCACCACCAGCGCCAGCGCCGCCACCACTGTTTCCAATTCCAAATGGACTAGGTGATTTCAATATTCTAGAATGATTTAGTTGTTTAGCCAGCGGGGAAATATCTTCTTCCTCTTCTTCTTTTTTCATTAAATTAACACTTTTATCATTATCAGAAGATTCGTGAATTGTTCTTGTTGACGAAGGTCTCGATTTCAATTGTGTTGACGACAACACAGAAGAAGAAGAAATTCGTGATTCAAAAGCAATATCAGCATCAGTTCTCTCTGATTCACCCTAAAATTTGTTTTTTTGTTTTTTGGCAGTAGTGTAAATATTCAATATGGCAGTAGGTGTTATAACACCAACAGCAGGAATACAATAAAAAGAAACCGTGAAGAAATAGACAGGAGGAAATGAAGTGGCAGTTATAAACAAAAATTCAAATAGTAATAATAATAATAATTAAAAGACGGAGACTATCTGAAATATGTGTGATGTATTAGCGCTATACATTTCGAACAACAATCTGATCCCTAACACATTTACTTGTCATACATATAGAAAGGTTAAATTAAACAAAGTGAGAGAAAAAGGAATTAAGAATGATTAACACAAACGTTTGGTAATCCAATCATCAAATAAGGATTACCAAGGTAGATTAAGAGTAATAACAAACTGTTATGAATTGCCCTTCTATAGGAGATATGTAGATGATATCATTTTAATATGTGACAATCATGAAGATGCGAGTCGCCTATTAGACAGACTTAACTCTGTACAAAAATCATATTAGTCTTACATGCGATGAAGAAAGTCGCAACCAGCTAGCATTTTTAGATATACTTCTGAGTCGAAGAGATGATGGCTCAATAAGACGGTCTATCTACAGAAAGCCCACTTGGACAGGGCAATACCTTAATTTTCACAGCTTCTGTCCATTACAGTATAAGAGGGGCTTGGTGAAGTGTCTATTCAAGAGGATTAAGCGTATTTGCACGGCTGATGTTATGGACAGAGGAAACGAAATACTAATGGATACTCTTGTTGAAAACGGATATCCTTTGAAATTTTTAAACAGGTGTAGAAGTCAACTAGTCTCTAAACCTGCAATCCATACCGTCCCTAAGAAAAAGGTTTTCATCAAATTACCCTATAACGGGGAAATAAACAGTAGAATTGTGAGACAAAAGTTGAATTCAATCATCCGTAGAACCTACTATGAAGCCCAGCTTGTAATTGTGGAAAAAGCCAAAAATATGCTTCACTCCAAACCTCAAAAGTGCACAGGTGATTATATCACATCCCACACAATTTACCAATTTTCGTGTGCGTGTGGACATACATACATAGGGAGGAGTAATCGCGCTTTGCACGTGAGGGTGGGAGAGCATATCCCAAAATGGTTAGAAAAACAGATGAATTGTGACAAGCCAATAGATGCAGGTGGCAGACTACCAAATTCGTCTATAGCTAAACATCTAATCGAGATGAACCATAAGATTGATGTTAACTCAGCCTTTAAGGTCATCTATAAAAACAGTCAACGGCGTTTATTGAAATACGCTGAGGCTATAGCTCTTCATAGACTTAAGCCCCACTTGTGTATTCAAAAACAGTTTGTTATTACTCTTAACCTACCTTGGTAATCCTTATTTGATGATTGGATTACCAAACGTTTGTGTTAATTATTCTTAATTCCTTATATATGTCCAAACCAAGTTCACTTTTAACGGTTTGAAAAAATTTGGGCATTGGGCATATGTCATCGTCATAACGAAAGCCAACAAGGGGAACGTCACTGTGATAATGAACAGAACGGATTATGAAAAGAAGGCGATTGAACACCTATCTGAAGGACCATACTTACTCATTGAAGAGAAGAAGAAATCCGCCGAATTCAACAAAATGAAACTAAATACAAACAGACTACTTCAAGAAATGAAACCCAAAATTGGAAATTCGCTCTGGTTTACACTAAAACCAAAATCTTATATACCTTCAAGATTCTACGGTCAACCAAAGATACATAAACCCACAGTTCCACTAAGACCAGTGATAGATTTCACCAACTCACCAACATACAACCTTTCTAAATACTTACTCTCGATACTACAACCACTACAAAAGGACACTCAAAATATTGTAAAAAATTCATATGATTTCAAATCCCAAATAGAACACCGAGAAATTGATAAAGAAGACATTATGGTAAGCTATGATATTAACTCACTATATACTAGCATCCCTATTACCGAAAGTCTTGATATCATTTCCAGTCTACTAGAATCAGATACAACGCTATCACAAAGATGTCCACTGGACACCAGTGAAATAATTAAGAGCTTGAAATTCTGTCTAGAAAGTAATTATTTTACATTTAAAGGGAGTTTATATAGACAGACAAATGGTGTTGCTATGGGTTCACCAGTCTCCCCAATAGTCGCCGATCTTTACATGAATAAATTCGAAAATAATATCTTTTCAAGCATACTCACTCCTAAAATATGGTTAAGATATGTGGATGATACTTTTGTAGTACTAAAACGAGATCTACACAATTCATTCCTGGAGAAAATAAACTGTGTATCTCCCAAAATCCAGTTCACTTCGGAAGCAGAATCAGACATCGGTGAACTTCCATTTCTAGACTGCCTAGTTAAGAGAAAGGAAAACGGACATTTTAGTATATCCATATTCAGGAAGAAAACCCACTCCAATAAATATTTAGACTTCAAATCATCACACCCCATCAGCGCAAAGATTTCAGTTGTTTCAAGTCTTCTTAGACGAGCACACTCTCTGATAACGGATGAGCAAGAAAAAGAAGAAGAAATATCAAACATCACTGAAACTCTCAAGCAAAACAACTACCCAACGAACTTCATCAACAAAATCAACACAGACATTAAGTATGGCCGAAAATGCATTCCGAAAACATGGACTTCAACAGTCGTCATTCCATATAGAGCAGAGACGTCAGACGATATCAGAAGAGTACTCAATCAGCTCGACATTAGAGTTTTCTTCAAAACATCGGACACACTTCAAAACAACCTTGTCCATATAAAAGACCAAATCCCGAAAGATTCTCTATCTAATTGTGTCTATAAAATAAAATGCTCGGAATGTGATGCGATCTACATCGGACAAACATCTCGAGAAATCAAAATCAGAAGAAATGAACACCGTAGAGCTTCTCTTCGACCACCAAGAAATCCAGTTGAACTAGAAAAACTTCAAAAATCATCAGCCATAGGTCTACATGCTATAGAATCAGGCCACAAAATTGATTTTGACAATATTGAAATAATCCAGAAAAACTTCAGAAACCACAAAGAACGTCTAATATCAGAAGCACTTCATATCAAGTGGAATCCAAATTGCCTGAATAGGAATGATGGACTAAAACAGAATCTGACCTGGCTACAACACCCTCCCCCATGAAGTAGCAAAATCAACGCAAATGTGATGAGCAAGTTCACTATGTAAACACACACTACTTTCATAATTCTACACACTGACAAAATCCAACAATCTACACTTGATTTTGTCATCTTTACCAGTTCGCCAACTTGACAACAAAAAACGACCCAGACTAACGAACGATGATCAAGTTAGTAAACTTTATTTTGATATAATAACAGATATACTATTACCTTTGATATTTGGTTTAAACGATCTTCATTGTTATTTTGACTTTCAATATGTCCTTTTAAGTTGAACTAAGTCTATATTTTTCTCACCCCCTAACTCTTTGTTATATATATGCTGAGATTTTGTAAATTCCGGTTTAATAATACTTTGAGAGAGCTATTAGCATTAAATAGCGAAACGTCAGTAAAAACAATATCGTTTTGTTTTTCATATATATATATATATATATATTGACTTGACAAGTAAATGTGTTAGGGATCAGATTGTTGTTCGAAATGTATAGCGCTAATACATCACACATATTTCAGATAGTCTCCGTCTTCTAATAACGCTATCAAAATTTATAAAAGGGACTAATTGTTTTAAATAATAATTAAATAAAACACATCAAAACAAATGAACAAGATATTGGTCAACGGTGAAACATATTCAGCCTTACTTTCCAAATTTTATTCCTGAAGCAAAACTAAAAACATATACAATGTGTGCAAGCACAGACCCACCTTCAACCACCCACACACACACATGTATATATATATATATATATATATATATATATATACAAACAAGCATACAACAGACCACTGTACTCATATGAGTAAATTTTCTGTAAAAACTACTAAGCAAAAATAACAAAACAAAAAACAATTGCTCAAAATTCCCTAATACTTGTATAACACCTAGCACACTCATTTAAAGTGTAATCTGTAATTCCATATGAGTTTGTTTATTAAATGTATCACACACAGTGTGAAACAGGATTATTACATATACTGGATGACAAGGTTTCGAACGCATTCTATTATTGTTCATAATAATATCATCTATAAATAAACACAATTTCGAAACTTGACTTTTATAGTCTTCTTTGTTCCCTCCTACTTGTCGTCGTTGGGGTAGTAGAACTTTCCAGATGTCCAACTGGACACTTGTTGAATCATTCCTATGACACGTATATTTTCATTTACTTGATTCAATAAACTTCCGATAAGCTTTCGTTATCAATCGCTCCCTCCACCCTACTGTTACATTAGATTTTAAAACTGTCAGCTTATCTCATCCATCCTATTGTATGGTTGTGTGTGTGTGTGTGTAACTGCATGTAGTGAGTGCTATGGCTGAACTATTCTCCACATCTCTTATTATCTTATTCGGATCAACTAATTAGATGTTGCTGCTAGGCTTTTATGCTCGTCTAGTCTGACTGACTGCCCCTGTTCTACTACTTTGACCTATGTTTTTGACCCGGCAATCATTGAAGGCAGGGTATTAGATAATCTAAATTGTTTTGTTTTATAGGCTCCACAGGACTGATCCTTTCACCAACAAAGCTTGTTTCTAATTGAGTTTGTGGGTGGTTTGAATGCCAGCCGCTTTTATTCCTGCCCGCCTTGTTAAAAAGATTCTGCGTAGGGTTTCCAACGTTCCTTCCTTGTATGGAATTACTACTGATGATTTAGATTCCTTATTGTTGGTGTTGTCTTGTGCATATTTGACATGCATGTCGTCATTAATATTATTATTATTATCACTATCCCCACTATCATTATTCACTTTATTTTTACATTTCCGTACATACTTTCTGACTAATTTGTCACGGCGATTATTAAGTTTCAAAGCTTCTCTTATATGCCTCATCCCCTGTCTTAGATTTTCCTTGGTACCACTTAGTTTTTGCGCTCTATTACTCAAACATTTCACTAATCCTATTTTCACTGATATAGATAAGCTGGGATGATCGGAAGTCCAAATATCTGTTTCAATGTATGTGCTTAACATCCCATCTTCTTTCCTTTCCATGGAAGCTCCCCGAGTTCCTGACTTTCCAATTCATAAGTGAATTGAATTGCCTCCACCTTTTTAGTTAATGTATTCGAAAAATTTATCCATATCGTGTGTTCTAAGTACATTGAATGTGTCATCTACATACCTCCACCATACCCCTGGGGTGGGGCTGAACGTTTCAATCGCTATCTTTTCCCACCTATCCATGAACATATCTGCCAAAAATAAAAAATATTGGTGACACCCTGGCAACTCCCCCAGTTTTTTTGTATATTTTCCCTTGGAATTTAAATACTGTGGAAGTCAGGCAAAGCTGCACTCTCAGCATTATGTCCTTAAGTGGCACTTTTGTCCTAAGTTCGAGTTTTTGGTCAGAAATGAGTTCCTTTCTGACTATATATATAGTCATATTTATTGGTACACGTGTATATAAACTGACAATGTCAAAACTAACCATTTTTTCTTCATTATCTAATTTTAAATTATCTAATCTATGTTTTAGTTCATAAGAATTTGTTAGTCTAGATTTTGAGTGGATTTTTAGGGATTTAATATCATGGTTAAATATTTAGATAATTGATAATTAGGTAAATTTCTAAAATCAACTATGAAAACCTAGCAAAATGTAGATTAGTTGACCCGAATAAGAAATCTAGAGAATAGTTCAGCTATAGCACTACATGCAGTTACGCACAACCATACAATAGGATGGGATAGGATGACAGTTTTAAAATCTAATGTAACAGTAGGGTGGAGGGAGCGATTGATAACGAAAGCTTATCAGAAGTTTATCGAATCAACTGCAAATACATGTAGTAGGAATGATTCAACATGTGTCCAAATGGACTCCATTATGGATAAGATTTTATTTTGATAAATCACACAGTGTTGTAGAGTTATATTAACTGATCAGTTAATATAACTCTACAACACTGTGTGATTTATCAAAATAAAATCTTATCCATAATGGAGTTATACTCTACCACAGTGCCCAAGTTTTATACTTATGTCCAAATGGACATCTGGAAAATTCTACTACCCCAACGACGATAAATAGGGGGGAACAAAGAAAACAACTATAATTTTTTTGATTTTTGATTTACAGCTTGATTCCACACTGTATTTTTGGTACAAGTATGGAATTTTCAGCATGGATATCGGTAGCCCAAATTTTGCAGGCCAACCATAGATATCAGGTGTGCGCCGGCGTGGGCTCGAACCCCGGACCATGTGCATGGTCGGCGAGAGTCCTAACCACTGTGCCACCGACGCACAGTCAAGTTTCGAAGACGTGTGATTATAAGTGATGAAATGATTATGAGCAATAGTAGATTGTGTTCGAAACGCCATCCAGTATGTAATAATCCTGTTTCACTGACTGTGTGATACATCTAATAAACAAACTAATGTGAAATTACTTACTTCCACAATGCCCAAGTTTTACACATATATTAAAATGCAATTTGATTAGTATTCGCACAGTATTAAACTGGATACTGTTACCAAGCTAAGTTTAACTATAGTTGTTAATCAGCAAATACCTTGATTTCGAAGTATTGGTTTGTAGGGATTTGGTTGATTGGTTACAGGATTTCATCGTGAGCTGACATTCGTTGTGAATTGGCAGAAGTTAGAATTCATAGGCTGGTCATTGGATCGGGTCCCAGTGGCTTAATGCTCTACGAGCTCGCTAGCCTTGTAACCAGAAGGTCCTGGGCTTGAACCTCGGTGGGTGCGTACTGCTGAAGAGTCCCAGACTAGGACGAAACAGCTGTCCAGTACTCTCAGGTTTTCCAATGGTTCTCTAACCAATATCAGCTCATGATGAAATCCTGTAACCAAATACCTTGATTACCACCCTTCAAAAATAACGTAGTGTGGTCGAGAGTGGATAGACTCTGATCTGCCTCTTGAATTACTGTCATGTATTGATGCATTCATAGCCTTAGCCAGGCAGATAGTGTTCACCGTCCTCATGCAGCACAGGGTATTTTCACAAAACTGAAGTGGAGAATGAAAATGTTCAGCACTCAATAACGGACTGATAGAAATACAGGCCCACCTATGGAGAAGTAGAAAATCCTGATTTGAAACCTATGGTAAACACACACACACACAATTTCCAGTATTTGAATCGATCCAATGATATATGAGATTGTTTTTGGTCACTAACATTCATGAGAACACAGATACTGTCACCCTTTTCACTACCTTGTGGATCACACTTCCAATGAGAAGCTCACAAATGGTTCTTTAAGACAATCCTCCACTTTAGCTATGGGCATCCAAGAAGTATCTCAGACCTCACACAAGTAGCGATCAAACAAGGAACAACAACCACTGGAAAATTGTACTCGTATGCACACGATGACATTTTACTTCGCTGATTATATGTATTCAGCACCTTGATCCTTTATCACTATTTCAACTTTTATATTTTATTTTTACTACCTTTCAGTATTTTTACTTTCGTTAGCCGTTCGCTGTTGTCTGAAATCTCAGTCTATCCGTACTGTCCTGAGTTCCTAGTTAGTTACCTTCAAAATGCTGATCTCCAGTGTGATACCTAACACGTTGTATCCCATTCAAGCTTGCCACCAGCAATGTTCGTATATTGAAACAAGTAAGACGACAGGCAGGTTTGAACAGAATCTTGGAAAGCTGTGCTATTGATGTATACTTCATTACAGTGACTCGCGCACACAAGATACCATTGAAGTAATCCGAATATTTTCTCCGTCAACAATTTCGAATAGCGTGTATCATGTGTGCTTATCCGCAGACCCTGTAGCATCACCATCCAGCTAAGCTTGTATTAATGTCACAATAAGCCATAGAGTGAAAGCTGCATTCCTTGACTGAATCCTCAGTAACAGCCAATTATGCGCTATGGAGTTAGAAGTTTATACAAAGGGAAAAAGCGACAGGCCAGAGAAGCATCGTCATTTCGTCATCTATGACTATGCACCTACACAGATGCAGTTGAGTAGGAATCCTACTACTATCAATTGAGTAAGCATCTCTGAAAAGCGCATCCCACATGGTATTTGGTAGAGGAACTGTTTATTGACAAATTGATGTACAAATTTGGCGAAATACATGTACGCTACATTAGAATGTTCATTTGCACATGCTCTCTGAATTGTGCTATTTGTGTCTAACTTTCATGCTTTCTATGTGGTTTCACAAGGATTTTCCATTTCTCCTCTTCTCCGCGATTCAATATTCATGTAGAAGACATTACGCGATACACTGCTTACAAATTCTCGTCAGTATCACCCGCCACACTCGTCCACACATCCAAACTTTTCGAGCACAACCCCTCCGACCATCTTTTTTTTTGTCCTGGTACCGACTTTTTTTTATCTTGCTTTACTCATCTCTGAAGTTGGCTGACGTTCACACGCTTCTGTTTGTCATTCCTTCCGATGGCGTAAGCCAGATCATGTCTGACGATAATAGTGTATGGTTTTTTTCAACTTTGGAAGGAGATTCCGTGAACCTGGCCTGCATACAGGTGTGTACTTGCTCCTTCTAGAGATTACTTGACCTCCAACTTCAAACACTATTGATCTTTTCTTTCCTCTCCGTTCAAATTTCGTAGAGCAAATCTTCTGCTTATGATTCACAATTCTGATTGTTTCTCTCGGTTTCGTTTCCCATCTCTGCATACTTCATTCTTGGTAAAGGGATCAGGTCTTATTCTGCACTGATAATCGTGGTTTCCAACCATACCATACGTTGACTGAAACGGTGACTTCCTTCTTATTTCCTGGGTGGTAGCACTATACACCACTAGAATCATGGAAAGCTCTGCCTCCCAGTTACCTGCCTTTGATACCTACCATTTCTTTGGTGTGCGATTATTATTTTCTGTCGAACCATTAATTTGTGGATGATACAGCGTTGTTTTAATTTTCTCAATACGTAAATTCTTCCTTTTTTCAAAACAAGGACCCTGATCTGTTAATATCGTCTTTCGTACCCTGTGGTCTGCAACGATATCATCTTTTACCGAGTGTCGTTATCTTGGAACATCGGCTTTGGTGCCTCAGATATGTACAAGAAACACCATATCGGTGGTTGTCATACTACTCACTGACAGTTCGGGGGGGGGGGGGGCGCGGGGAAAGAGGAAAAATATTCAGCCTATAATATGACATAACTCCTAAAAAGCTCCGCTGATTTAATTTTCTTATATCGATCGGTAAGAAAAATGTGACTATTGTTCACATTAAATTTTATACCTAATACTATTAGTATTTTAAGAATAAAATCATGCTTTCTAATGATACATAAAACTCACCAAAAACCGAGAATAAGAAACTCTTCCATCGATGCTTCCACATTCTGACCGAGCGCCCTAAATGTAAAAGATATTGCATGGTTCGTTAGCATACACACACACACACACTTTAGCCAAAAAATGCAGTCAGAGTTCTGCCATTAATAAATTATTATATAACAACACTAGGAATGTATGAAAGGAAACAACTCTTTGAGAACAACAGGATGACTGAAAACTGAATGACTAATATAGATTAGTGCAAGACTTTTCGTCGGCGTGAACTAGTTTAAGGTCGAAACTACAAAATAGGCACAGCCGGACAGCACAGAGATAGTTGCATGAAATAAAATCAATAAATTTAAATTATTTGAATCCTATATGCTAAATATAGTACATGGAATTCATATCATAGTGACTACTATTGATTATGAACTGTTTGATGAAGTTTCAGACTGCCCTAACCTTTTCGATATATCCTTCTAATAAAGGGAGTTATGATAAACCAGTAGATGTTAACCCGGCATAACTATTCGTTTTATGTAGCAGCTTTTATATATAAACTACTTATAATCTCCCACTAAACATTTAGGAAATTAGCGAATAATTCTCCATACTACAGCTAATATAAATGTATGATTTCACTGGACATGAGTAAATAGCATGGTGTGTCTGGAAAAGAGCTAGTGGCGGTCAAACCAAAACTTGGCTTTACCAGTCAATGAAATCTACAACAGTTAGTCTCAGCCACGTAGGAAGGTGTAGACTTCCCGACTGGTTGGGGTCCTCGGGACGGTAAAAACCAATGGTTGGAAACAATTGGTGATATGACTCAAAGTTATCGTTCTCAATGGCACAAGTCTATCCACTCCTTTTGACTTATAATTTCCAATGAAACTGTTTTGTTCTTCGTTACTACTCTTCCTTTGTCTCACACCTCTGCTCACTGTCTCTATTATGCATTTCTTCTACTTTCTTCTCTTGCTTTGTGTTCTACATGGAGGGAGTGTGGCGACTTGAACTGACGCACATTTGTGCAAAGTTCTATGTCGAAAACAGACAGAGACAGACATATGTGCAAAGTTCTATGTCGTAAACAGACAGACTGAACAAAACAGTCCAACAGGAGGTCAATCGCAAGCCCGAATAACTCAATGCTAATGACTCTGACTGAAGCACTGGGTGATGCGGGTTCGAATCTCAGAAGGGACATGAGTTCCTTCAAAGTTGCAGATATGCCTTGCTGACTGATGAGAGCCAACTAACACGAAACCTAGGTTAAGCAAGGCTTCCCACTGACATGAATAAATGTATGTATCAGGTTCATACTACTTATCGAATATTTTCATGAAATGAAGACACCACTCGTTGGACACCAAAATTACTACAGCAATATTGCTACGTGATGATGAAGACAAATAACCCAATATTTAAGGTTTTTGGATGCCACACAAACGCTAGGTCTAAAAAATGTACAGTAGAACTGTTAAGATAGTCTATTTCTACACTGCATCATTCATTAGGAGGATAAGGTTGAGATGGTGCCCCATAAAAACTAATCATATGCGCCACACCTACATTAATACCACCCAGCATTTGTGGACAAAGTTGGACATACACACGAGCCTCTTAAAGAAAAACAGAGATACTCTACACTTTAGTAGTGCATTAATCTCTTAATGGTCAAATTTTATTCCAATAGCCTGATAAAGTATAACAATTTACGGCTAGCTAGCTATAACACCCCAGTTAAACATCTTGGTGACAATAATACTTGACTGCTAAGCGCGTGCTACATTATTACATGTGCAGAGAATCTACCCAAAATGCTGCATCTGCATTCTATTGTAAGAAAAACGGGTATGCACAAGTTGCAAAGAATATCCAAAACTTTATTTAAGAGACAAAATTCTCAGATGTAATTAAATCCAGTAAAGATTCGCATAGAAACTTGTAAGACAGCCAATCAACACCTGATAAACCGAGTCTGTTCCAGTGTTTCAGTAAATAAAACCCACACATAATAGAGATAAAGTTGACCACTTCAAAGCAAGATAGGCAGACAAGAATCCTAAAATGCGTGCTACAATCACAAATTTAAAAAATGATAGTAATATCTCTATTTTACCTGATATCATGAGAGGGAAAATGTCATTTTCACTATGAATTTTTACTATCCAAACCGCTACCGCGCGAACTTTGAGAAGGGAGTGAACTTTACACGGTCTTGTTTAGTTTTGGCTTTTGCTGTGTTATACGCTCCAAAAGTCTACAGATTGTATGGAGGATTTCAGCATGGGCTGACATCATTTAGAGAACCAGTGGAAAACCTGGGAGTACTGAACAGCTGTTTCGTTCTAGTATGGGACTCTCCATCAGTACGCACCCACCTGGGTTCGAACCCAGGACCTTCTGGTTACAAGGCGAGCTTGTTGACCAATGAGCCACTGGGACCAGAACCAATGGTTCCTGAATTCTAACTTCTGCGAGTTCATGACATAGCGCTACCACTTCGCAATGTCTTCTTCGATGAGTTAGTGCCTCATCTTCGGCCTGCTGTACCCTACTGGTCACGGCTTCCCACTTGAACCTCAAGTTAACTGCCTGAATAGGGCCAGTCGCTAGTGAGCATCAGATTAATTTTCAAGTATTGGTTTTGTAGGGATTTTGTTTGATTGTATGGAAGATTTCACCATGAGCTGATATCAGATTAACTTTAAATCAGTTTATTCTGATTGAAGTTAGTTTACGTTTTAGATTTGAGTCTATTAAATTATAAGAAGTTGTGTTCTTATAACTTAATAGCATGCCTATCAAAAGAAACCGCTGCGGAAGGGTTATGTGCCAATTTCCAGTGGATGAGGGAATGCAGTGTGATAACTGCAAGAGATGGTTTCATAGTATGTGCACAAACCTAACTCCTGCAGCATACAAACGGTGCTGCAAACCTCTAGCAAACTGGTTGTGAAATGACTGTTGTAGTACAACTAAATTCCGTATAACAAAAGCCATTGCCACTCTCAGTGGGGCTTTATAGCTCATGGACTGCAAGGGTTTTCCACCACAGGAGAAAACCGACCATTGCTCAGACAACGATGACGTGACTAGCGTCATCGACAAAACAGCACATGTCCCCGATGCGTCTCTGTCAATGAGTGCCCTTCAGGACAGAAGAGCACCCACCATATTCCAGACACCCACGCTGCTCCCACGATACTGGATAAGCCCTCCATTAACAGTAACGGAAAGACTGCCACAAAGAAGAGGCATACCGGGGGTCGAAAATCTGCAGCTCAAGTCTGTCTGTCTGTTTTCGACATAGAACTTTGCACAAATGTGCGGAAGTTCAAGTCGCCACATTCCGTGTAGCACGCGAAGCAAGAGAAGAAAGTACAAGAAAAGCATAATAGAAACAGTGAGCAGAGGTGTGAGACAAAGGAGTAATAAAGAAATACAAAACAATTTCATTGAAGATCATAAGTCACAGGGAGTAGATGCATCTGCGCCAATGAGAACGATTTTGAGCCATGTCACCAATTGTTTCCAACCATAGATTTTTACCGTCCCGACGACCCCAGCCTGGAAGTCTACACCTTCCTACGTGGCTAAGACCAACTGTTGTGGATTTCATTGACTGATGCCAAGTTTTTGTTTGACCGCCGCTAGCTTTTTTCCAGCCTGACCCTATATCCGCTAACATAGCTCGTCGAGGGAGGCGATGACTTGGCATACGTAACACATGTCCTAACCATCTCAGTCGATGTAGCTTCACGACTTCGTCGATTGATTTGCCCTGTTTACCTAGAACTCGACGCCTAACCTCCATGTTGCTCACCTTATTATGCCACTTTACACGGGAAATAGAACGCAGGCACCTATGATCAAAGGCAGCTAGTCTTTTCATGTCTTCCACTCTCAGTGGCCAGGTCTCACAACCATAAAGGAGGACGGAGCGGACTGATGAGCAGTACACCCGCCCTTTGGTCGATAGTCGAACATCTCGTCTACGCCAGAGTCGGCGTAAACTAACAAATGCGAAACGAGCCCCTTGTATTCGTGCTGAGATTTCGTCAGAGATCAGCCCGTTGGGGCTGATGGTACTTCCCAAATAAGTGAAGCGGTCAACGTGCTCTACCACTTCACTTCCTATTTTTAAACTAGGCGTCGATGTAGTCCAGTCCTGTAACATCATCTTGCATTTGGCGGGAGCGAATCGCATGCCAAACATTCGTAGATTGCTGTTCAAGGTGTTTAGAAGACTCTGCATTTTGTCAGCGTCTTCGCCTAGAAGGACTATATCGTCTGCATATTCCAAGTCAACGAGATTATTCCCAGGTAGCAAGTCAATCCCTGAATCGCTGAAGTCACCTAGGGTTAAGTCCATTAACACATCTATGATGAAGTTGAATAGAAAAGGAGATAATGGACATCCTTGACGGACACCACTGGTCGCCCAGGGACTGGTGGATCAAGCCCCATCCACACCGGTGAAAAGCAGGCAGATAAGTCCTACTATGATTAGCGAGGAGGACGCTAATGAATGGCGTAATGTAGTCTCTTGCAAAAAGCGAGATAAGGATAACACACTGGCCCACGAAGGACAGAAAGACACTTACGCCGAAGAGCAAGAAAGCCACGGCAAGCAAACCTGATCTCTTTGGCAGGTCGCTCATTCTCCACAAAGTGGAAGAGTTATTGGCCCCCGATCCCAAGGCCAGATTCGAGCATGACCTTAACTTGGTTAAGCCCCTTTTAGACAAGCTACTGCCACAAACAGTATCAGGCATTACTATACACAGCGTATGTAGAATAGGCCAAAAGCCTGACCCTACAGTAAGTCAGCCTGTACGTCTCCTCAAAGTCGTACTAAACTCTGAAGAAGAGAGGGGTGCTATTCTAAGCAACTCTCAAACTCTTAAAGGATCAGGCATATATGTCCGCGCCGACTTAAGCCTAGCAGACCGTGTCAAAAGACAGTCTGCGGCCCTAGAATTAAGCGAACGACGCAAAAACGGTGAAAAGAACCATAAGATTAAGGGTTTTGGGTTGTCAGATTTCGCAGTTTAATGATCCCGAAACCTCTGTGGGTAGGCCGGGGAAGCACCAAACTGAATTGACATTTTGTTATACAAACGCCCACAGCCTGTTGAATAAATGGATTGAGCTGGTTAACATGATATACTCCGGAAACCGGGATGTAATTATCATCACAGAGACATGGCTCACACTCGATGTCACTGACAACGAAGTTAACCTGTCAAACTTCGAAGTGCATAGGATGAACCGACTAAACCGCAAAGGAGGTGGCGCAGTCATCTACCTCAAGAAATGCTTAACCGTGTGTAGTATCGAAGCACTCGCTCACGAAAGTGAATCGTGCGAACTTCTACGCTGCATACTTAAATGCATAGGCCGAGACATTGACCTCATTGCTATGTACTGCAGTCCTGGATGCAGTGCAGATGACTTCCTAACAGGGAAGCTAGGCTCCTGGACTTTGAAATGTCGAAGTCTCGTAGTCGGCGACTTCAATGCCCCAACAGTTGACTGGACGAGCCTTACAACTACATCTTCAGTCAACTCCCTTGATCATAAACTTCTGGAATCTAGTATATCGCTAGCCCTAGTCCAACATATCATTAAGCCCACGCGCTATGACTCAGCACTCCTCCTCAACTCTGGACCTAGTGTTCTCCCACGGTGAGGATGTGGATCTCATACAACATCTTCCTCCTTTAGGAGGAAATGACCATGCTGTGCTCACTTTCAAGTTCACACCAACGGCAGCAAGGGCCAAAACCCCAGCTTGACCAAACGTTTGGAAAGCTGATATAAATGCAATCGTCTCAGCAGCCAACTCAGTAAACTGGTAAATCAACCCAAAGTCCCAAGTAGAAGCCGCATGGAACCAATTTAAATAACTTTACGCCCAAGTAACTGAACTTTTCATCCCTTGGTTTGTCCCAAAGGGTGGGAAACATTGCCCCCCTTGGATAAACCGAGAGATTCGCAAGTTACTTAGACGTAAACACAAATGTTGGAACCTGTTTGCCACACTTGAGACTTCTGAGGCCAGGTAATTAAATAACACCGCTAGAAATAAAACTATTGCACAAATCCGCCAATCAAGGATGAAGTTCGAAGCACATTTGGCTCAAAATGCAAAGGCACAACCTAAGAAAATTTTCTCGTACATGAATTTCAGGAATAAAACATCGAATGGTGTCCCAAACCTGACTATTGACAATGATACAATCGAAGAAAACCAAGAAAAAGCAGAAGCAATGGCAGACTACTTCTCCCAAGGCTTCACTCAGGAGTCATCACTTACTATAGGATCAGCTCTGGCTGCATCAGAGGAATACGAGATGGATTCCGTTGACATCGACCAAGGCATCCTGTTCAACTGCTTACTGAAACCAGATGCAAGGAAATCAATGAGTCCTGATAATCTTCATCCAAGGCTTCTCAAGGAGATATCAACTCACAAAGCTGGCCCTCTGACCAGCACGTGAAGGAAAGACGCCATAGTAACCCCCATCCACAAAGGAGGATCAAGACAAAGCTCTTCAAATTACAAGCCTATCAGTCTCACCAGCACTTTAATCAAGACACTGGAAAGAATCATCAAGAAAAGCATCATGGCATATCTGGAAAACAGCAGCTTGTTATCTAGAGCACAGAATGGCTTCCGAAGGAACTTCTCATGCCTGTCAAATCTCCTTACTGCAAGAGAAAGCTGGGTCAAATCAAGGGATGTCGTCTTCATAAACTTCAGCAAAGCCTTTGATTAAGTACCTCACAAAAGACTACTCATGAAATTGGAAAATCCTGGTATCAAAGGTAGATTACTAAACTGGCTCAGGGAATTCCTCATAGATAGGAGGCAGAGGGTTAGGATCAACTCGAAACTCTCCTCTTGGACAGCAGTACGTAGCGGAGTGCGACAAGGCACGGTACTCGGACCTCTCTTATTTATTTTGTATATCAATGAGTTATCTCTGCTCACCGACTTCCCTGTGGTCCTATACGCAGATGAAATCCACAACAGTTGGTCTAAGCCACGTAGGAAGGTGTAGACTTCCAGGCTGGGGTCGTCGGGACGGTAAAAATCTATGGTTGGAAACAATTGGTGACATGGCTCAAAATCGTTCTCATTGGCCGGCGCAGATGCATCTACTCCCTGTGACTTATGATCTTCAATGAAACTGTTTTGTTCTTCGTTATAACTCCTTTGTCTCACACCTCTGCTCACTGTTTTTATTATGCTTTTCTTGTACTTTCCTCTCTTGCTTCGCGTGCTACACGGAGTGTGGCGACTTGAACTTCTGCACATTTGTGCAAAGTTCTATGTCGAAAACAGACAGACAGACAGACGCAGATGCCTTAAAAATTTGGAGAGAGTTGAAGGGCAACATAGATACGTCCACGTTGCAAGAGGACCTCAACAAATTGTCAGAGTGATCAATGGAATGGATGCTCCCGATCAATGCGGCGAAATGTGTAACCATGCGCATCGGACAAGCAAGCACGAGCTCCTACGAACCAGAGGGAATAACATTGCGGCCAGTTCAGACTTACTTGGACTTAGGTATCGTAGTTAGCCACGACTTAGAAACTACAGTACACTGTCGCGCGGTGGCTGCACGGAGTTTCATGTCCTTATGGGCAATTCACAGAGCCTTTACTAGAATCACCAGAGATATGTTCACCTCCTTAAATACATCTCTAGTGAGACCAAGACTAGAAAACTGTATCCAGGTAGCCAGTCCTTGTCTTAAAGGGGACTCACACATTCTAGGAAGAGTCCAAAGGAAGGCAACACGTATGGTTCTCGGCATAACTAACTTATCATTTAAGGAAAGACTAGAAATTTTAAATCTACCTGTCATACAGTGGGCAGAGAGGAGATTTAATCACAATGTTTAAAATTTTAAATAATGACTACAAACCAGATCTATTCTCTATTTCCTTCCCATCAGGTCTGAACAACTCAGAGAACATAGCAGGAGAGTTCAAAAGCCGAGAAGGAATCATATTGCTGTTGAGTACTGGTTCTCACACCGAGCCATAAACTCTTGGAACCAACTCCCAGAAGAAGTGATGTCTGCAACCTCAACTGATTCGTTTAAGAAGGGTTTGAACAACCACAAAAATCTACTAGAAAAGGATTAACATAGGCTCTAAGCCTTCTATCCTCAACCAATAAATCTGAATCTGAAATCAGTACATTACGCATAATGAGCTTAACACTGGTTTTTTGAGTGACGATTTATACCATAACCGATTTTCGAAACAATTCCTAGGCGTGATGCCATCTTCGTTAGGCGAATAATTTAATTATTTTTATCCAATTCAAACTGCACTGGCGTTATCCTAAATTCATCACATTAACACACAGCTACATATCTGAAATGCTAACAATATGCATTCAGATAATCGTTTTCTATTCAAGTAACTCGCCATCACGGTGCACTCTGAGTTGCGATATTAGATGGTTGGAGATAATCGGTAAGAAGCCTTGCTTTGCCTAGGTTTCATGCTAGTTGGTACTCGCCAATCTACACCAAACAATGGACTAGACATATTTCACTAGTTACTAACTGTAGTGCCCAATGAAAGCATATTATACGGTCCTACAGGGGGTCAGTCATGAGCCCGAATAGCTCAGTGGTAACGTCTCTGACTGCAGCACTGGAGAGCGCGAGTTGGAATTTTAGTAGAGGCATGAGTTCTTTCAAGACTACAGATACGCCCTGCTTAATGACTGGTGAGTGTCAACTAGCAAGAAGTCTAAGTCCAAGGCTTCCCACTGATTGCCTCCAACCATCTAATACCAAAAAATATGCACAGACAGACTATTTCTGAGATGAACACCATCTTTTCACTACAATACTCCTTAGAAACATGATAACAGGAGAGGCTTCCAAAGCAATCTACTTTTCCAAATAATTCAAATAGCGGAAGAAACACTCCGTCTTATCTCTATTATACACTTTATAAAATCAAACATGCAGTAATTGTAAGTCTTGCGGCAAAATAAACACGTTGAATAAGCACAAATCCCCTGACCAATAAGTAATTTCAAAAACGCAATTCTTTATTAGCTTCAAGGAAACTGACAAAGAGCATTGCTTACTTTATGTGCACCCTCTTTCCTTACAAGTCCTTTAAGATTACTGAACATCACCGGATACGTAGCACTATCAACAAATTTGGCGGTTCAGTTGGATGTCCAATGAACAGTATTTTAAGTTTTGTTAAGACACTCGGATAAGGACTTAAGAGTTCTTTTTAATTCATACTCAGCAAATATCTTCAACTAATCGTCTTCATCCAATTAGACTTTAGACCCACAGAACACTTCTGTTAATTCCAAGAGTAAATGACCTAATATGAGAAGCAGTATACTACAATAATATTATTTGTCTCTGGCTTTCGAATTCTCTTGCTGTTCCAGCTTTATGAATGGGAAAGGATAAAATAGATCAGATCAATATTAATCCCTTAAATCCTTAAAAATCGTGATTAGACCTCATCTTCCGGTGTGAGGGACAGACCCTTTCGGTTAATCATTCTTTATGTGGAATATTAATTACACCAGGAACTGTATGCTTGATCGACACTTCACTTGTTCCGTCGCACTTTTCTGCATAAAGTGATGAGCACATTCAAAGTGATCCACAAATAGTGAACAACATACGTAGCTTTTAAGTTGTTATGCAGTGTAACATTGTGGGACTTAGCTGAAATGAAAGGTTCTCCATCTACTCTGAGCGTCCTAGCATCCACAGGGTTTTGTGGCCCAATTCTTTTACGTGGTGGTGGGAGTCTGCTGTCCCTTGGGCCAAGTTAGTGGATTAGAGAAATCTGTTTGTAGTTTCAGTCTGACGTCATCATGGTTGTTTTCTTCTCAATGAATTATAAAACAAGCGGTAATCCTAGAAAAGCACACCACCACAAAAATAAGTAAAATAATATGAAATCTTGTGAAGTACCTGTGTTAATCGTCGTACAACAAGGCAGTTTGCAGCTCACAGATACTCTTTGTCTCCCACGTGAAGCGTTTAATCCAAAGGATTAGGCAGGGAGGAATAAGGCACCTTGTGAGATGATTGTTTTGTTAAATGCCCTGATCTCTTTAACTGGAACTAAATTTGTATTGGCGAATAAGCACTGCATGTTGAAACTAAAGCGTCATAGTAGTTGAAACTATAACGTTATTTTGTGTGTCAGCCAGAGCACATTACCACTTCGTTGTTTAAACTGTTGTCATTCACATCTATGTGAGTGGTATAAATGAACACTAGACGTCAAAAAATACCTAACTTGTTGTCTTCAACCCCCTTAGTTATCGCAAGATTTCAGAGGTGGTAATTCCAAGAGAATTTGAGGTATATTCCACTTAATAACACAATGCATTCTGCTAAAGTTATCACTAATTGCAAGCCGTTACGTGTGATGCTTTTACTACGTAGTAAGTTGTTTCAATTATCTAGGTCACTTGTAGATGGAGAACAATTAATTGAAGTCAATTCTCAGTGTTTTCAGGGAATCCCATCTGGTCCTGAGACTTTTAGAGATGTTACTTAGCGGCTTTATGGCACTTAAGTCTTCTGCCTTTGTCCGAGACCCGGTATTCACTGGCAGGTCGTCGGCTATCAGTAATACTTCCGGGTGAATTGTATGTGATAGTCAGTTCGAAAATCCTTTGAAGTGAACAGTCTACTTTTTCTTTCGCCTCTCCCCCTCTGTAATTAGTTTCCCATACCTTTACCCGTTTCGTCTTCGTTGATCTTTCACAGGTTGCTGACCATGCACGCGGTCCGGGGTTCGATCCTCGGCCGACGCACACATGATATCTATGGTCGGCCTGCAAAATTTGGGCTACCGATATCCATGTCGAAAATTCAATACTTGTACCAAAAATACAGTGTGGAATCAAGCTGTAATCAGAAACAAAATTAAAAAATAAATGCTGACCTTCACAAGTAGTACCAAGTATACTGGCGCGAGATCTTATACTCGAAATCCTCGTAGTGTTTGCTCCTTGTAGACCAAAGACAAATGAATACACCAAGCTGGTCATACAAAACAAGAAATGTATTTCGAGGCAAACTTTGTGATTCGAGGATGACTGCCTAATTAGCCAGGGTCATGCACGAACCACCGAACATAACACGGCAGCTTACCAGATGGCATGGATATTTGACCGCGATTATTTATTATTATTATTTCCTTTAATTCCTAGAGGAACATAGGGCTTCAGCCAAGTGTCTCTATTGCCTTCGGTTTTTTGCCAAATTTTCACCCCGCTTTAAGTCTGCCCACATGCTTTCATCTCATCTTCACATCACCGCCTCCTCCATATCACCCTCGCACTGACGACCCTCTCGCCGCTTCCCTTTCGGGTTCCACTCGAGCAATGGTTTGTCTAGTGATGTCACGTGATGGTTTCCTAAAAGTATGGCCAGCCAATCCATCTCCATTTCTTCCTGCCTGTTTGTTTCACAATCGGTTCCTGGTTGGTTCGCTCCTAGAGATCTTCGTTGCCGATCTTTTCTGGCCATCTTATCTTGAGTATTGAGCGGAGACAACTGTTGATGAAGGTCTGTAGTTTGTTTAAGGTGCTCTGTATGACGCGCCAAGTCTCTGATCCGTATAGTGAGTAGCATTAGAGTTGATTATCCGGATGCTATTTGTGGTGCTGAGTGGAGTTGACCTCCACACAGACTTGGAGACAATAATGAGAGCCTGTCTTGCTTTCCCGATCCTCACTGCTTTGATATTCTCGTTAGTTCCTCCTGTATTTGAAACGATGCTTCCCAGGTAGGTAAAGAAGGTCGTTTCTTTCAGGTTCCTCCCATTTATTCTGATTGTTGTCTGCTTTTGTTGCTGTTGGTGTTTCTGTTGGACAGGAATCTTCATCACCGCTGTTTTATATATGTTCACCTGACGTAAAGTCCTATGTTTGAAGCTTCTTCTTCCAGCTTGTTCCTTTTCACTTACATATCTTCCAGTTTGTGGGAAATTAGACATATATCATCATTGGCGAAGTCCAGATCCTCCAAGTTCCTTTATTGTGTGAGTCCATTTTATGCCCGTTTCCTGATTGCCCGTTGTCTGTCGCATTATCCAATCTGCTGCAATCAGGAAGATCATTGGCGATAGTAGACAGCCTTGTCATACTCCTGTCTTTACTTCGAACGATTCTGAGTTTCCCGTTGTGGATTACTTGCCATGCAGCATTGTCGTATAACTGTTAGATGAGATGTATACTTGTCTACGGCACCCCGCAGTAGCGAATTAGTTTCCAAATGACCTCTCGATCGACGCTGTTGAAGGCCATTTCAAAGTTGATGAAGTTGAGATGAAGAGCTAGCTGACTTCCGTTCCAAGCCTTGTTCAGTGATGATCCGTAGAGTGACGATTTGATCAATACATGACTTGTTTCTCCAGAATCCAGCTTGTTCCGGTCTAAGTTTTTCATCCAGGCTGGCGTGTTCGATTCTCTCCAGGATAATGCGGCTTAGTATTTTGCTTGGGATGGACAGGAGCATAATTCTGCGCCAGTTTTTGCATTGACACAAGTCTCCTTTCTTTGATTGATGTACATTGGTAGTTCTGCTTCCGTTGTTTGTATTGTTGGGCGCGTTATAGGTGGCGGTCGATTTGGAAGTCTCTCGAAGTGTTCAGCCCAGTGTTTAATTTGCTCCACCTCTTTGGTGATTGACTCTCCATTGTCATCCTTCACTGGCTTAATCTGTGTCGAACTTTTGCCTGATAGGTGCCTAGTTGTTTGGTAGAGTGTGGCGAGGTCTCCTTTGCCTGAACAGCAGCTTGTTCTGCTTCACTTTCCATGGCTTCATAATATTTTCTTTTGTCTTCCCTGGCACTCTTCCTTAATCTTTTGTTCAGCGTATTGTAGCTTGAATTCAACTCCTGTTTTGTTGCTTGTCAGTGCATTGGATAATCTTTTGTTTCACCATCCTTCTCTCTTCTATTAGTCTCCATGTGTCTGTAGTGAGCCACTGTTTGTCCTGTCTCTTCTTTCTGCCTAGAACTTCCATGCAGGTTTGATTCCACACCGTTTTCAAGTTGTTCCAGTGCTTTCCGACGCCGACTTCTTCGCTAGTGTTGATTTGTGTCTCGGCTTTGTCCCTTATGCTTGCAATGAAGATGTCTTTTGTAACCCGGTCCTTCAGTTTCTGAGTGTTGAACTTGGCTTGTGGTTTATCTCAGCTCCTGATTCCCTGAAAGCTTTTAATTTGTTTTGGATTGTCCCTTGTACGAGATAATGGTCTGAGCCAACGTCCGCTCCTCTTCTTACTTTTCTGTCTAGTCGTCTGCGCCTCCACTTTCTTGGGCAGTACTGAGATGAAGTCGATTTGGTTTTTGGTTCTCCCATCTGGTGACACCCATGTAGCCTTGTGAATATCCCTATGTTTGTATACACTGCCACCAATCACCATATCATTAAAGGCGCAGAAGTCGGCGAAGAGTTCTCCATTTTCGTTCATTTCTCCGAGAGCTTCTCTACCCATGATGAGTTCCCTTCCTGTGTTGTCTGGTCACAGTTTGGCGTTCATGTCTCCCATTAGTATTTTAATGTCGCCAGCAGGCGTATTGTCCATTGTTGCCTGTAGTTGTCTGCAGAATTCTTCTTTCTTTTCAAGGTCTGCGTTGTTTGTGGGTGCATAACATTGTATGATTGACACTTTCCTTCCTTTGGAGTTGAATCTGGCGGTCATTATCCTGGGCGAGATCGCTTCCCATTGCATCAATGCCTTCGTCGCCGTTGGTGACATCATGATAGCCACGCCCTCGGTGTGCGTGTGGTTATCTTCTGGGTGACCAAAGTAGATCACTGACTCTCCCGTTGACAATTTGGTGAGTCCCTTCCCTTTCCATCTGCTTTCACATATTCTCACTACTTGAATTCCGTATCTTTTCACTTCGTTTGCGATCTGGGCAGACTGGCCAATCTCGTACATAGTGCGGACGTTCCATTTCCCCACACAGACTTTTTCTTTTGGCGAAAGGAGATTCATCGTGCTTAAGTTTTGGTAGTAACTTTGTTTACAGAGGGTGGAGTTGCTAGCCTCACGCCTGAGAAAGGGATTGTTACATTAAGATATAGTTAAAAGAGAAGAGACCTTGTGGGTTACTCCCCTGAAAACCAGGAAT